TTACTACTTATATGTAGACAGAGCCCTTGATGATACTTTTCTTCACTTCATCTGTATCTGCTGTGGTTAGTGTAAGCAGAATTCTTTGTAAGAGTTTGGATAATGCACTTTGAATAACTTCTCACTGTGAAATAAGAACATTGTCAATAAAAACCATTGAGAATGGCTACTTTTACAGGAAAATAAAATGCACCTGACATTTAAGATCATTAAACTGTACCTCTTGAAAAATATTGCAAAGAACATTTTGCCTAGGTAAGCAAGGCAAAACACTGTTACATAGAATGTGTTAAAAAGAAATACAAGTTTAAGTTATGAAGAGAAACACATACAAGGGTCCACTGGTAATGACAAGTATAAACCTGAATCAGTGTTTTTGGTCCAGAAATCATATGCACAACTCATTTTTTATGTATGTATGTATGTATGTATGTATGTACATGTGTGTGTGCAGTTTTATCTTTCAGTGAAAACATTTAATCTCCAATGTGGCATATTTTGATTACTGGTTAACTAACAAAGTAAAACCTCCCACACTCAATTCTTGACTCAATAACAAAGATAAAATTTCCAGACATTAAAAGTAAGCGTAACCATATTTATCGGAAGAAAATTAACTGAGAATTCTTATTTTCCTCAGGAAAGACTCTTTACTCCAGAGAAGTGCATGCCTCAAACTTAAATTAAAAAGCAGATTACTAGAAATAATAGTAGTTCATTGCTGTGGAAAGACTGTAAGGAAAATATCAGTCCTGATAAATATAGTCAAACTAATTGCTGGCACATAAATCAGCAGCTTGTTTCATACTGAGAAGTGGCCATTAATGAGTTTTAATTACTGACCAGTTATGATGGACCTAAAGTAGTGACTAGACAAGAAATTAATAACAATTTACAAATCCTGATTTTGTAACCATATATTTGGTCAATAAATAGCAGTAATAGTGTAATAAATTCTGCAAAATACACTGCATATTCACTGAGAGCAACTATTACTTGGATGGCAATTCTGAGTTACTTAAAAGAGGCTACTTCCAATACTTTTGGAATGAAACATTTGTTAATTAGAATATCAAAAATGCTAGGACAGATTCTCAAACAGGAAAAACAGTATAAGTATCTATTATTTTGTTTTATGAAATAGAAAACTAAGAAACTTAAATCATGAGCTATAGCACTAGCCTTGCAATATGATCATAAAAAAGATCTAGTTAGCTAAGTAAGCTTCTACCTAAACTACCTCTCAATGTCCTGACTTTTACTTGACAGTTTCAAAGGAAAGAAGCAGAACCACTCAGCATATCCTCATTCAACAGTGTACTGCCCAACATCAGGTATTTCATTTTAAAGCTATCATCATGTCCAGGCTTCACGAACGAAGATTTGGAAAAGGCTCTATCCACATTTGTTACAAGCATGCTGGTGGCTAATGAAAGCATAGAGTAAGGTCAAGTAAGTGAAAAAGAGCAAATGCTGAGAAGGTACTAATAAAAGCTGTACTAATTCAAGTGTATGTTATAAGGAAGCAAATATGGACATTTTTCTGTATATATCAGCACAAAACAAAGCAAATTGCAAATAGTATTTGGTATATTGATTTGTTTAAAACAAAATTTTATCATTTTTAATATGAATCCATTGCACATTACCTGCATATTCATAAAACCAAGCCAGGCACTTTTTGCTTGAAAAATGTTCCTCTCCACCTATTAATTTACCAGACGCTTGTGATCTGTAGTAGCATATAGAAACACAAGATAAACAGCATTATTTTAATGAGACTTGAGAAAAAATGTAAAATTAAATTCCTAAATGTTTATTATTAATTCAAACTATTTAAATTGTTTCACGAAGTCCATATACATAAACAGTGAAGCTGAATATGATAGAGGGCAACTGTCTGTCATCCTATTTTAAAACCTGGAACACAAAACTACCTTGAAATGCAACCACCTCATAACCCAATTTATTGCAACTATTACTTTTTCTGAAATGCAAGAGTACTGTTATCTAGTAGATATTAAACAAAAAACTCCACACACAGATGGCCAGAATATCACTCCTCAGTAATTAAAATACCTTATTATCTGCTTATATTTATACATACAGGCATTTAAAGTTAGGTCTCTAATAGGCAGCATGATCTTTAAGAGTGCTGAATATGCTCAGATCCCATTAAGGTCAATAGAAGCTGCAGAGTTTGACATATTTAAAAGTCAGCCTATTTATAGTTAAGCATTGAAATTTAGGATGAAAACTTGATTGATTTGTTTACACTAAACATGTAACTAAGTACCTGTAAATTCTATAGATGTCTGGTATGTATACTAGAACAGTAGTGTGCAATTTGTGTTAAGACTGAAGCTGTTCACCACACACAGCTTCCCCACTACATTGCCTTCATTATGTAACATACAACCCAGTTTGCCTAGGAAGTGAATTTTCATAATTCATCGTTCATTAAAAGATGCACAGAATAACTGATTAACTCCACTAAAAACACTGACCACACAAAAGCATCTTTAGTTAGTAAGGAGTTTCAGCATCTTTCCAACACATGGTCTTACAAAACACTAGTTACAGACTTCTAGAACAAGCTCAGATTATTTCTAACAATGAGATGAGAGTTAATCATATGAGAGGATTTAAAATTATGCAGCTCCCACATTGCAATTTTAAAATCAAGACATCAAGCAGTAAAATAACAGTTCAATTCTGAGAGGGGTGACCAACTTTAACTCCTTTAACCTGTAACGCTTTAAGCTTCACTGGAAAAGAAAGCAACGCTCTTCAAGATGAAGCCTTCTGTGCTGAAAGCTAGAATTAAAGGTGTCCTACAAACATCCATCCAAATGCCACTGGGAACACAAGTCACCAGAAAGAAACAGTCATACATATGCTATTGGTTATTGGCTTTATACAGGTTAACACAGATCTATTTGTAATCGCTGCTTTTACTAAAGAATAAACCAACAAATCGCTGTATAAGAATGTAATGACAAAAATGCTTGTGTATCTAACATTTTGTGATCAGCTAGCATGAACTCTCATTTACATCATAGTTTTTGCCCAACAACTGCTAGCTTCCCGTAGAATCTTTTTTTTTTTAAGGAGTTATCAAAAGATTTTTTTCTTTTTAAGTAAAAGATATTAAGATCATAAAATTTTGGTTAAAAGTGTTCAAGAAAGATGAACTGAAACTGAACACATGCAGAGAAGACCTATGATAAGCAAGGAAACTGAAAGTCGGTATAACAAACCAGAATAATTTAACTTGTTTTTAGGTTGTAGTTGAACAAAATAAAGTATGAAAAAACCAGAAGCACTCCCTCCAAATGCACTCTGAGGCAGAATCATGAGGGAGGAGTGTTGCATAGAACAGAATGCTGGCACAAGAATAGTTATTAACTGGCTATGAATAAACTGACTGAAACTAAAAGGTCACTAATGACCACAGAAAGCGAGTTCTGCAATAGTTATCCAAAACGAACAGTCATAACAAAATAAGAGCCCGGGTACTTCTAAGATCAAGCTCAGTCAACCTGTGAGAAAGGCCATACACCACTGTTTCTTGCAGTAGCCATTCCTGCAGTGTTGATTTCGTAAGTCCTTTTTATCCTGAGGGCTTCACCACATTATTCCTAACTACTGGTTTACTGATACATTTAACAAGGTCTAACAGATGAAGCAGGCTAACAGTTACTTTAGAGAAGCCACATTGTAAAGCTCCTGCTACACCACACTAATGGCTTATCATTTTAACAGTATCTTTCGGGTATCATGGCATAAAGTAGCCTTTTAAAAATAGTTAAGAGACAGGATGCTTCAGACTTCTGTATTTATTAGAGAAATTTTTCCTGCTCTTCTTTTCGAGAGTGTTGACCTATCCTTCCAATTCACTGCAAAAAAACCCCACAAACAAAAAACAAGCAAACAGTCCCCCAAAACACACACACACGCAAAAAAAAAAAAGAAGAAAAAAAGGACGATTTAACGCAGACACTCTGACCACTAGCAAACGTAAAACGAGCGGCGATCGTAAAGTGAGGAGAGCCGCCTACCTCAGGGAAATAGAATGGATACGGGGTCAAATGTCAGCACTGACCCTACAGGTACAGCCCAAGGCAAAGCCAGCCGGGAACGGGGGCCGTTCCAGGTCGTGCACAGGCCGGACGCCGCGCCCCGCACCTGCAGGGCCCGCGCCAGGACGTGCCCGGCAGCACGGCCCAGGCCCTGCGCGGGGCCCGCGGGCCGCACACGCCTCACCGCGCCCGCCGCCCCGGGAAACCTCGGCGGTGCCGCAGCCCGGGCCCCGGCGGGAGAGCGGCCCAGCCCCGCGGCCGCCGGCACCGGCCGCCGCACCGCGAGACGGTACCTGCCGAGTTTACACTTCTTGAGGCTGGTGTCGTCCGCCGCCGCCGCCCCCGAGGACTTCCTCTTCTTCTTCACCGGCATCGTCCTGCCTCGGGGCGGGGCCGCCCCGCTACCGGGGCCCGCGGCCGAGGCCCCCCCGGGCTCACGTCCCCGGCCGCCGCCGCCTCCCGAGACCGGCGGTGGAGAGACGAGAGGAGCCCCCGTGCCGCTCTGCTCCCGCTACTGCTCCTGCCCAGCCCCTCCGAGCGCTGCCAACCCCGCTCGCTGCGGGCAGACACTGCCGCCGCCGCCGCCGCCCCGGTGCGAGAAGCAGGTGTCGCGCTGGGGGCGAGCACGGGGAGCGAGAGCGAGAAGCGGGCGATATCGGCTGCGGAGCGAACTGCGAGAACGACCCGGACACAGACGGCGCCGGGCAGGAAGTGGCAGCGCCGCGGGGCGGGGCCGCTCCGGGACCCGCCCTCCGAGGGCGGGGCTGCCGCACGCCCTTCCCTCCTGCAGCAGGGGCAGCTCGGGGGCGTGTGACTGGGGGGCGGTGGGGCTGGGCTGGGCTGGGCTGGGCTGGGCTGGGCTGGGCTGGGCTGGGCTGGGCTGGGCTGGGCTGGGCTGGGCTGGGCTGGGCTGGGCTGGGCTGGGTCAGGCCGGGTCAGGCGCGTGTGCCCGTTACAGCCGAGCGTTTGCTGTCACATAAACGGGACAGCGCGAACGCTGCGTTAGTCACCAGGGACCAAGGGGCGCCGCGAGGTCCCAGCCCGCCCGCAGGCCCGTGGGGACGCCGGGTGGGCAGCGCTGAGGACGGGCGCGGGGCTGCGGCAGTCGCCTGCTGAGAGGTGCGGGCGGCGGCCGAGCCCAAGGACAGCTGTTGGGGGAGACCCTCTCTCGCCTGGACAACCCCCTGGAGAAGCAGCTGTGAGCGCGGATCAGGGCGTTGATCGCTACGCCCGCGCTGACCCACGAAACCACGGGCATACAAGCCTAGGCTCCCGGTGGGGGTCGCACGGATCCCTAACGGAGCGGGAAGGGCTGTGGGAGGGTGAAACACCCCAAGTACTGCGGCGGCCGTGACACCGTGACGCAGCTGATGGCAGGAGAGGTGCTTCGGTGAAGCTAGAGGAAAGCCCGGCAGCACCTGTGGGCTACTGCTGCGGTAGCGGGACGAGCGCGGAGCCTTCTCCGCCTCCGCCCCTCTCCGCCCACTGTGCCCGCCGACCGCCGAACGCGTCACCGCCGCCTCCCTCCCTCCCTCTCTCCCGCCCCTCCGCAGGCAGCGGCCCTTGCCGGGCGCCACTCGGCCCGACTCCGCCTGCGCGCTGGGGCCGCCATCTTCGGTCACCATAGTGACGGCTCCCGGGGACGCCAGTACGCTCCGGGCCTCTCCTCCTGTGCTCCGCCGTCCTTCCCACCAGCTCTTCTCCCGCCGGTCCCTCCATGTGCTCCCGAGGGGCTCTGGATCCGCCTCTGCCTTGATCCTGCCTGAGAGGGTGCGCCCGGCAAGCATGGCCGGGGAGGGAGACCCGAGGAAGCGCTTTATCTCAGCCACGGCTGCGAACTACTTCGGGCTGGATCCGGCATGCTGTGCTGCCCTGGCGGCGGGGCTCCACTCCCGTCCGGAGCTGAGCAGCTTCCTCGACGACGGCAACGAGTTCCTGCTCGTGGTACAGCACTCGGGCGCGCAGCTCACCACCTCCAATAAGGTACCGTAGTGTCCGGCATGGCGGGGTCCCGCGTGTCCACCGCATCCCGGCGTGCGATTGGGAACGCAGAGCCCGCAGTCATCCCAGGCTTACTGGCCGTAAAGACTGGTAGCAGATTTGGGAGACATCTCCCTGCTGCGAATATCTGTGCAGGTCTCTGTGTCTGTAAGTTACTGGCGGCTGCCGTGGTTTAACCCCGGTCGGCTGCTAAGTACCACTGAGTGGCCCCCCACCCCGCGGTGGGGAGGAGAATCGGAAAGAAAAGGTTAAACCCCTTTTGGGGGTTGAGATAAGAACAACGAAGTAAAATATGATAACAACAATATAATAATAACCGACTACTAATATGCTGGTAATAGTGTTAATAATTGTAATGAAAAGGGGTGAGAGAGCCCAAGTAGAATAAGTGATGCAAAAATATAGTTGTTCACCACCCATGTCCAGCCCATTCCCCAGCAGTGATTGGTGCCTCCTGGCCAACTCCCCTCAGTCTGTATACTAAGCATGACACTCTGTGGTATGGAATATTCCTCTAGTCAGTTTTCTTCAGCTGTCCTGGCCATGCTCCTTCCCAGCTTCCTGTGCACCTCCTCACTGGCAGTGCACGAGGGACTAAAAATTCCTTGACTTCGGATAATCATTACTCAGCAACAACCAACATATCAGTGTGTTATTCTCATTCTAAACCCAAAATACAGCACTACCCCAGGTACTAAGAAAAAAGTTAACTTTATCCCAGCTAAAACCAAGACTCTGGCCCAAGAGTCTGTGAAGACCATATGGTTAGCTGGTGATACGTTTTTCAGTGGATTGTGCCCATGCTGATGCAGTTTTAGTGTGCTGTGTATTCTCACTGTGTGAATGTAATGCAGCCTGGAGGATGGCATGCTATCTTACTGCAAATGCCAGGTGGAGTCTGCTGTATGATTTCTTCCTGGTTGTTGGTGTATGGAAGGATTGTGTGGCCAATGTCCATGCAGGGAATGTGACCCCGTATATGGCACAGTGACTGATATTTGACATAAGTCCCAAGGTGGACGTTTGTCTAAAGCATGCATTTTTCAAACTGATATGTCCATCTGTGAGCAAATCTTAGGTTGATTGTGTGAAATATCCTGCCTTGAGTGTTTGTGTTCAGCAAGTGACTCATCTGAGTGATACCATGGGGTGTGGTGTGCACTCAATGTCACTATATAATCAGACCATGGTGTAGTGCCTGCTGCACAGAGTGTACAGACAAAGTGTGGGTCTTGGCATGTGTCCTGTCGTTCTGCTGTGAGACCAGGGATGTGGTATCTGTTATGTCAGTGACAGATCTTTTCTGCGCTGAAGATGAGCGTAATGTGTCCTTAACATGTGAATTGTGGACCAGCAACTTACGTGCCTCTTTGGTTAAGACTAGTGCATTCTATATTCAGGCAAAAGTGAACATTTATGTGTACCAATTTTGGGGGTTTGCTGCTGAGCCACTGTCTAAAATACAAAGCAGCTTTCAGCAGCTGTGGGAGATCAGATGCATATCAGTGCTACACTGCATACCTGTTGTCTCAGTGAAGATGTCTGCAGGTGTTGAGCTAAAGAGCTGATAAGAAAGCGAAAACTGATACTGTTCAGTAAAACTGAAAGCTGTTCTTCCTATCCCTCCATTTCTTTTAACAGAAAAGAGTATACAGATGTTTATAATTGTGCAGAATTTGGGATTTCAGCTTGCATATCTTCTTGCTATTGATTTATCAAATGTTTAATAATATTTTACTGTTTTATGAATTCTCCTCAGCCACAAATCGTTTCAGTAATTGATTTATGGCAGCATTTGGAACTTTACCCATAAATTGGGCTGCGAAGGGAACATGAATCGTGACTGATGACTAATAAAGGACCATACCTTTCTCTATCCTTGAGAAATCAATGAATTGCAATAGAGTTACGTATTTACAAACTCAGGAGAACAATACAGAATAGCTAGAATATTTAGAAAAATATTCCCAAAGGTGTGTCGCATTAAAATACAATTAAAAAAATGTATATTTTTCTCTAGGCCCAAGACAGAGTTTCTGTTTTGTCTACAGAAAGTGGGAAGTGGAGTTTTCAAAATAGAGTAAGAAAATATGATATTTACAGACATTATATGCTGAAAGAGGCTTTATGTGTTTGATGTTGGAAGTCAGGTTCCTATGGTTTCAGAAATGAGTATAATAAAAATTTTCATTTTCTGTGCAAATCAGATACTACTGGAATGTTATCAGAGCCCAGAGGGAGTAATATGATATTTTATTTTTTTTTCTTGATACAAATTGTTTGTGTAAATGGTGTACATGATTTAGTATAATATGCAGTCACTGACAGTTTTCTAAACAAATCCTGTCTTCCTGATTATTACAGATTGAGGCTACTGATTCAGAGAATAACGTGTTGGTGTTCTTTAAGCTGAGACCTGATGTAATTACAGAAGATAATCTTCATAGTAATATTCTTGTCTCATCTATGCTAAATTCTCCAATTAACACCCTTTATCAAGCTGTACGTCAAGTTTTTGCACCAGTGCTACTGAAGGTGAGCAATATACCAATTTAAATGTTCTGTGGATTATACCGAGACATTGAAATTCCAGAGGATGTTAACTAATTTTGAACTAAATGTTTTATGTTTTAAAGCCAAAATATTTTAAGAGATTAAACAAGGGTGATCGTTATTTCTAAGTTATAGAAAGTACTTCACCTCCTGTCAGTAAGGAGGAGAGGAGGATTCTGGTCATACATATGCCTGACTGGAAGCATGGAATACATTGTGCAGGGGTGGTTAATGAAGAAAATAGCTCTTTACCTCCTTTCCAACAGTAATGCCAGCCTTGTGTCCTTTTCTTGTTTTTAGATACTCTTGGAGTTTGTATGAAATGCATAGGTCTCTGTCATGCATACTGTGATTCTTTAATAAGTGGCAGATAGGTACACTAGACTCTAGGTTAATTTTTACACCTACATTTTTCATAGTTTTTGCTTTTTTTTAAATTTTCGGTGGCTTTTTCTTCTGTTCTATTGAAGAAGATTGTGTGAAAAACCACGGCCACTATATTTCATAAGCCGAATAAGTGGAGTTTCAGCACTTAAATATTTTTAATTTATGGTGTGTGAGAATGTTATCAAAATAATATTAGAAAAACACAGCAACTTTTCATATTTAATTCTAGCAATTTCCAGATTATGCTACAGTAGTCCAAATTTATTTAAGACAATTAACTAACAAATGATTTTTAACACATTTTCACAGTACCTTTATAAAGCCAACAACTGACTTGATTTTGTGATAAAAATGGGTTTTTTGTAGTATTATTCTGAATTGTTAAGTTAAGAGAATGAGGTCCTTTTCTTTGACTTTATGAAAAAAAATATTACATTGTCCCACCATGTGGTTGGTTACTTAATCTGATTTTTTTTTTCTTTTAAGATTAATGGGAGGAAAATAGTAATTACTCTATCATGTGAGTCACAATTTTTGAAATTTTCATTACAGGATGAGAGATGGAGTAAAACATTTGATCCCAAACTTCAGAAACTTTTAAGTGAACTTGAAGCTGGCTTGAGTACTGCTCTCAGAAGATCAGATCCTAATTACACAGGAACAAAATTCTGTGAAGATGATGTGCGAGGTTTGTTTTGCAGTTATATCTTTTTATAATTAACTTTAAGTTAGGAGTAAACAATTTATTTACAAGTTGAATTTCTAGACTTCCCAGTGACTGCATAGTGAGAAGTATAGCAGGCTGTGGTTAGTAGATGGAATTAGTGATGGTTATACCAAGAGACCAGAGTTGACCTTTACACTGTATCTAGTCAGAATCAGAAGTTGAAAGATATTTACATAACTACATAGTAAAAGATTGCTTTATAAAGTATGTTCTGACTGAAAATATTTTATAAGAATCAATTTATTTCATATATAAATATTTTCTGTTGTTATTTGCAGCTATACTTACACCAACAGATGAATTTCAGTTCTGGATAGAATGTGCTCGTCATGGAAGTAAATGGTGTAGTAAAGAGAGAGCTTCATATTTTAAAGACCTATTTGAGGACATTGCAAAAGTATGTTTTGTTTTGTGCAATCAGTGATATATTTCTAGATTTAGTAAAAAATATTCTTCCCCTGAAATTTATGTTAGTATATGTACATTCTTTTCAAATATATGAGTATATAACTATTTAGTTATTTTTTCTTAGGAAAAATTTTACTTTAAATGACATTCATGTAGTTTGTAGTGACAGTGGTGTGTGGGAATGCCAACATGTAATAGGGAACAGATTTGACCATTGAATACTAAGAGCTGCTGTAGAAATACAACAGTATTCTACAGTTTTTGAACTAGAGATAGACTCATAAGATTATAAAAAGGACAATAATAGTGCTATCATGCAAAAATTTTAAGACCCATAAAGTGCTTTCTTGAACAATGCTTCAGATATCAATGAATTCTTCACATGAATAAACTTACACAAATGCTTGTTTTTTAAGAGGATTATGACATATTATTTTGTGCAATAAACCCTAGGAAACTATACCGCTTGCCAGCTTCAGAAACTTATAAATGTTTCTACAATACTACTTGCAAAGTAAACATATTAAGGGGCATTTTTTTTTCTAGGATTATTACAACTTGGATACTCTATCATTATTTGAAGCTGTGGATTTGGTGGAGAGTACCAAGGATACTGTTGATGGTGTGTGGAGACAAACAGAACATGATCCTTATCCACAGTCACGCATGCATAATCTCTTGGATGTAATAGGTAAACCTTTATGTAGTCTTTATTGAATGAACAGTTGAGAAAAAATAGAATGATTCCTTGAGCAAAAGCCTTCTTCCTTGTAAAGGCACCAGTAATAGCCCACAGCATTAAGGTGCTTACTTCTTATAATTATGATCCATGAATATTATTTGCCTTCTAGTATGCAATAATTCAACCAGTTCTGGTAGATACCTTCATACATGCTTGGGAAGATGATAGATAGTAAGAAGATGGAGGTGAATCCGTTTCTGCTGGTGAAGTAGATTTGTCATACTTCTGTTGCACTCCCTGTCTTTCTCTCAGAGGAGAAAATTTATTTACATAAACCCCCATTTAAAGGTTGATTTGGTCTGTGTGAAGGTGCGAGCAGGATGTGCAGAGAAGTTGCTTCTTCTCATTCCCTCAACAGCAGCCCCACATTTGGGGACAGGCAATAGGCAGTGAGTTTGGCTGCTGCTGCCGAGTATGTGTGTGCATGAGGGCAAGGATTGCAGGGGGAAGTCAGGTACTGCCATTACTGCTGATAAGGACAGGTGCTTGTGTGTGGAATTCAAAATCCAAATCCATCAGTTTCTGATATTGGAGTAACTTCTGTTTAACTCAGAGATATTCAAGAGATCTGTTGAATCTAAACCAATTGGTTATTGGTACATTTGTGTGGTTTGAAATCAAGACATTACACTAGTTTTTTAAAAATGTGATTGGAATGTGGCATAGGAATTATTTTAAGGAACCATAACATCTTGCTTTTCTATACGTTTTTTGTCTTCTAGGTGGCTCGCTAGGTAGATATGTTCAGAGAAAATTAGCAACTTTGAATTTGTGGGAGGATGCTTTTCACAGTGTTAAAGAAAATATAAAGGCTGGCATCTTGATTTGTGAGCAGTGGGTATCAGCTTGTGAATACTTAACTGGACAGCTGTGGCAACGTTATACTCTACATCCATGGAAAAATGAGAAATATTCCCCTGAATTGCTAGCCAAACTTGGCAAACGTCTTGATGAGGTAGAGATTTCAATTATAGAGATCAGTTTCATTAGACACAGAATTAAACAATATTGTTTCAAGTTAAAAAAGAGAGTTAAACACTTTTATAATCTTTACAGAGTCATATAGCAGCATCCCATAATCTATGTTTGCCTGAGCCTTTCAAAAGTTTCTTGTAAAAAGGAGAGAGATTGGTACTTCTAAATGTAAGTTTTATGTAGAACTACTTTGGATATATCAAATACTTTTTTCCCCATAGGTGCTAACTGTTAGAACACTGCATGAAAAACTTACATTCTTTTTGCCAGCTGGAGAACAAAATTCTTTACATCCTGCTCAAGTGTTTGAACCCTTTACTGGCCTAAATCCTGTACACTACAATCCTTACACAGAGGTATAATGCTTAATTTTTAATTTATTCTCATTCTTTCTGTGTCTTTCTGTGATGTATATGGATAGTCCTAAACTAACGTGAACTCATTATCTCTAGCCATTATGGAAAGCAGCCATCGTTCAGTATGAAAGAATTATTGCACCAGCAGAACAAAAAATAGCAAGCAAATTGAAGAAATTTATTTCAGAAATTCAGGACAGTCCTCAGCAGGTATGGGTATTTTTGTAGTCTGAAAATTTTCCTGAAGATCAAGTTATTGAATTCTTAAGTAGTGAGTTTAGAGCACAGGAATAAATGCTTAGAACCAGAGACAACACTACTTATAAACAGCAGTAATCAGTAGTGTCAGAACATGTTCATTTTTTTTCAGTAGAAAGCAATAACTTCTTTAAAATTTCATATTCCAGCTTCTTCAAATATTTCAGAAACATAAGGAACTGATAAAGCATCCAAATATAAGCAAAGAATTGCTTTTTGAAAGGGAAACATTGCTGGCAGGACTTCAAGATTATGTCAAAGGTATTTAATTGCTTTTTTTTTTTTTTGCAAATACTAGGATCCTTTATTCTTGAATTATGTCAGTATAACTATTATATTTTTATAAGTACAACTAAGGTTGTTCTGTTAGGTTTCTGGACTAATGAATCTTTTGCTTGTATTAGACTATCAGACAGACTTTGAAACTCGATGCCATGGTGTTCCTGGTGATGTTTCTGGACCACTGTCAGGCAAGAACCTTTCTGAAGTTGTCAATAATATTGTATGGGTACGGCAGCTGGAACTGAAGGTAACAGATTCCACTAGTATTTAAAGACAGTATTATCATAGAATGTAGGACAACGGTATTTGACATTTTTATGGGGAAATTCCTCACAGGAAAACTGTGGGCTTCCCAAGATCCTTTCTCAGTGGTGTTGCTTGCTAAGTTGAATTTTATTAATAGACCCAGAAGACAGTCTTTTTATAAAAAACTGAGCTACCTGCTTTTATGACTTAATTTTTTTTGGAAAAAAAACCCCAACAGCAAAACCCAACAACAAAAAAACCCCACAAACCAACCAACCAACCAAAAAAACCAAAAAACCCCCAAAAACCCCAAACCAACCAACCAAAAAAACCTCAGAGAGGAGGAATTTTTGTTAAATTTTACCCTCCTGTTTGCATTTTTAAATTGTATTTAGGATTCATAGATAGGCAGATTCTGACATCGTAATTCTCACTTGTTATTACCAACCTGTGTAGTGTCCTCTTGAAATTGAAGGGATTTCTTAGTAGTGCATTTTGAGTTTGTGCCTGCCAGGGAATTTACTACATGGACAGTAAAACTTTTACTTTACAGTAAAAGTAAGTGTAAAATTCAGTGTTCTTTTACAAGAGATTGTGTTTAAAACATATTTGACTGACTTACGTTGTTTTGTTAGTTTGTATTTACACTTTAGTTGGAAACTTTGAATATTTTTTGGAAAGCATTGACCCATGAAAAACAAAATGCTTTTTGTGAACAGAAGTGCCATCTACAATAACTATAGATTTTAATGAGAACAAATGTTACTTATCCCAGAATAACTATTAACCCAGTACTATTAGCCCATTTTTTTGTCATTTACCTGTGATTTGCAGAAATCTTCAGGGCCCATTTCAGCTGAACATGACGAGGGATGGAGGTATTAAAGGTGTTACTTTGTTATGTCCCTTGCAGAGAGAATATCAGCAGCTCAGGTTTATTTCTTCTGCTTGGTCTACCAAAGACTTAGCTCAGCTTATGTGTATCACTTTTATGTCTGATGTAGGTTGTGCTACATTTTTAAGTTGCTCTCAAATCTCCACTGATTGTATTGACTGGGGCTTTGATTAATTTGTCCACACATAGATGTGAAACTCTGTTTCAAATACCTTTGAGTACTGTCATGGACCTTATAGATACAATGGACTCATGGGAGATCTGTACCTTTATGGAGTATTAACTGAAGACCAGGTGGGATACTCTGAGGTATCTTAATAGTGGTGGACACCTGCGGTGGACAAGTTATTCAGACCCAATTTACTGTAATGAGAATTCAAACATCTGAGACACAAGTCAGGATTCACTTCTTTTTTTCAATTTTAATCAATTTTTTAATCCCACTTGGATGTTTTGTAATAGTGATTTTTATTGTGGTGATTTTTCTTTTCTGGGAAGTTAAGCTTCTTTTCTTTGCGGTTGTGTTTAAGGTGGATGATGCTATCAAGCTGGCAGAGGCACTTCTGTCTGACTTATCTGGATTTCAAAATTTTCATCGAAGTGCAGATTCTTTTCTGGAACAGTTAAAAGTGTATGAACAAGAACAATTTGATGACTGGTCTAGGAATATCCAGTCAGAATTATCAAATTCCAAGTCAGGACTTTGGTAAATACATTCTTGTTTAAATAATGTTTATTAAATAAATTATGTTTATTAAATATGAAATCTGTAGTGTGGTGTAATTCATTAGAACTCAACAAAGGAGATTAAAAAAAATACAGAATTGAGAATGAATGGAGAAACAAAATAGAAGAATTTATGGCAATTTCATCATCCTGCCAGTCTTGGTTGGTAAGGTGAAGTATAAAGGACAGTGTTAATAACAAATCCTGAGGTTTCTGTTAGCATCTGGAATGAAAGACATGTTTGGTTTGCTTGCTGTTATTACTTGTTATCCACTGTAATCCTACATAGTGATTATGTATAGAAACCAGATGAGATTAGAGAGTAGCTGTGATATACAGATGACACATGTAGAGTAACAACTTAATTGTTATTCACAAGAAATTCTGCAGTCTAAGTAGTACAGATTAAAGAAGGCTAAGCAAATCTGTTTAAACTTCATGAATTATGTTCCCCAAAATAATGACATTTCTTTATGGGATTTTAAAATATATTTTAACAATTTTTGTTTTAGTTCATTGGCCACATAGCTTCTGTGTGAATCTCTTGTGTTGCAAACTTCGTTTGGAAAGTGTTTGTCTACAGTTTCAGAGGATAAGGAGTTGATACTTATGTGAAAACTTTTATTTTACAAAAAATGCTCAAATATGGCAAATAACCAGATTTAGCACTCTAATATAATTATATATAAACTCCAATATAATGGAGCCATCTAAGTTTATTAGTACCATAAAATTTTGTTACTGTAAGATTTTAAAAGATGTCATGTGATTAAAAGGACAAGAAAAGAGGTAGCTCACTAAAAAAGGGGAATACAATGGATATGGAAACTAGAAAAAAGATGACAAAAAAAGAAAAAATGAGTAAAGTTGAAGTTTTTATGAAAGAAGCCTTGAAGGATGGTAGTAGAAGCATTACTAAAGTAGAAAAAAAAAGAAGTAAAATCTGAAGTCAGGCTGATGTTCTTATTAGTATTTGGTTGCATGTATCAAAGTGCTTTACTGATCCAAGTCCTGGTTCTTGGGCTGATTCTATCAGATTATTTTTCTCCCTTTGCAACGCTGAAGACTGGGGCCTGTAAAGTGCCTGCTTGAGAGATTATGATGGATACAGTGTATTTGAGAAATACTGTCTAGCTGTGCGTTACAGGTTAACTATTGTCACAAACCAGAAGCACTTTATGAGCAAAACCAATAGGCATTGTTAATTTCTTATTGTCTTCATTGGCTTTGAATTAAAAGAAAGGTTACTGGAAAAAATTCTGAGTAAATTAAACTTTTAATAAGTGTAGAAAAACATAATAGAGTGACATCAAGCTTTTTAGAATAGTTTATTATGATAAAATGCATCTAAGAATGGATAAATATCACATTCAGTAATCTGCTTTATTTTGGTTCAGTATCCAAGCTAATAGCCCTGTGATGGAGTTGGATCACATTTCTGGAACATTGAATATACTTTATTCTGATCGTTTGGTGACTCTCTTAAGAGAAGTACGTCAGCTATCAGCACTTGGATTTGCTATACCAACTAAAATACAGCATGTTGCAAACACTACACAAAAGTTCTGCAAGCAGGCAGTCATCCTTAAACAGGTATAAGATTAAATTAATAACTTCGTGTTCTGACTTCCCAGCTTTAGTTCGTGGAACTTTTCTAGACTGCTGTCTTTTCTGTCTTTGTGGTTTCTTGAACAAATTAGCTAAGTACATAAAAGAAAACAAAAATAAAGAAATGCTTTACTATTTCAGAATGTATCTTCTTTTGAAATACAGTATTAAAGCTGTGTGAAGTTACTGCATGAATATACAAAAATAAGACAAGTAATTAAGTGATCACCTGATTTTAATCTCCGTTTTTGATATTGTGACTGAAGGAAAATGTCATAAAATGAAGCGACTTGTCCTCACCATTGCTAGTTTTGAACTGAAAATATGTTAATAAGTATTTTAATGGAAATATGTGTAGGTTCTTTGGGGGGAGTGGGTGGTGTATTTTTTTGATTGCATTCAATGCTAGGAAAGTTTTTATTCACATGAGGTGTCATTGATAGCTGAGATACCTGTACAGCTAAGGCAGAGATGACATAAGACCTGCAAGATACCCACACATCTGGATCACTGACAGATGCCCAAGTAGAAACCTTACTTATGTCAAAAGGCACTAAATGTCTATGTGTGGACAACTAAAGCAGCTGTCCATCTGGAAGTAAACAGATATTTTTAGCTTGTGTCATATTCTGGTGGATGTCATTGATACGTGAAGGTCTCTGAAATGGCACTAGATACCAACATTTGCATAAAATAACAAATCAGAGACTGAACCTATTTCACTTAGGGTGAAGCATAATCACCTCAGATGTGTAAGAAGCAGCCTTTTTTCTATTAGAATTCATTACTAGAAGAAGATAGAATCACATTAGCATTATATGTATATATTTCTAAATACTTTACTTGTGTAGTTAGTTCTCATTTCTTAATGAGATTGATTGGGCAATATTTTCAGGAATGTTCTGGGTTACAATTATTTGCATATAAATATTTTTATCTGTTCTTGTACATTTAATCTCTATTTTTACAGGTGGCACATTTTTATAATTCTATTGATCAACAAATGATTAAGAGTCAGAAGCCAATGATGTTACAGTCTGCTCTAGCATTTGAACAGATAATTAAGGTGAAAGAATTATCCTCTTTTGTATTTTTAATTTCAGTGGTATCTGTTCTTATTATGTGCTGGTTTTTTCTGCGTTTATTGCTGGACTTTTTAACTGTAGCCTTCCCATCCAAGCAACGGCACCTGTTTAATTAATGTTTATTGAAATCATTTGGTCTTTTTTTTTTATATATATTGTCATTTAAACAACTGCTTACTTCTTTTTAACTTGGATATTAGCATAATATACTCTCTCGGAAATTATTTTTAGTGTTTGAATTGGACCTGAACTATGATATGGTCAATTCCTTAATAGTTGGTAACATAACTCCTGTGTTAGCTATTCTAAATAATATTATTTTGGTCTGTTTAATAAGATTGGCATATGCTTTATTCTGGAGATAAATTAATATTAAGGAATGGTTTCACTGTTTTGTCTATTATTAAACCTCTCTGGATTTCGTAATTCTCTTGAATATCTCTAATTTGTGTTTTGAGCAGGTTAGAAGTAGCCAGCTAGTTTCTATTTTAGGCTAAGAACAAAGAATCTGTGCATCTATCTGGTTATTGACTTATACATGCAGTTTGTTACAGTGGGTTGGTATTCAGAAATAATATAGTTGCTCTGAGAATAATGTTTCTTTTCTTTTTTGCTAGGAAGTTCACTATCCTTAGGTTCTTTTAAGGAATTTGGGTCAATTTGGAGGACTTTATTTATTTTAATTTTTCTACTTTGAAGGCACAATATGAACACTACTACAATCCACATTTTTTTTGACAACATATCTCTATTTTATGTCTGGAGAAGCACGTCTATAATGAATTTCAGTTTACTGGTTTTGATCAGTTGCAAGCACTCCAGCCTGTTCTAATGCTCTTACAATGTGAGAATGGCTCATGAATTATAACATGCCCATAAACTCTGTACTGGAGAGTGGTGCCGCCAGAGCAAGCATTACAGGAACAATTGGAAACTCACTCCTGAGAATCGTTTTGCAAGACAGATTATAAGACTGGGGCTGGGAGTAGAAGGGATGCTTGCATTGAGATTTGTTCATAAAAAATGGTGAAGACTGCAAACCAAACTGTAGATTCAAAAGTGTCCTGGAAAAAGTTCCCAAACTATCTCTTAAGTTTTGCTTTAGCTGATTATATATTATGCTACAGATTCTTTTAGTGTGCAACCCCTGAGATAGTGATGGTGCACAGGTGTTCAAAACCACAACATACTCTCCTCTTTAATGTGATTTCTACCCTGCATCTTTTAAGAATAGATCTAGCTCTGGAACTTCAGATGCTTTTGTCTTCTGATTTTCTACTGCATAAAATCACCAGAACCTTGATAAAAAGCCCAGAGAAATGAAACTCCCCAAATCTGCTTATGTGAGTCAGTGAAGTTTTACACTGTAATTTAAAAAAAATTATTTAATGATAAACAGGTGAAGTTGATTAGCAATTATTAGTGTCACATTTTTGTTTTTGGTCTGTGCAGAACAAAGAGAAAGAGAAATTTCCTCTCATCTTGAGCTGTCTGCTTATGTTTGTGGGGCAGAAGTCTCAACATAAGTAAATTTATTTCAAACTCTGTTAAGAGTCTGTTATTAATCCTTCCCCAGTGCATTGATGTAGCTATAATGCTATGCCTACATGTCTGTGATTTGCCAGATTATTTTGTCTCTAATGCAGTTAGGGAAAGGAAGGTTCTCCATTTTTTACTTTTTCGTATTATCACTTCCTGTATGCTAGCTGGTAGACTATATTTGTCAATAAATCTGATGAAGTTTGTATGTTTTTAAAGCATTCAAAATCTGGTCCTGGAGGAAAAGCTCAAATAACATGGGATAATCCCAGAGAACTGGAAGCTTATATCCAAAAACTTCAAGCTGCTGCTGAACAGCTTTCCACTGAAAATAGAAAACTAAGGAAGTGGCACACAAACTTCATTGAAAAGGTATATTTTCCATATGAAATTGAAATTGTGTCTCTTATAGCTTACCTTACCCTTTCTTTCATTTACATGGTGATGAGTATGTTTATTATTCCTTAAAATTCTTTTAACAGGTTATATCGCTTATGAATATTGATCTACTTCGGCAGCAGCAGCGTTGGAAAGATGGACTCCAGGAGCTCAGAACTGGTTTTGCCAGCCTCGAGTCACAGGCAGGGTTTCATTACCATGCTGCAAACTGTGAACATTTGACTTTTCAACAGTAATCAAAATTAAAGACTCAAACATGGCATGATTGAATTAATTTTGATTAAGGAGTTACTAGCTGGGTCAGGAAAACCAAGTGTGTACTGGTTAATGTCAGATGAGAGGTAAAATCTCAGATGAGGAGGAGGAAGGCAATCTCTTTGATCTCACACTAGTCATGGGAGAACTTTTGGTCAATGACACATGTTAGATGAAGAAATGGGAAAACCTTAGATAATGTAGATCAGTTATGTCTGAGCCATTAATGCAAGGTAAAACAAAGAAATTGGTGCAGATATGAGTGATCCCTGGATAGAATAGAACAAATGTGTAAAGCTTAGAATTAAAATGCATTCCTGCCTGAAATAATGAAAAAGATAAGTTTTTGTTTGTTCACTTATCAACTGTCAACTTTTAGAGTAGAATCACACAATCATTTGAGTAGCAAAAGACCTTTAAGATCATTAAGATGATAAAGATTTTGTTTAAGAATGTCATATTATTAAAGTAGGTAGGTAATATTACATCACCTAATCTATTTTGAGGTATTATTCCAGTCAGTTTAATTTTTCCTATAGCCTTCAGCAATCAAAGAACTATATTCTTAGATGGATGTGTTGTTCCTAACCTTTCTAATGCAAACCCAGTTGGTATTTGCCAGTCAAATAAATACAGTATCTCTACAGTATTTTACTTATAATTTTGTTTTCATTTTCTAAGGATAATAAGAAAAATAAATAAGTGTATTGATTCCAGTTTTAGTTTGTAATTTCTTTTGAAGTTTAGTTTGCAGATTTTTATTTTACGAAAACAATCTATATTTGCCTTAGGATCTGTTTGAAAATTGTTTTGGTATTACAGAATATTTTTAGATGGAAAATTAACAAAACTATATTAATCACTTTTTAAATATCTTTGACTAGGAGTTATAAAACTTAACCAAATGTACCTTTTTCACCATCCAAAAATTACAAAATGGTATAGTCTTACTCCTGTTGTCATCAAGATTTTACATATTTCTTAAACCCTATTTATGATTGTCTGAAGGCTTAATTGAGACAATTTCAGATTTTCTTAATCTCTAGAATCTTTCTGTTGGAAGAGTTCCTCTGGGCAGCCTTGAATTGTAGGGTGGGCCTTAACTGTGTAGCTTTCTGCAGCAGCCCTTGACTGCCTCAAAAGCCCTATCTAAATCACTATTCAATTAAACAAGAGTACCTGTTAAGCTGGAAGAAGCTTCTAATTTCTTCTCTAGCTTGTGTTGTTCTTTTAAAAATCCCTGGACAACTTGTAAGAGACCATTTACAGTCTTGATAGATAGGGATTTACACTTTCTTACAGTGCAGTGTAGCAGATTCTAATGAAAGTCTGAATTCTTTGAGATAAAATCTTTGCTAACTTAGTAGTTAACGTTGGTCTGTGTAAACACACAAGAATTTTTTTAAATACTGTTTAAAAGGTAGCTTATGTTGTAATATAGTTTAAATCTCTCATTCAGCCAGCTCTTTTTCTTATTTCTAGCCAAGTCCTGTGCATTTTAGAGTAACCTTGAAGAATCTTGTAGTAAACTTCAGTGAAGTTCTTATGCTGAACTGCCATAGAGACTCTTTGATTTGTGTTTTTTTTTTTTGTTATTCCTATATTAATTTGAAATAAATGCAATAACTCTAGATCTTCCTAATGTTCAAACTGGTCACATTACCAAAGAATATCTTGAGTTAGAAAGGTCCCACAAGGACCATTGAGTCTAACCCTCTGCTCTTTACAGGGCTACCTAAAACTAAACCATATGACTTAAGTATGTTGTCCAGATGATCCTTAAACTCTGACAGGCTTGGTGCCATGACCACTTCCCTGGGAAGTCTGTTCCAGTGGTGTGATACTTCAGTGAACTTTACTGAGGTCCTAGTCTTCAGATATTGTACTGTGTGCAGTTTCAGCGTATAATTATGGTTTGAGAAATAAAAATAAAAAATAAACATTGTTAAATTTTAGGGTTTCAAATCGAATGATATGAAAGCTTGGAGACAACACTGGAATCATCAACTTTACAAAGCTCTGGAGCATCAGTATCAAATGGGCTTAGAAGCACTCAATGAGAATTTACCAGAGATAAATATTGATCTAACATTCAAGTAAGATTTTTTTTTTTTGCCTTATAAGAAAGTATTTAGGCTCAGGTTACATTAAAATATTAATTTTTCATTATCTGTTTCATTTCTTAGACAAGGCCGGTTGCAATTCAGACCTCCTTTCGAAGAAGTACGAGCTAGATATTACAGAGAAATGAAGAGATTCATCTCTATTCCAAATCAGTTTAGGGGAGTAAGTGAAGCAGATGATGAATCTATATTCACTGTTATGACTGAAAGAAATGCAAGTGGATTTCTGACTGCTTTCAGTAAAGCAGAGGATTTATTCAGAAGGCTGACAGACGTTTCTAATCAATTCAAGGTATTTTCAGTATTGGGCTGACTGATACTTTTTTAATCTTAGATTTGTATTCGTGTATGCTTCGGACACCCTAGAAATAATTGAGCATTGACGTGTGCATTATTGTCCTTTTCTGCAAGACATATAAGCAAAACCTTAGTAAGTCGACCCGTGTTAGTCAACCACTAAAGCATATGCCTAACTTGAAAAATATATACACAGTTCCCATTGAAACCTCTGTATTATAGCTGTCTTTTCAGTCCTGCTATCCTAATCCTTTTGATTATCCTTAAATGTGTGAATATGTAAAATCATTTTGTATTTCCTGATTTTTGCACGAAGAGAATCTCTAGGTATATGAAGGGGCACAAAGGTTAAAGAGAATGTTGCTTGAAAACATTATTATTTTAATATTATCGAGAAACATTTTTTTTATTCTGGGAAATATTTCTTTTCCATGAAATGAAAAATGATGTTGGGAAGGAATGGATCGTAATTGGCCAAGTAGATATGGAATCTTTGGTGAAAACACATCTTTCTAGCAAGCAGGACTGGGAAAAAAACTTTAAGGCATTAAAAGTGAGAGGGAAAGAAGCAGAACGTCTTCCAAGGTATAGTGTAACTCTATTCTTTTGTTTGAACACTGTATTTTATCAGATACTTTAAAGGTAATAGTAAAATAGAGATTTTCTCTTTACATGAAGATATAGATAGAACTTCTAGAGTTTTTAAAATATTGATGTACTTTTTGAATGTTTAGGTTTTCATTTTTCCATTTTATTTTTTAGGCACTTACTGTCTTTTATCTGTTCAGTCTTCTCTGAAAACTTTTAATTACTTTGTCTGATATGATGGGAAACTCCATCAAAATTCAGGGCTGATTCTTAAATATTACAAAGCGTGATATTTTTAAAAATCTTTTAGCTAAATCCTGTACATGAGAAATACATATATGGCAGTTAGCAAAAGACACAGTGAATGTTTATACATGAGATAATTCCTGTATTGAAACATTTGATTACCTCTTATAACTTACAATTTAAAACATGCTAGTGTAGGCTTTTATTCTTACATATATTCCCATGGAACTTACTGTGCTGTATGGTTAGAGTTCTTAAGTGAAACTGGAAGGAGTTGTTTGCAGAACAAGGAAAAAGAGGTGACGTTTCATTTTGGAGAACGGACTTGTAGAACTTGTTGGCTAAAGTAGTAGTATCTGAGTAGTAAAGATCTTGTCAGTCTGGACAGGCTGAGATGAATAGAAGAGAAACTAACTGGCTGATATGTCTTATAGCCAGAAGCAACATGTTGCTGAGAAGTGCTATGAGTTGAAAATATTGGTGTGAGGGAGGATACTCTGTAAAGTATCAAATAAGGTAGACTTTTTCTTAGTGTTCTTTAGGCATCTACTTGTGGTCACTGTGAGCTGATTAGATATGAGGCCTTGAAATGACTCACTATGGCTTTTCTTCTGTTCTTAGGACTATTGAAGGCAGGGTTAGTAAACTAATGGAAATTTGAGATTTAAAAACATAAAAGTACAAATAGTGAAAGTATTTTTCTTTTGATTATGGTAATAGCCTTTTTGAATTTTATGGCACTGGTTATATAAAATCAAGTAATTTCTAACTATTTAGAGAAGCAGAGCATTGGACCTCAGTACCCATAAAACTGCATATATGTGCATAATTGGTGTAAATATTTCAATAGTATGAGTAATTTTCCCAATAAACTATGACTTTTAGTTGTAGAATTATGAGGCAAATTTTTTATTAGGCAAAAAAATGAGGGTAAACTATAGATGCGCATAGGTCTTAGACACACTGACATTTAGGTGTGCTACTGAATATTTACTGTCTTTTTTTTTCTTGAAGCACCATCAGGATAGATTGTTTAACTGTCAATTGCAACCCTGTGAAAACTGTAATTGATGATTTCATCCAGAAGTTGTATGATGTTCTTGTCATTTCTTTGAGGAAATCTATTCAAGGTAAATAATTTCAATGATAGTATTTTTGGTTTTGTTTCTATTGTACTTGGGGACATTTGTGTTAATGTAAATACTCTTTTAAAGAAATATTTTACTCTCAGACACAGCGAGCTGCAGAAATCACAGTGCAGAGAAAGTAATCTGTTACTACTGTGTGCTCCTCAACATTACTTTTTCACTACAAACCTAACCTAAGACCATTTGTTGTCCATGTGTGTCTTTCCTGCTCACTTGATTAGGCCACATCTCTTTGAGATGTAAAAGAATACATATGAACGTTATTTCTTTGTTGTTTCAGAGAGGAAAATTTATTTGATGTTTGAGAGAGGAAAGTTACTGAGGTGTTTGAGGAGACATCATAAAATGTTGTAATTAAAAATACTAGATTTTTCTTCTACAAACTGAAATACTTCATGAAGAGTCTTGAATAATGTAGACTTATTTCATAGAGTTACTTGTCACTTAGACTGTCAAAACACAGAGTGTTAAAGAATGTAGAACATTTCCCTAATTTCGGGTGGTCTGTCTATATCTTGAAGAGTAGGACAAAATGGAATAATGTGTAGATGATGAGAAATAACCATCCTCTGTGCTTTAAAGCTAACAATCATCACCAGAAATACAGAACAGGGGTTATGCAGAAAGTGAATGACTTCCATAGCCTGAAAGGTGAATCTTTCAAGGAAGATTCCCTGGAAATGTACAGCTTCCTTCTCAGTATCAAAAAAGATCTACCTTGGTAGGAAAACAGAACATTATAGCTTCATCAAGCATTTGTTTTTGAGTCTTTTCAATATATAAAGCAAGGTGGCTTTAGTTATTTACCTTCTTTAAAAGAATCTAACCAAAACCAAAAAAAACCCACAATAAACCCCCGAAGAACCCAAAGGCAATTTTAACATCTGTTTCTCTCTGTGTACCCAAAAAAAGACCTATACAGCTTTTGAAAGTATATAAACAAATGCCTTATGTATTTATGATTAGTGTTCAGAAGGGACTCTGATACTTATGGCCTAAATCATACATTGAGTGCAGTGGTTTACATTTAAAAAGCTATGTGTAAACACAAATGTGCAATTTTTGTTGAGGCAGTATGTAAGATTGGAGTCTGCAATTTTTTAAGCAAATACTTTGCATACTTATGACAATGTTATATCACTGTGCATTTGTCTGACATGCATATTTAAAACTACCAATATTTTCTCCATGATAACTTTGTTTTCCATCATTATGTAGCTCACCTTTGTGATGTTTCTTCATTTCTCACCGATGCCATGGAAACATTAGTGATTAGGCCCCAGACTGTAGAGGAAATAGCAGAAGACAATTTAAAATATTTAAGCCTACATGAACGAAAAGAAGGGGTAAGATACCATTTTATCATATCTAGGACAACAGCTATAAAAAATGCAATTACTTTCTAGTATGAAAACTTACATTTATTAATAACTAGTATAGACCATGCAGTGGCCATGCAGGGTCAAGGCAGTAGTCCATGTAGCACAGTAATTTGTGTCCAGCAGTAGAGTGGCTTACCTATGGGAAAATATAAAATCAGGACAGAGTATCTGATACTTGTCCTTACTTCTAACCTCCAACCAGAATTTTTTTGAGTTTTATGTGGTTCCTAAACATATAGTAACAGTCAGTGATTTCTTTTTGACAGCCTGACCTCATCTTCTCTTGATTGCAAATACATGTTTGAAATCAAAAATGTACTCTGGTAAAATGTAGATCAATTACCCATTACATGAAGGACCTTTTCTTTTATATTTTTTTCACCTGCCATGTGCTAACTTTATACCATTTATGTCTTATATTGGAGAGATATGGACCTTTTCATGACACACGATTGTATTCTTCTTTTTTGTGTCTGGTATCACCCGTCTCTCTTCTAGATTGAAGAGTGTTAGTTTACCTAAGCTTTTCTTATGCATAAACCCACACATAACTTTGATCATCCTTGTTGCCTTTTGGTAAGTCCTTTCTTTTTGTTTCACTTTTCTGTGGGACCAACAGAATTTTTTCAGTTTTTAAGATATGAATAAACCCTGGATTTATATGATGAAATAGAAATATTACCTCTTTTATTTTTTTTTTTTTACTCCTGTGACTCCTAACATTTGATTTGCTTCTACTGCTTAGATTAAGCTGGCATTTTTTTAAAATTAGTTGTCATAACCCTGAGATATCAAACCTGAAGTTCAATTGTTAACTTAGAATTCAACTTGTACATGTAAAATTTATTTTTTCATGTTTACATCACTTCATGGCTGTCTTCCTGAGTTTTTGTCACTGTTATCATCAGTCCTTATTTCTTTTAAGTTCATTCTGCAGTACTTCACAGGTGAAGTATTTTAATGCTTGGAGTGACATAATATCATCAGTAAACTTTATCATCTCACAGGTTGGTCTCCTTTTCCAACTCTTTTATAAAACACCTTGAACAGTCCAGCACAGGTACCTACAGAATTCTGTGGGTGACCTTTTCCCATTGCAGGAACTAGCTGCCTCCTCCTAATGCTGTTCTCTGTCTTTTACCCTATTAATTATCTGTGCAAGGCCCTTTGTTCTTTTATCAAGGTTATCAATTTTCCTTATATACCTTAGGTGAGGGTTTGTGTTAAAAGCTTTTTGCAAACTCAGTTGGAATATATGATTTAATTTTCCTTCATCCATACCCTTACTGATGTCCTTAAAGAGCTCTAGTTCTACAAAATTGTGGAATTCCGCAAAATCCATATTAACTCTTCCCAACCGGACAATATTTACACTTTGAAGGATTCAGTTCTAAATGAGTGCCTTTGAGTTTAGGTCTGTACAGGTGTCTGCAGTGCGTGCGCTGTTAATATACTCAGCAGAAGTCTGGTCCAGTTGCCCAAAAGTGCAGTTCTAGAGTTACTGAGATGCGTTTCCAACATCCTCACAAGGCTGGCAGACATAACAGAGGAGTTCTGTGAGGCCTCTACGTTTCCATAGTTGCAACTGGAGGCCATGCAAGTGCCCTCGAACATCTCAGATGGCCCGAAACATGTATTTGTGAGGAACTGAATCAAGTCCCAGTGATAAAGTCAGCTACTGGGTGTAATTATTTACATTTTGTAGGAACTCTGGGAGAGTTTTTGGATGTTGAAGAGAATTACTTCTTGGCATTAGTGCCTCTTATCTCTTAATTTTTAAAGGAAAACATACATATCAGACATTTTGGTAAATGTGTAGAACTGTGTGTGTTTATCTCAGATGATTGTTCTGAGTTACATAGTTTAAAAGGGTTGGTTTGGTTTCTCTTTCAAATTTTGCTGGCTCTTAATATGTGGGAATAAAAGATGAATTTTTTTTCTGCGTTATCAGGTCACAAAAAACAGTGCTCTTTTATATGAGTATAAGAGAAAAAAAAAGAAGGAGAGAGAGAAGGAAGGAGGGATGGAAGGAAGGAAGGAAGGAAAAGGGCAGTATTTTATGGCATGGAATATCTCTGCCTGGCTGTATTTCATGGATTGAGATAAAGACAGTTAAATTGGTAAAGCAAAAGCAGTGCAAAATCAAAGCAAAACAAGGAATTCACCACTTTCCCTGGGCAGGCATATGTTCAGCCATCTCCAGAAAAGCAGGGCTCTATCAAGCGTTACAGCAACTTGGAAAAACAAATGCCATCACTCTGAATGCCCTCCCCGCCCCAATCCCCTTCCTTCTTTTTCCTCCAGCTTTCTGTGTTGAGCACGATGCCCTGTGGTCTTGAATATCCCTTGGGTCAGTTTGACTTAGCTGTCCTGTCTGTGTCCCCTCCCAACTCCTTGTGCACCCCCTGCCCATTCATTGGTAGATGGGGTGAGGAGCAGAAAAGACCTTGACTCTGTGCAAGCCCTGCTCAACAGTAACTAAAACATCCCTGTACTACCACATCATTTTCAACAAAAGTCCAAAACACGGCCCCATAGCAGCTACTATGAAAAAAATTAACTCCGTCCCAGTCAGACCCAGCACACATATAAACATGTTTGTAGAATTCTGTTGCTCTGCTGCTGTTTTCCAATTTGATTGAGTCATCTGTGCAATATATAAGGAAACTTATCTGTTTCATAGTTATCATTCACTTCTTTATATCTCATGGCAGGATCAAGATTTAGAATTTCTCTAAGTAAATCAGATACTACTGTTCCAATGTTTTAATGTTATTCTATAAGCAGTATTAAAAAAGCAGCTGTATATAATCTTATTATCTGTGCATACATGGTGATTCATATGTATTTGCTTATAGTTTAGATAAACAGGATTTGTTGAATTTTTGCATGCACATTTATTTTTAATCTTTCTGATTTTAGATTTTTCTCCTGTTTCAAGAGGCTGAAGATAAAAACAAACTTCTGCGAACTGTGGCTGGTGCAGGTTTGAACACTATCAGTAGCCTAAGAGCTACATGGGATAAATTTGAATTAATGATGGAAAGCCACCAGCTTATGATTGCAGAACAGGTAACAATGAAAGATTAACATTTTACCTGAAAACATTGAAATTATTTTGAATAAGTCTGGAAAAATACTTTTTTTCTTAGGTTAAATCTGTAAATATTCTCAATTCAGTGTTAAAACCAGTGTTACTGAGTTGAGGGAGAGCTTTCAAAGGAAGAATAATTAAACTCTTAAGCAGTAACTAGGTGAAACTTTTGTTAAATTGATGCTGAAATGAACGTTGCAGTGTTGTACTTTTGTCTCAAAACAACTTTCTCGTAACAGAAATGACTTAATAAATGCAATGGTTAACTGAAGGCAACAGGATAACACTTAAAAGATAGCGTTTTCATTACTTTATCATGCTTTTAGTACTGAAACTGGGTTTTTTTCTTTTCACATAACTTTGCTAAACTATACACAGTCCTGTAATTCCAGTCTATAGGCAAATTGCTGAACTCATTTGATTTGAAGTTCTGCTGAGGATATCAATAGGCCATAGAAATATAGCAATTTTTCTATGCACTATAAGGTGCAGGCTAGATAGATAGCATAGCTGAATAATTAGGTCTCAAATACCAGCATAATAAAAAAAAATAGTACCCCTTTAAAAAAACCCACAAAACCAGGAGAATGGAGTTGGATTGTTTCTTGGGGAATTATACAAGAAGTTTTTTGAGTTTGATTTTTGATCATATTGTAGTTACCAAGTTTTGAAGTCAATATTTTGGTTTTGATCATTGTTGTAGATACAAACCATTGAAGGAATGTAATTTTAGCTCTTGCTTTACAGATTGAAATGATGAAAGGAAATGTGATTTCACGTATTAATATGTATCTTCAAGACCTGGAAAAATTTAAAGCGCGCTGGGATCAACTAAAGCCAAGTGATGATGTCATTGAAACAGGAGATCAGGATGTACTTGAGAAAAGTGCTCAGATCATAAAGGAAAAAAAAAAAGAATTTGATGAACTCGAAACTGTGAAAGAAAAACTCATGTATGTGTATTTACTTCCCTGTATATCTTCTTCACTAATGTATGGATCTTTTGCAGCGGTAGTAACTCAGAAAATGTTAACTAATTTTTATCACAACACTTAATATAAGGAATTTAATTTGTAATACCTGTTTTTCATTAGATTCCAGGGTCCTTTTTGTTGATTTTACATAACATGAATTTCTCAAGCCAAGTTTTTCTAGAGTTTTTTTAATGAAAAATTTGAGAAGTCTCTTAAGCCTTCACATGAGGAGGTTTGATGCTGACTTGTGAAATTCTCACTGAGAGAAGGTTTATAATATTGGTCCAAGAAGGACCTCGATCCTCTTGTAACTTAAGTGGGCAGGAACTCACGTCTCCTGTTTCTTGAGTAAGTGTCCTATCTGGTAGACTGTTGTGCAAAAGGAAAGGATTTTTCTGGTCTGGGTGTCTACTTTCAGTAAACAAATAATAATAATAATTAGTAAATAAATATTATAAAAATAATAATTAGTAAATTATTAGAGAACTTGAGAGGACAAAGTTTTCTATTTAACTTCTTACCTTGGCAAGTAAATGATAGTAAATAAAATTAGCATATTCTTTTTACCCAGAAGAAAGAAAAAATCAATTCAAAATTATTTTCTTTCAAGCTTTCTTTTTGAGGGAACAAATTAATTAATTTTTCTTGTAAAAAAAATGAATGACAGTTTATGGAAAATAATTGGCAATATGGGAGAATACTGCTGTGTAGGAGAGTTATCCCTCATATTCCTTTATTATTTCTATTCAAGAGGGAGACTATAAGGAAATTGGAGTTGGCAGCAGTGTTCTTCAATAAAACCAATAACATTTCTTAAAAAAGTATGATTATTTCTGTAGGATACCATTTCTTAAACCATAAATGTACAGTAGAATAATATAATCCATAATACAATGATCTTTTTATTCAGTGAAGAATGCCATCATTTTAAATTGGAAGAGCCTGACTTCTCATTGTCAGAAGTTGTAAGTCAAGATATTAAGAGTTGTGCAGAAGTCTGGGCACTGTATGAAGAGTTTTATCAAGGTTTTCAGGAAAAAGCCAAAGAAGACTGGATTACTTTTAGGTATGATTTTGTTACTTTATTTTTAATTGACATACATGTGTGGTTGTAGTACTGTGTTGTTATGACCTTTTTATATTTGATTTTCATGCAGAAGTAAAACACACCTATTTGAAGAATTTTTGTTTCACTGGCATGACAAAATGAGGAAGATGGAAGAACATACTGTAATGACAGTAAAGTTGCAAAAAGAAGTGGACAAATATAAAGTAAGATGCTTATTACCCTGGAAGTGTTCAAGGCCGGGTTGGATGGGGTTTTTAGCAGCCTGGTCTAGTGGAAGGTGTCCCTGCCAATGGTAGAGAGGTTGGAATGATCTTTAAGGTCCTTTTCAACCCAAATAATTCTATGATTCTGTGAACTGCAAAAAGGCCTATGAAACAAAAAATGATGTAGTATTAGTGGGTAGTGGATTTCATTCTCTAGCTCATTGTTAATTTCTTACAATAAAATCAGTTAAAATTTAACAAAATATCTTCTGATACTGTTTTACACATTTCACTTTTGAGAACCTTTTAGTTCCATACAGTGAATAGGAAGATCATTGCAGCTTACATAGACACACATTTAATAACGAGTTTTCTTCAGAATTATAATCCTAAACTTTAAATCCAGCAACTGGAAAAAATGTACCTCAGTTTAAGAATTTAATATTTTTTTTTTGTTTGAATAGCATGTCAGTCTATAATCAAAGAGGTGCAATTTTCATAAAGACAAGATGGATTCACGTGTGCATTTTTTCTATAGATGATAATTCCACTCCTAAAATATGTCAGGGGAGAACATCTTTCTCCAGACCATTGGCTGGATCTCTTTCGTCTTCTGGGTCTTCCCCGAGGCACTACACTTGAGGGCTTGCTATTTGGAGACCTATTGAAAGTGACAGATGCCATTATAGAAAAAGCAATGGAACTTAAGGTATGAATAATTTCAGATAGAGGAACTATAGTTTTTTATGGTTTCTTTTATGCCATATATGTTGTTCTGTATGCATACAATGTTATTACTATAGGAGTAGAGCTTGCATTATATTTTTGAATGGAAAATTTATTGCAAGCTCTGTAGTTTCATATGAAATCTGGTTTTACTTTTAAATAGGATTTGAACTGTCGAGCCCAAGGTGAAATCTCAATCAGAGAAGCATTACGTGAGCTTGAACTCTGGGGAGTCGGAACTGTCTTTATGTTAACAGATTATGAAGACAGCCAAGGCAAGACTATCAGGCTTATTAAAGACTGGAAGGACATAGTCAACCAAGTTGGAGATCATCGCTGTCTTCTACAGTCTCTTAAGGACTCTCCATATTACAAAGGTTTTGAAGATAAAGTGTCCATCTGGGAAAAAAAGCTAGCTGACTTGGATGAGTATCTGCAGAATTTAAACCAAATTCAAAGGAAATGGGTCTATTTGGAACCGATATTCGGTCGTGGAGCTCTACCCAAAGAACAGGCTCGTTTTAACAGAGTTGATGAAAACTTCAGGTTAGTGTTATGGAGTGAGACTTATTTATTTCTAATATCTTTGACATGTGGAGTCTAGAACATTTTTCATGGTGAAAATATATGGGAACAATTCGAATATGTGTGGAGAGGATGGTAAACAACAGTAATTCAATAGTTATATATGTGTGAGAGTGACATATCTGAATAAAGGTGGTAATGTGTTCATTTAATGTGGTGCTTGTGAAGAAAGGAATCACATGAAACATGAAAGATCATAAACAAGGCAGCCAAACACAAGATTAGTCTTGTCAGCAGTAGAGGTGATATAATTATTTTTTCAAGAATCATGTTGAAGACAAACACTCTATTCACTAATAAAGTACACAGACTTTTGGGAGAGACAGATGCTTTATCTGATCCAAACAAGTCAAAAGATAAAAAGGGAGTAGATTTTAGACATATAGTAAGATATGTACCTTTATCTGTCTTGGTTTGAGTTGAAATGACTTATAAGGAAATAAAAGACAAGAACTGAATTTTCTTGGCTTGGAGTAGAGAAATTTTAGCAAAAAACAGTTGTTTTTAAATTACAGTGGAGAGATATTGATGTAAATTCTGCAGTATTTCATCATTAATACTGAAAACTGAAAGTTATATTACTTCCCTGTGTGTTATTTTTTATTTACATAACTACTATATAATATTTAAATTACAATTATAATGGTTTTATTAATTATTCTTTTTTTTTTTCTTTCAAGATCCATTATGTCAGATATCAAGAGTGACAATAGGGTAACATCACTGAATGCCCGGACAGGAATAAAAAATACCTTAATTACCATACTTGACCAGCTTCAGAGATGTCAGAAATCTTTGAATGAGTTTTTGGAGGTACAGCCAACATTAACAGAGTTTTTTATAAAGAATGTCAGTAAGTTTGAATTTAAGTCAACAAAACTGATTTATTTTGTTTTAATATAGGAAAAGCGCTCAGCATTTCCAAGATTCTATTTCATTGGAGATGATGACTTGTTAGAAATTTTAGGACAGTCCACGAATCCCCTGGTTATTCAGTCTCATCTTAAGAAACTTTTTGCTGGTAATGCATCAATCTTCATTTGTGAATTGTACTTATTTAGAAATAAGCTTCTTCAAAGCTAAATAATATGTTGCAGGCTTTTTTTTTCCTTTTTTTTTCACTACTAGACACTAAGGAATTAATGTTTGACTTTGACAATTTATTGATGTTTTCTGATTATTAGGCATTAATAGTGTGAACTTTGATAAAGAATTTAAACACATAATTGCCATGAAGTCTGTAGAAGGAGAAACTGTGCCACTTAGAAATAAAGTTCTTCTGTCAAATGATGTGGAGGTAAGAAAATCACATACCAGTCTGGTTCAAGCGTCTTTCAGAAATTAATTTGTAATGTAATTTTTGAGGTTTTTTTTATCTCTTTGTCAGGTGTGGCTAAACAGTTTGGCTTTGGAGATGAAGGAGACCCTGAAAAAAATGTTAATTGACTGTGTTAATGCTGGAAAAAAATCACAAGGTTCAATTGATCCATCCCTCTTCCCTTCCCAGGTAGTAGTTCATCCAGTAATGCCACTACGTAGTCTTAGATTTACCAAAGAAGTTATTTTTTTTGAATCTCATAAAGAAGTATATGTTTGGATTTGGAAGAATATAACCCTTAACAAATCCATTTTACTCATTTATTGTATAGAGAAAATCTTAAAGATAGGTGATCTTATAATTCCTTTGTAAACATTTGAAATATTCAAGTCTTTTACATGGCACCTGATCTAACATCTGTCTATTTATTAAATTTTATATAAATCTTGATCTTAGTTGGTATTGAATGTTATGTGCAGGGTTGCGAAGACTTAGTAACATTAAAAAGCCCTTTTGGATCTGATTAAAGTAGATAAGAGTTTCTGAAGCTTAGCTGCCTAAGCAGGAACAGTAATGAATATGAAATTCTTTTATTGATTTTGACCAATAACAGAGAGCATCATACAGAAACACGGAGTGGCTGTGGTGGGAAGGGACCTCTAGAGGTCAGCTGGTCCAACGTCCTGCTCAAGCAGGGCCATCTAGAGCTCCATGCACTTCTGCTGCTCCCTTATGTAAAGGGCAACTCCAAGTCCTCATGTTCCCTGCCTGTCCTTCCTAAAGAGCCTGTACCACTTGATTGCAACACTCCAACTGTGGGAGTCATTACACCACATCTCCATATTCCCAATAAGATCAGAGCCCTGCAACTGCACACGGATCTCTAACTCATTATGTTTGTTCCCTATAATGAATGCACTGGTGTACAGGCACTTCAGAGGAACTGAGCATGTTGAGTTCTTGGAAAACGTTTGAGAGTTCTCCATAATGGTGCCCTGTAGGTATTTCCTTGCTGACCTGGAAAGTGTTGAAGTGACTCTGCTTGAGCCCCATTTTGTTGTTTTTTGTGGCCACTTTCTGTCATAGGCCCTTTGCTCAGTGATCCTCTCTGTCAGTCGCTCATAGGACTTCTCGTTGCTCTCTCCCTCCCCCAGAACGTAGTTACTGTTACAATCTTCAAATTGTCACAATTGGTGGAATTTTTTGTTACAGACCTTTCTAGTTCCAAGTTTGACTGAACCTTCATAGCTCAAACAGGGCTTTTACACTGAATGTAAAGTAGTTAGAATATAAGTAGAGTGCTGGAAAATAGAATGCAAAGTGTTGTAGTAGCAGATCAGTGACACAAGTGAGAGGTGCTCCTGAGAGTGTGTAATATGGGCTCAGCATGCCCACAATATGGTGGTTTCCATTTGACATATCATTTAAGAGAAAAAGAGACTTATAAATTTTGCTACTGCATGCTTTAGAACAGCTGAAGGACTTGCTGTATTGGATTAGATTGCAAGTTTTGGCAAAATTTTGTCAGATTTTAAGATGGCTGTATTTGTTTTTAACAGCATAGTAAATGTATAGATTTGTTTAAAAATTATGCAATAAAATATGTAAAATATCAGACATAATAAGCAATTGCAAATTAATTGAAAAATTAGTTGGTTTTTATGTCTTCTGTATTTATAAAATATAACTTGAATTTCTTTTTCCAAAGATTCTTTCCTTGGCAGAACAAATTCAGTTCACTGAAGATGTTGAAAGTGCTATAAAAACCCATAATCTACAACAATTAGAATTAGAACTCATGGCTAAACTGGACCATTATACTAACATTGGTAGTGGCATAGAAAATACTGGGAGTACAGGTATAAAAATGATAATTAATATAAATATTTTTTTATTACTTTAGTTGTGTAATATTTTACATTCTGTATATTTGAACAGGAAATTATATAAATCCGTCTCTGAGTTCGTAAAGTTGAGTTACATAAGGTTGCTCATCTGTTACTACCAAGATTAGAGTTTTTAATATATCAGAATGAACAAAGGACTTCTATATAGATTAAAAATTATCTTAGAGAATTTATGTATTTGCAAACGTATTTTCTTAACTTTTTAATAAGGTTCTGTCTTTTGGTTTATATATCTACTGATAATTTGTTCTCATCTACTGAACTGTGTCCTAGTGTTATGTATCACAGGAAGTGGCCAAAAAGCAGCTGAGGTATGTTAAGTCAAGCCAATATATACTGTACAACTGTGTGAGTAATTTTCTATGTTAGATGTATACATCTGCCTCTGAACTAATAATTCCTGTGTACCTCTGAGGCAAAACAAATAAGCTAGTTATTCCCAAGATATGATTATTCTGAATTTTACATACTCCAAATGGGTTTGAATAGTTATGCCTCTGAGTGCTTATTCCTCCCTTTTGACCAGAGGTGGGATTTTGAGTGTCCTGAGATATAAAGTTCCATAGTGTAGATTAGGAGAGATGGCTTTTAGCTTAATATGTGTAAAAAGACTCAATTTGACATGTAGTTGACAGTCTTCCACCACATTTGTATAGGTGGTTACTGCACTAAATTCTAGTTTATAATTTGTGAACTGTAAACATCTGATACATTGCTTAGGAATAGAATTCATATCACCTACCTCCAGCAGTCTATGAGTGTGCTTCTTTGTCTAAGCTCCTTTTCTGCACTCTTTCTATACCCATTTCAGAAATGTCATCAGTTACAGAAGAGTGTTCAGTCCTATCTATTGTATAATACATTTACTGTAACTTTTTAACTTAGAGAGGTGTGATTTTTAACTGAATTTCTTAATTATTCCCACTTACTTTGGTTTAAATCCCATCATGGGGTGGTCTGGAAGCACACAAACTGGATATCTTTCTAAAGGAACTAAATTAAACAGTATGTTCTAAGAATACACTTAATGCATGCAATCTGCTAATGAACATTCATTACACATCACCTTAATTATTCTGAGCAAAATCTCCAGTGTGTGTAGTGGGGGTTTCAGATCCTCAACAGATCACTCAACAGGTTACACCACCTCACTGCTGAAGTGGACATGGCTGTAAACATTCCTGAAATAAATTGCTTTGCAAAAAAGCCTTTCTCTCTCTTTTGAATGTAGAGGCAGACAAAATCACTTCAAAATGACTGAAGTTACGTGATGATTCACACTGTCTGTCAGGATCTCATGTTATACTGTTTGCTTTAGAAAATAAAAAACCTTTCTATATATAATTCAAATAAAATCTAACTGAAATCTGCTGATAATAAAAATCAGCACAATGAACTTGAGAATGGGTGACATGTGTCTTCCTTACTACACTGTTGTGATTTTTTTTCTTTTGCGTGTGATTATTTGCAGAATCAGGAATCCTTGAGCTTAAGCTTAAAGCTCTGATTCTTGATATCATTCATAACATTGATGTGGTGAAGCAACTGAATCAAGCTCAGATTCATGATATTGAAGACTGGGCTTGGAAGAAGCAGCTGAGATTTTATATGAAAGACCAAAAATGTTATGTTCAGATGGTAGATGCTGAACTCCAATATACTTATGAATATCAGGTGGGGTATTTTTATTTTTTACCTAGTGACTTTTATAGGTGTCCAACACTTTCTCATTTGATACCTGCTGCTGCTTGTCTCCCAACTGTTGTCATTTTTTTTAAACTTTGTTGTGTCTTTAGCATGCTATTTCACAGAAAATATTAAAAGATAGGGTAATAATTTTAATTCTTGATATTGATGGGGTAAGTGTAAGTTGTATGGAAAGTACCTGTATTGTCTTATTAATATTTTCTAATATGATTGCTGCTTTTGTATATCTGAATGCAGTTTCATCTGTAATTCTAAAAAATTTTTGAACAATGCTTTGGCATTTGGTGTAAAATCAGGAAAACTTTGAAACAAATTCATAATCTAGGCTGTTGTGTAATATTTCCAAATTAATTAGTTATGAATGAAATTAATGAAATTACTTTGTCAATACTTTCTGTCTCCCAGTCAATATAATTTGTTTTGTTTCTGCAGGGTAATTCCCCTAAACTTGTTTACACACCTTTGACAGATAAGTGTTACCTAACTCTCACTCAGGCCATGAAGATGGGCCTTGGAGGAAATCCCTATGGTCCAGCTGGAACTGGGAAGACAGAATCAGTTAAGGCCTTGGGTGGACTTCTTGGAAGACAAGTTTTAGTCTTTAATTGTGACGAGGTGAATATGGTTCTGTTTAATTTAGGAAATGGATATCTATGCCCATACTTTGTAAAGCGATATTATATTCTAGAAATAATATTAATAATATCAATTATTATAGAATTATATATTGTTATATTTATTATTATTAGTGTTAATAATATTATTCTAGAAATAATTTTGATAATTTATCAATTGCCATTAGAAATTTGTGGATATTTCTAATGACGTTTTTTAGTGGATGGGAAGACAGTCTTTTATATTTTCTTGTTATTTGAATTTTGATAGTATTCTTTTTAATTTTAAGGGCATTGATGTGAAGTCAATGGGGCGCATATTTGTGGGCTTAGTGAAGTGTGGTGCCTGGGGCTGTTTTGATGAATTCAATAGACTTGAGGAAACTGTATTGTCTGCAGTATCCATGCAGATTCAGACAATTCAACACGCATTGAAGAAACACAGTCCTGTCTGTGAGATGCTTGGCAAAAAGGTACTGCAAAACTTACTTAAAAACTGACTTTTCTAACTAAGCATAGTCCTCCCAGCATTTCTCAATACTGTTTTATTTGACAATATACTATTATAATGCACTTCTAATGCTAGGTTGAAATGGATCATAATTCTGGAATTTTTATCACTTTGAATCCTGCTGGAAAAGGTTATGGAGGAAGACAAAAACTACCTGATAATCTCAAACAACTTTTTAGGCCAGTTGCTATGACTCATCCAGACAATGAACTCATTGCGGAAGTGATTTTGTATTCAGAAGGCTTTAAGGATGCTAAAATACTGGGTAGAAAATTAGTGGCTATTTTCAATCTAGCAAGGTAAGTTTTCATATACCCCACCTCCCCCTAGTAAAGTTACCTTTTTAATTCTCTTCCCTTCTACCTCTTAAATCTAAACAGTATATCACGTAAATCTCTGTGGATACTAACTTAACATAGAATTAAAATACTGCAATATATTGAGAGGTTGAGGTGTGAAAGTGTATGGAATGCAATTATAATCTCAAGGGGACAAATTGCTGCTCCCCTAGTATGTTCATTAAATATAAATGTGAGCATGTGAATGTTCAGATGCATTGTGTTGATTTTAGGCTCTTGAAATTGTTGAAATGCAAGTAACTATTCGGTTAAAAGTATGCACATTAGAAAATACAAAAAGTTAGAGGTTATAGTTAGTACTGTTAGGCACAATAATAAATACATTACCTGTAGAATATAACCCCTCTGAAAATTCAAGAGTGTCATTGCTTATATCTGAAATGCATTTCAAGTGGCACTACAAATACTCATCAGTTTCTCTTTTGCCCAGAACCTTATTAGAAGTATGTTCATTCTCCAAACCAAAATTTCAGGCCCTGTAACCTAAAGATTATTATGATATTGTTGTTTTCAAATTTAGGGAGCTTCTAACACCACAGCAACACTATGACTGGGGTTTACGAGCATTGAAGACTGTTTTGAGAGGCTGTGGCAGCCTTCTTCATCAGCTGAAGAAAAGCAATGCAAAGCAAGAAAGTAAGATTGCCCATGCCAAACTTTTGATTCTTTAGGATCTTGTACAATTAGAATTTACTGCAGACTTCTTGTTCACTAGAGTTTTGAGAAACCATGGCTTGGATCTGGAAGCAATTTAGAAAAGAAAAAAAAAATCTGTGAAAGCCCACCTTCACTAGGAGATCACAAAAGACTGTTGTCATACTGTAGATTGAGTTTTTCTGTGATGATAAGAACATAAACACAGGACTTCATTCTGGAATGATTTTGAATTATTCTTAAAGACTGTTGTTTTTGTTTGACTCAGGACAGGAAAGTTGATCCTCTGATGCTGCAATTATTCATAAGTTATCAGACTATTTTGTTTCTATTTGAGGTTTGCAAAAATTATCATATGGTATTAGATTCAGATTGGTAGACTGAGAAAAATATAAGGATAGGTAGAAATGATAGAAATATATTGGACTAGACTGAGTTAATATATTTTTTTAAGCTTTTGAATTATTGTTGTTTAGGTATTAATTGAATGGGAATTAAGAGTGTGGAATGGATGAGCATTTCACATATTTAGGAGACAACTACTGCAACCTGTTTGTTTAAATGGCATATACCTGAAAGTTTGCATATCTTAACGTAAAAAAATGGGCTGAAAACTTTAATGAATTTGTACTTGACTTTAGTATGGATCTACCAGAGAAGGATTACCAGTGATGTGTTTTAGGTCACATTCCTATCACTGTTTCTTGCTATGACATTTTAGCTTAATGTTTAGATATGTGAAATCTGCTGAAATTTTTTCTGGTTTAAAACATAATTTTCAATAACTCTGCTGAAGGCAAAGTGGATGGATTTAACTTATGATTTAAATCCAGAAATTTTTGTTTCTGTTTGTTTGATTGTTTTTTCATGCCATACTTTGAGAAGCTTAAGACATTTCCAACAAATGCAATTGCCTGTTTCTTTATGTTTGCTTGTATTTTTGAGTCAAAATCCTTTGGCATGGCAAAATGCTACTTAAATTTTGTATTGCTTCCTTTACTAAAGCAGTTCAACCTTTCTAAATCAAGTTCCTTAATGTCAATGTTTTTCCTGTTAACTGTTTATCATGCTATTTAGAAAAATTACCTTTAGAAGCACTTGTATTTAGGACATTTTTCAGTATGAAAAACTTTGAACTTATTCCAGACTTTAGAAGGGCATGCTAATATTTAACCTCTGGAACATTGGGAAAAAGACACAGGAAGAAGGGAAGTTAGAGAATTGACACTTTCTGTCCCCTGTGTTGAATCTGGACATTCTGGTTTTGGGCAGTGACACGTTCAGAAGGAGGGCAGAAGCACAGGATGATTTTCACCTGTGGTTCCTAGGCCTGCTTTCTGGAAATGTACATGTTTTACGTGAGAATGTATTTCAATTAAAAAATGAAAATAACCAAGAGATGAGAGACCTGTACCATTCCCACCATGAGTATCTGTTTTTCTCTCAGAGTAAATAATTTCTGTGGCTTTTTTCATTTGGATCTCAAAATGCTTACATTTCCATGGTTATTTCAGATTCAGGAGTAATTGTGGAAAGTGTTTACTTCTGGAATATTCATAGTTAATTAGGATGCACTTGAAAGATGTGACTTCAAACTACCTCTAGCAGAGTAAGGTCTGGAATCCAGATTCTTTATTTCTTTCATGAGTTCTTTAGCAAGTAAGCTATTGTGGTAATCATTAGGCTATTATGTACTTTTTGGCCAGCATCATAATCATCTCATATCTGTATAGAATACATTTGTGGACATATATTATACTTACAGTAAAGCACTTGTCTAACTTCCTAGTAGAGTGGTACATGAACTAGAAGGAAGTCTGTGCTGCGATTCTACTTTCAATGTCTTTGCAGTGTGTACTCATGCTGACATATCCAAAGAAAAAAAAAAAACAACAAACAGCTTAAACTGATCTGTCCTCTTTGTTTTTATTTCCAGTTAATGAAAGTCACATGGTGGTTCAAGCTTTGAGGCTTAATACCACGTCAAAGCTTACATTTGCAGACTGCGCACGTTTTGATGCACTGGTTAAGGATGTATTTCCTGGCACTGACTTTCGAGATGTGGAATATGCTGAGTTAACTACAGCTTTACATCAAGTCTTTGAAGAAGCAAACTTAGAAATTATAAGCATGCAGGTGAGCACCGTCTACAGCAACAAAACGAGTTATTCTGAATTAGAACTTATTTGTAACCTTCAATTAATTTCTGTTTTCTTTTGAAATAAATCTTTTATAAAGAAGTGAGAATAACTGATAGTTAGATTCTAGTTACATGTATATAAAAAATCGGATGTGTGTTTGAAGCACATAGATGTCACTGAAAGTAAAATAGTTCAAGGAAAAGTAAGATCTGAACATGTGACACACAGTTTCATTCAAGCCAGGTACTAATGTCAATGAATGTTTTGGACAGTGAAAGAAGGAAATATGTGAATATTTGCTTTTATCAAGCAGTTCTTTGTCATGTTTTAGGTTATTTATTGTAGAACTAAATGAAGTTCTGTGACTAAGGATTCATAAATTGCTCAGTAAAAATATACCCAAGGATGGCTAATATTTTTATTTTAATAATTTAGTGAAATGCTTCTAACATGCAAAATAAATTTCTTGATATTCTTTAGTAACATAATTTTAATTATTTCTGCAAATATCTATTGTCTCAAAATTTAAAATTCTAACAAGAAAATGTCTGCATGCAAAATAAATTGGAAAAACATTTAAAAAGAACGTCTGATGTAGCTTTACAATTTCACATAGCCATTATCTCTTTTATTATCTAGATCAAGAAGGCTTTGGAATTATATGAACAGCTACGTCAAAGAATGGGTGTAGTTATTGTAGGTCCGAGTGGTGGAGGTAAATCAACACTTTGGCGGATGTTAAAGACAGCACTTGGTAAAACTGGCAGAGTAGTGAAACAGTATACAATGAATCCTAAAGCTATGCCTCGACATCAGTTGCTAGGCCGTATTGACATGGACACCAGAGAATGGTCAGATGGTGTGCTTACAAACAGTGCTCGACAAGTGGTACGAGAGCCCCAAGGTATGTCTGTGAGGAGTTAAATGGTTCATTTTCAGTTACGTTTTTATATTGTATCATCAGTTGCGGATAGCATAAGGTAAGAAAACCTTCTGGTAACAATTACAGTCAAGAGCCCTGATACAGACTTTCCAAATTTTGTGATAAAAAACCAAAAATAGGCAGCAGAAGGTAAAGCATGCAAGGTATATCTTGATAGAACTTTTGTTTAAGTTATAATGAAGAGAGAACTAAATAGCGTTAAAATAATAAGGGGTGATATTTTTAAGTGGTTTTCTTCGATTTTTTTTTTTTTTTTATTTTTGTGCCTGGAAATAGATATTACTTCATGGATAATTTGTGATGGTGATATCGATCCCGAATGGATTGAATCTTTGAATTCTGTTTTGGATGACAACAGATTGTTGACTATGCCCAATGGAGAAAGAATTCAGTTTGGCTCAAATGTCAACTTTATATTTGAAACTCATGACCTTAGCTGTGCCTCCCCTGCTACAATATCTCGAATGGGAATGATCTTTCTGAGGTAAGTCATGGGAGTATTACATACTTTCAAAATAAGCAAATATACTTACTTTTCTTGAAAGGTATTCTCAAGTGGATGGAACAGTTGATTGTAGCTTACACTTACAGAGCCAATCACTGGGGAAGTTTGCTGCAGGTTGTATGTCCCTTCTGTGTTGTTATGTTATAATCTTTTGGCTGATACACCTCAGACATCTTCAAAAAGACATGGTGGATTCTTTGTTTTTATATGACATTTGAAGAGCCCAAGTATGGATTAGAAATTATTAAAATATCTCCCTGAACTTTTTCTGGAATTTTGAACCAGTCCGTTTAAAGGTGTGGATGCCTTGTGTTTATCTGAATCTTGTTTTGTTTTGGCTTAGTGATGAAGATACAGATCTTAATGCTCTGATAAAGTCTTGGCTAAGAAGTCAGCCTGAAGAATGCAGGTACAACCTCGAAAACTGGATTGGTGACTATTTTGAAAAGGCTCTAAACTGGGTTGTAAAGAAGGTTAGTAAATTAATACTTAAGCAAATATCAGCTTCTGTTAAGTATTATCTATTTTTGTAATTTAACATTGAAGAGATAATTCAGATTAATTTTTAAATTGTTATTAAAAAAATCTCTACTTTTTTGATAGAATCATAGAATCATAAAATATTTTGAGTTGGAAGGGTCCCATAAGGATCATTGAAGTCCAGTACCTGGCTCTGAACAGGACGACCCCAAGAATCACAGCATGTGCCTGAGAGCATTGTCCAAACACATCCTGTACTTTGGCAGGCTCGATGTGTTGCCGTGGGATTTAGGTGCTGAAAAAATCTCCGGAGCAGTTAATTAGGGGTGAGATAAGAAAGGGTTTATTTGCCAAGGCTAAGATGTTACAAGACGCGCGTGTATACCTGCCCCTGTGCCCGAGAGGTTACATTTTATAACATCATCCATCCAATCCCAGATGTATCCACCCTGTGGCTTTTCCTCTGGACCGCCCCGAGGTCCACCCCCTGAAAATGGGTCTGGGGTGCATTTCGGGACCCCCTACTTCGTCACCTTCATCATCATCAGAGCACAAAGGGTACATAGTTACCTAATTCTTGACTTCATTCTGTGGTTTAGGCCCAGATATGCTGTTCTGTCAACTGTCTAGGCCTTGCCTTGACAAAAGACTAAACATTTCTATTGGATTCAGGAGTAGGGCTGATACAGGGAGCATAGAATGGGGTAAGAGGGTTAAGGAATGTGTAAACAAGGGTGCTACAGGGAAAGGGAAAGGGACAAGGGACAAAGAAGGGAAGGGTTTCTGCTTTTAAAACTTACTTCCACTACTTATAAAACTTACAAGTTTTACAAATACTAGAAAAATAAAAAAAACTATTAGGGGCTTAAGGCATCAGGTGCTGTGACCACACTGGTCACAGCCCAATGGAGCTGTTTCCTTAATAAAATTAATACTCGAACTGTTCTAATAAGTTTCCAAGAACTGATTGCTGTACTTAAAGTTTTGAAACATTCAATACCATTTAAACTAATAAAAACAGATATTAAGGTTCACAGAAATACATGCGTTGCATTATTCCATGGCAGGCATTTTTCTTTATGTTTTCTAGGATTTGAAAGACTTGAATATCTAAACTAAAAAAGTGAAGAAATTTTCTAGATTGATGTTATTGTCTATAGCACAAAAATGGCTAAAATTTGACAAGTTGGACACTGGAAGCTGAAGCTTGTTAAAGGTTGAGGAGAAATTTAATGCTAGATACCTAAAAAGATTAATAGAGACATATCTAAAAAAGTATTTCTATTGTTCAGAATGCTAAATTATAACAGCTTACACTAATCTGTCCTGGAATTAAGTATATAACTTCAGCACTTTAGGATTCTACTCAAAACCTTAACTGAAAAATGTTTTAATAGGTGAAAAGTAATATGTAATTAAAATATTTAAAAAAAAGGATAGTCCAAAACTTTGTAGATGATCTGGATTCTGGGAAGTATATCATGATAATTGTTTTGTATATGCTAGATTTTCTTAAGGACTCTAGATGTTTCCCAGCCTCCTCTTCTTTTGAAGGAGTTGGATTTGCATTGATTAAGTAGCTGATATTGCACAAAATATTATTTAAGAGACATTCCCACTGTGGCCACTAAACTAGTCTTTAGGAGATCTGCATTATTTCCCCTTGGGTAACTTATATGGACCTGTTGTGATTTTGTTATTATTTTTCCTCTTGGTTCTTTCACCCATGGTGACTTTTAGACTTCTAAGGTATCTCCAGGTGGATAAATAGAAAAATTTGGTCCCAAGGCTCAAATTCCTTTTGGTGCTAAAGAGCAAAGTTAAAAAATGATCTGTTCAAAAGAAAGAATTCTGATATACAGTCACGTTTATTTCTTATAGATTCTGAAAATCTGTAAGGAAAGTTCTAGTTGCTTATCCTAAATTACATCAATTCGTAGTCTGCAATTAAAACCTCCAAATCAATTCTTAGAAATAATTTAATCTCAAGTGAATTTTCTGGAACAATAACACTGTTGAGATCTTTCCTTATTTGTGGAAGTGTCAAAAAACAATGAGTAATAGCAGTCTACTAGCAATACATCACATTTATATTGAGAAACATATTTAAATCTACTACAATTTGTAATTTACAGAATGACTCTGTGGTAGAAACAAGTTTAGTTGGAACGGTGATGAATGGACTGTCTCATCTTCATGGGTGTACTGATCGTGGACAGTTTATTATTAACTTGTTACGTGGCCTTGGTGGCAATCTCAACGTGAAATCACGACAAGAATTTGCAAAAGAGGTAATCTTTGTGCTCTTATTTGATTGCAATCTGTGTTGTCTATAGGGAAATAGCTGAGAAGTAAAGGAGTGTTTCATATGTCACTGATAGACTGCTAAGTGCATCCATCCCTGACAGGAAACCTCTGTCCATACTGCTTTCTGCAAGGACCCACTATAGCAGACTGTGTGTGTCTATATGTATTGTATACATAATACAGATTTATTTTTGTGGATTTTTTCTGTTCAGAAGGCTTGAAATGATAATGTGGGGACTTTGTTGCACCTCATTAGGGAAATGTTCTTAGAGCATTACTTTGAGGTTATGTATTGTATGTGCTGGTGTGTGATTCTCTGTGTAGATACTTGAGGGCACAAGAACTAGGCAACAGTATTAGAAAACTCTGTGCCTATGCTGGTCCATAGTCAGAAGGTTGACCCTGGAGATAGATATTTCCGCAATCACACTTGAGTTTTGTGTTGGAGAGAAGAAAGTCGTTCCTTCCAAAAGGCAACCAGGAGCTATAGCATATAAAGTGGGCAAATGATAAAGGTGTAGACTCAGCCTTAGGAATTAGTTATTGATGCATGTGAAGGAGTTATCTCATTTTTACAATTATTATTGTTATTATGTTGCCTAGTCTAAAAAAAAATTATGTATAGCTTTTCAAAATACAATTTGTTTGAATTTCTCAATATTATGAAAAGTGGAAAAGTAATATGTTACTATTTACTTAAGGACTTAAAGCACATGCATGACATGATTAAATTTTCAGAGGCAGCCTTAAACTATCAAAATGTGATTTTACAGAATTATTCTTTGAACATTCTTTAGATTAGCTTGAAATGGTAGATCTTGTTGTTAGGAGTATGGATTTAATTGAAGTTTTATTTTTATTTTTTTCTAAAGCTCTTCAGTTGGGCACAAGAGTCTCCACCAGACCCGAGGAAGCCCCTGGACACATATTATGACACTGACACTGGACAGCTAATGCTGTATCAGCTGAAAAGAACTGAAAATCTAACAGCTGATGACTTCAGTAATCTCCAAACACTTCCTGTCATCCAAACCCCTGACATGCAGAGAAGTTTAGATTACTTTAGACCCTGGCTAGACATTAATAATAAACAGCCATTTCTTCTTGTGGGTCCTGAAGGATGCGGAAAGGGGTAAAAAGTAGTTCCTATTTTAAGTAAAATATACTTCTAGTTATTTGACAGAATTTGTAATATTTTGTTATAATGCTTTTATAATATGACTTTCTGATAGAATATCACTTGTGTAGGTCACTAATTAAACAAATGTTTTGTAGTGACAAATAGGTAAGTTCTTATGAAGTTCTGCAGTGAAAGTTCTGACTGCCAGTATGCATCTAAGACATCTGAATGCAGCTTTTAGATATGAAACAGGACCTTTGGAAAACCTGTGCTGTCATGGAGCAACAGCTTAGAGGCACGAGGTATCCAGTTTTATTTCAAGAGACATAGGTGCCTATGTACAGGCAACTGAATTTAGCTCCTTCTCTTGCCCATATTAGGTTCCTTATTTAGATGTGTTGGATCACTATAATCAAGGTATTTATACTAGCTGTTTGTTTTGTGTAGCGGTGTAAACTACACTTTTATTGAATTTTGTGGATAGGAAATAGCACTATTTTAAAGGCAGGAATGTTGAATTCAGCAAACCTCATGCTCCACCTTTTCCATTAATACAGGATATAGTATATGCATTTTAATTCAAAAACTATACAATATATTTGGATACACAGTGGTTTAATTTACTTATGTTTGTATGTATGTACATGTTTACTTTTCTAGGATGTTGCTTCACTATGCATTTTCTCAACTCCGATCCACTCAGATTGCTACCATTCACTGCAGTGCTCAAACTACTTCTCAACATCTTCTACAAAAATTAAGTCAAACTTGCATTGTAATCAGTACAAACACTGGGCGAGTATACAGACCAAAGGACTGTGAAAGGCTTGTTTTGTACTTAAAAGACATCAATCTACCCAAACCTGATAAATGGGGAACAAGCACTCTCGTGGCTTTTCTACAGCAGGTGAACACTTATGTCTGTTATTTAAAAAGGCACTTAAGTATACTGTATATAATTTAGTGTATGTAGTAAATAACTACATTGATTATGTTAACACCCTGCATCTGCATTGGCATTAGTTTTGCTTCTACTTGGGTAGACTATGTAGGTGTCAGCCAGAAATAAGATACCCTTTTTATTTGGCTTATTTGTGTAAGTAAATAAAGACAGTGCTTGTCTCAATGAGTTATAATGCAATGGGCATATGAATGACAAGAAAATCACCAGGAGTAGTCAGCATGGATTCACTAAGGGTAAGTCATGTTTGGTGAGGGGAGAGCAGTGGTTATAGTCTACCTGGACTTCACTAAGACTGTTGATGCTGTCTCCCAAAAGATCCTCATAAAAAAGCTGTTGATATGGGCTGCAGGTAGTGAGGTGGGTTGAAAACTGACTGAAGAGCCAAGCCCAGAGAGTGGTGATCATGGCACAGAGCGTACTTGGAAGACAGTACCTGTTTAACATCTTCTTTAATGATCTGGACAATGAAGTCTGCAGCTGATGCAAAACTGTGAGGAGTAATACACCTCTGGCAATTAAGAAAAGAGAAATAATGGTATACTTATAACTATTTTATTTTATGTTGTATGATATTCTGCTGACTTACTTTTAATGAAATATTTATTTAATTTTTAAAGGTTCTTACATATCAAGGATTTTATGATGAAAATCTGGAATGGGTCGGTTTAGAAAACATCCAAATTGTGGCTTCCATGTCAGCTGGAGGAACGTTAGGAAGACATAAACTTACCTCCAGATTCACTTCTATTGTTCGTCTCTGTGCAATTGAGTAAGTATGTGAAAATTAACTCTCAGAACTCAGATTCAACCTCTTATAAGGCCCTTGCTTCATGTAGTCTTTACCAAGGTGTGGCTGTTCTATTCTTTCATATTTTCCAGCAGTTTAGGGTCATCTGATTTGGTGCTGTTTGGTGCCTCTTGGCTCTAGAAGCCAGCTAAGAGGAATCTGTCGCTTCTTGGTGATAATGAAGTGTTTGAAATATGTTTCCTTTTGGATGATTTTGCTTTCAGTAATCTGCTTTCTGCAGCTTTATATTAAGGTGCTGTTTGGTTACAAAATTAGAGAAATTGAAAAGAAGTTTATTTGTTTGTTTTTAAGTTTGAGTACATCAACAGATGTATTTAGAAATTTCTGACAGTGGCCTGTTGCAATAAAATGATAATTTTACTTAGCTGCTGGATGGAAATGCTATTCATTGAGATTTCTTAGTAATTGTGTATACAAGTTCGACTCATTTTTAATTAAAAAAAAAGTGATAGTTCATAATGATTTTTTTTTTTTTTTAGCTATCCGGAAAGAGAACAACTGCAAACAATTTATAGTGCCTACTTGGAACCTGTACTACAGAAAAACCTAAAGAATCACCCTGTTTGGGGTTCTTTACCAAAAATACATCAGCTAGCAGGATCCATGGTTCAAATATACGAACAGGTAGGGAAATATTTTTTCTTTTTTCAAGGAGTTGGACAATTCAGGTGTTTTTTAAAAAAATAATTACTTTTGATATAATAAGTTTATTTATTTTTAATGAAATTGGTATCAATGTTAGAGCTACTTATTTGCAGAGAATCCTGGGTATTAGAGGTAAACTGAGTAAGCGGTAAGTACTCCTGCTTTCCCACAGATTTATTTTAGGATTTTAGTGTGCATCTTAACCTTTTGTACTTTCAGTTCTTGATTTATAAAATGTGGGTTAATAGTGTTTTCACACTTAATGGGTGAGGAGGAGACAGTGCAACAGATTGTTATGTGCCCAGTTGTTATGGATGCTGTTATGAATAGAGAAGAGAGATATATGGGTGGAGTGCTTTACAGACATCAGGGACTAGCTATTAAAATTTTACACTGTTGAAAATAGATATTTAGACACAGAATTTTAAAATTTTAAAAATTTTAAAATTTTGTGGACTTTTATCAAGCAAAACACTTAAGTACTTGCTTTTCTTAAACAGTACATAGTCTTACTGGGGTAGGTACTGTGGGGATGTTGGTGCTTGCTGTATGTTCCAAGAATGTATGCACGCCCCCATCTAGGCAGAACCATGATTCAAAACTGATCTTTGTGACTGGAATCTGGGTTTAGTTACTTGATGGCATACACCAATTAGCAGGAGTTTCATATAACATTATCAATGTATTCTAAGAAATCTGAGTTTAAATCTCATCACATGATGATCCAGTAACTGATGAAAGCAGTTTTTCTTTGAGTTAAAGCAGTTGTATATTCAAATATCCTTTCTGGGAAAAGAGTAAGTATGAAGTCTTTTGCAGTGAGAAAGTGTTACTAATTTAGGTAGGTGTTTATTACACTTCTATATTTCCTTTGCATTTCATATTTAGTCTTTCTTTAAAAAATATGTATTTTGTCTAATAATGCTGCACTAACAGTTCTAGGTGACATGTGTGATTATTTCCATCAAAAATGGTAGAGAAGAATTGTTCTGAGAAAATCTTTTTTGGTCAGAAAACAACATTTAAACAAGGAGTCCATTAATAAAATATCTAAATATATACCAAATAGAAAACTAATTTATCTGGTATTTTAGAAAATGTGCTTTACATTTTAAAACATCACTTTTTTTCTCCCCCTTAACTCCTAATTTTAGGTACGAGCAAAATTCACAGTTGATGATCACAGTCATTACCTTTTTACACCATGTATTCTTACTCAGTGGGTTCTTGGTTTATTCAGATATGATTTAGCAGGTGGTAAGTCACTTACTTGGTTTTCGTTGATAAAGTGTTCTATAATGGCCTAAGTTATTATTGATGTCAGTCGTACTGTTGACTCCACATGCAATTCATTCATCTTTTAAAATTCTGAACTATCTGTAATTCAGTAGAGGGGGAAAAATGCATAACAGTTCACTACATAAAATTAATAGAATATGTTTCATTTTACCTTAAAATGATCCATAAAGATATTATTAAAAAGCACTTCATAATGTTTACTTTTTCTCTTCTTTCTTCCTTACCAATGCTTTCCTGCTGGTATGTAATTTCACTTGCTTATTTTCAAGCTCATATTTTGAAATGGAAATTTGAGAATTTATTATAAATATATCAAGTTATTTCTCTCCTTAAATATTGTAGGATCATTGATACCAACTGCAGACTATGTACTGGAAATTATTGCTTATGAAGCACGTCGTTTGTTCCGTGATAGAATTGTTGGCGTGAAAGAACTTCATGTATTTGATAATGTCTTGATGAAAGTGTTTCAAGGTGATTGGGGCTCAGATGTTCTGGACAATATGCCAGGTAAACTATTTGAACCATACTATACAAACTTGCAATATTTGTTTAGGAATGGCCTAATCAAGTCAGCATATGAACTGGACACTTAAAGTTTCGAATATTTCCTTTTATTTTCACAGATACCTTCTATGTAACTTGGGGAGCTTGTCAAGAGGCATTCATCACACCAGGACAGGCACTGCCACCGTATGGGAGGCCACTTGGCAGACTAAACTCAACAGACCTAAAAGATGTTATTCAGAAAGTGAGACACATTAAAGAATATACACAGCAAGGGTTCACAACAATGATTCGAGACATTTTTTGCAAGAAGTAACATGCAAGCACCAGATAAGGATGGGGTCTCCTTCTTGTTCAAGGGATCATCTTTTACATTTGGTGAAGTGAGGGAAGGTTTGTGATGCTATGTGGCAGGCAGTAGGAAGTATCATGTAGCAAAGGTTTTTAATGAAAGGGCATTAGTTGCATTTGCTGCTGATTTACAACAGTTTGATGAACCAACATTTTGAAAAACATTTATCTCCATACATGTTTGTGTATTGTTTGAGTACCTAAGTGTTTTATTAAATGTTTACTTTTTGAATTTGTGATTTGGTAATGTTATTTTTTATTTGAAGAAATACAAATGCACTGTTTGGAGATTTGGCATGCTTTTAAGCAGTAAAGTACAAAAATTGAGCTTGATGAGGAAATGCAAACATTTTAATTCTGCTAGGGTATCTGATTTTTAGGATGAGAGCTTTGAGATCATCTCCCTTAATAGTGTTTGATGGATTGCTCTTGCAGATGGGAAACTAATCCCTCTCCTTGATTGCCAACTTGTGACCAATAGACTACATGGGAAATGATGAAATTCAATAGCCTCAATTAGCAGAGAATTTGTTGTTTGTTTTTTTTTTCTCCTGACTACACAGTTACATTGGACTTCAAAGAGATTTTAATTAGTATAACAAGGTCAGAATTTAATTTTAGGATCTGTTATTGTGTGTATTTCACTAGGAATTTTCATAATCTGAAATTATGCAGCAATTAGCTGCCTAAAACATCTTCTAAGTTATTAATTAATTGATCTGTAGTCAGAGACAGCTCAGACTTTGTTCTGGTCCATTATATAATTTTAATTAGTTCAGTTGTAGATTCCTATTTTAATATATCAAAGACTTCTAGGGTATACTGATGCTGGGGGTAGTGTGAGATGGTAAAGGTATCTAAATTCTGTCACATAAATTATTTATTTGTAGTGAATATCAGTGTGGTCTTAAGCTTTCAAGCCCTTCTTTTCTAAACTTTTGAATGTTGGATGCTTTCATATCTCACTGCTTTTATTTATTACTAGTAAACACATTTCTTTTTTTTCTCTTTTTTTTTTAATAGGGTATCATTCATTATGGACGAGACAAAAAAGAGATAGAGATTTTACTGTTCCAAGAGGTCCTCAGTTATATGTCTAAAGTGGACAGAGTGCTAAGTTTTCCTGGAGGATCACTTCTTTTGGCAGGACGGAGTGGTGTAGGTCGTCGAACAGTTACCTCTTTAGTTAGTCACATGCATGGAGCTGTTCTGATTACTCCCAAAATTTCCAGAGGTTATGAGGTGAAGCAGTTCAAGAGTGATCTTAAATATGTAAGTCACTCATTGTCTTCCATTTTGTAATGTTGAGGTGTATATTAAAGAAAAAAAAAAAAGGGAATTTTGAAGAACACAAAAGTGTTGTATAAAGACATTTTAAGAGAAGCAAAATGGCAACAGTCTAAATGAAACAAGTAGATTTTTAGAAGTTCTCTATATCTAAGTGTGTATACTGTTTTTTATTTAATTGACTGAAACTCCACTTTTTTTAATACCAGAATTCTCTTTGAGTGTTGTGGACTTCATAAATTCGAAGTTTATGTGAATACTGGAAAGACTTTTTCATGTATATTTTTCATATTTGTATATATTTTTATTTTCTGTCTCCACTATGATCTGCCAGTAGCTGAATCAAGTAAAATTTTAGTGACCGATGAAAGGGAACATATTATTTAAAATCAAGTGCAAACCTTGAATCAAGAGTTTCTCATTAGCTTCAGCAATGCTAAAGAAAATTCTAGAGCTATGCCTACACAAAAGAGTGATACAGTTTTATCATTGAGTCATATGCATAAATATACTCTACGAAAGTGGCTTTTTAAATTATTTTTTCATTAGCAAGCTGTACATCTAGGTAGAATGCTCTTTATATTTGATATCTCATATAACTGAATCACCTAGAAATCTTTTGTGGAGAAAATATGTATGTAATATATAATCAAGGAAAGATTAAGATCCTTGTTGGTCCCTTCCAATTCAGAATATTCTATGATAATCATTATCTATTGAACAATACATATGTTCCATACACTGAGATTTAAATGTCTTTCCTGCTTCTAGATGATGGAGCTTGCAGGCATTGAAGCACAACAGGTGGTATTGCTGCTTGAAGACTATCAGTTGGTTCATTCCACATTCCTGGAGATGATCAACAGTTTACTGTCATCAGGTGAGGCAAGTCCAAGAAGATTAATGGTTCTAGTTTTACTGCACAGGGTTAGCTAATGGGGCAGAATAAGATGATGTTTTCTAACTTTATGTCTCAATGAGACAGGTTAGTTACGTTGCTATGTTGTTTTAGGTAGAGTGCTTGTACATGAGAACCTGACTCAAAGTTCACTTAGCTGTCCTTTAACCTACCCGATAGTACAGGTGCTTTCAGTTCCTCTAACTTGTTTCAAGGGAGTTCTTTAATATAGTATAACAACAAAATGAGAATGCATTCTACTCTACAGCTTCCGTTTTATAATAAAATTCAAAAGTGAGAAGTGTTCCAATGCTTTACTAGATTGTATAGGTTGAGTCCTTTACTGAAATGAACACCAGCAAAGCTCACTTTTCTGAAAGGAGTGAGACAATGAATAATAATAACAAATAACAAAAGTGACTTTATTTTGCTGTCCAGCTTTTTTCCTGGATCAGAGAGATCATTGAAGGACTGAGTCTAACTTGCTAAATGCTTTTTTTGATCTACAGTAGTTTAAGAGCTGATTGATAAGAGCATCAGATTTTCCTGTCTCTCAGGTGCAACCCCAAATCTCCTTACAGTATCAGATTTTTGTCATCCACTGTTTAATCTCTGTGTCTGAGGATCTAAACAACTACTCACTCTCACATTACTGTTTCCTGGTATATGACAAAGTCTGGTTTGATTTGTTTTCTATGCAGTATTGGGTCAGCATCTATGCAGTATTGTTTTGGGGTAGATTTGAATGAGCTTTTGAAATACGTTTCAGCAGTATGAACAAAGTAGACTTAAATAGAATCACAAATTTGGTTTGTTGTTTTCATGATATCATGAAAAGAATGATGAAGTGCATGGGATGATACTCATGGAATTATGGAGGTGAATACTGCCATAATCAAAATCTCTATAGAGAGGATTCAAGGGAATCCTTCAAGGGAATTTAAAGAATTACAGTGTATTTTATCTGACGTAAATTCATTCTTGAAATAGGAGAAGTTCCTGGGTTATATAAAACGGAAGAATTAGACCCATTGCTATCTCCTCTGAAGGATCAAGCCTCACAAGATGGATTTACAGGACCAATTTTCAACTATTTCACATACCGTATGTCAATAGAATTATAAATTATAATTTATTACGAAGTGTAGGCAGTGGTATAATAGTGGACAAATGATTTCTAACGTGGTCCTTCTATTGTGTGCGGTTTTAACTTTCAATCAGTTATTAAATACCACTCAGGAATAATGATAACATTGTGATATTTGAGGGCATAGAACCCTCACTTTAAAATTTGTTCTTCTATCTGAAATTTTCTATTTATGAATGTTTTACAAATGTTATGAAATCTGCTGTTGAAAGTAATTAGAAGGAAGAAACGTTTTGTTCCCATTGTTTTCTGGTTTGTATAGCTTAAATGTATCTAGTACCAGAGTTTTCTTCTATTTGCCTATTATACCTACAAATCACTTTGGATTCTGAGTAATCAGCAAGTTTACAGGTAGGTTTCTTAATTATTTTTCTTCTTCCTTAGACCAACAAAAAGATTAAATAGTTTACAAATAAATCAAATAATATGACTGAAAGAATATAAATGTTTACAGTCAAAGTTTCAGGCCCTGAAACTATTTCTAATTGGTTCTGTTGGTCTATATGAATTGGAATGAGAACTAGTGATATCTATTTAAATACTGTCAGCTCTTCAAAATTAAAACATACACTGTAATATACATAATTAGAATCCATGAGCATTCCTATCCTAGTGTTATCTGATATTATAGGCTCTTTTTTTCCCAGAAATTACCTTGTGATAAGTGTTTGAAGGACACTAAATTATATTGTATTTGCAATAAAATTACCATCATGTAGTCAGATTGTTCTGTACTAAAAATTTAATATGTTACTTTTTCTTAGGGATCCAACAAAATCTGCATGTTGTCTTGATAATGGATCCTACTAATTTAAATTTCACAGTAAACTGTGAAAGTAATCCAGCACTGTATAAGAAATGTCAGGTTTTGTGGATGGAAACCTGGTCAGAAGACAGTATGAAAAAGGTAAATTGCATTAATTGTGACTTATTTAAACTAGTATCTCCAAAAATAATGGAGCTTTGGTAAATAAGATAAAGATATTTAAAGTCATGAAGGGATAATTGTCACTGTGCTTATTTAATTCATTTGTTAAGTCCTAAAAAGACAGAAAACTCCTCAGAGCACTTAAATATTATTAACATTATTATTTTACCAACATTATATTTTGTTCTCTTTGTGTGCTGACTTGAACAACACGTTGACAACTATGACTCTGATCAAACAGAGCATTTAAGAACAAAATAAAAATAGACTGCAAGCAAAATGGTAAAGCCAATTGTATCAGGTTTGTGTTGTGAGCTTTTGATAGTGGCGGGAGCTGCAGGGGTGGCTTCAGTGAGAATCTGCCAGAAGCTTCCCCCACGACTGACAGAGCAGATGCCAGCTAGCTCCAGGACAGACCTGCTGCTGGCCAGGGTTGGGCTCATCAGCAATGGTGGTAGCATCTCTGGGATAACATTTAAGAAGGGGAAAGAAGTTACTGCACAGGAGCATCTGCAGCCAGAGAGAGGAGTGAGAGTAGGTGAGAGAAACAGCCCTGCAGACCCCAAGGGCTCGAGGCACTGGAGCTGAGATTCCCCTCCAACCTGTCGTGCAGACCATATACAGCACATATATACATGTGATTCTCACACAGAACAACACAAACAGAAACCCTAAGCACAAACATAAACAGCACTGTTGCCATCATCCTGTTCTCTGAGTGATCTCAGTGAAGGTCAGTTAATGGGTAATATGTACATGTATGGAATGTGGATTAAGACTGTCTCATTCCCTCTTGAATTGTATATTTTTGAATCTTTGACATTTGTGCTATTGTAAGAGTCCTCTGAGAACTACTTGGTCATTTATACAGCCAGCAAAATTTCCTCTGCTTGAGAGAGCAAGAAGTTATCAGTGGCATGGAAAGGCAGAATTTATCTTTCTAATCCTATAAATATTCTGTAAATTCCTTGTTCTGAGTAAATATATAATTTTCAGTCTTTCCAAATGAGAAGCTGGATTTAAGGTTGGTTTGAGTTTTTTTTAATTTTAACTCAGGTTGTCATTGTTCGTCATTTTCATGCAGAAAATCATGGCTTTTTTTTAGATACCTGAAATGCTTCTGTATGATTCAGATGAACAAGAAAAGACTGGAAAAACACATAAGGAAGTTAAGAAAAAACATTCAGGTAATATTTGGGTAGACACACTAGTTACTATTGCTTATTATTAAACACTTACTCAGTGTTAGACACCAGATCAGTAATTATTGGGTCAGAACCACCGTGTGGGGTGTGTGGGTGGGGGTGTGTGTATGGAGGTGTGGGACTGTGTGCGTGTGTGTGTTCGGAGAGGAGCCCAGGCCTCCAGCTTTTTCAAACATCAAACAATTTCAGTATATTTCTTTCTGAGAAATATGCATTTCAAATGTAGTTGCGTGTTGTTTCCCTGACAGAACTTTAAAAAAAGTATAGTCCTTGTGATATTTTTGGATGCTGTTAATTCATATCTCAAAAAACATACTCTATTGCTCTTCCTTGGTTATTTCAATGTGAGATAAAATTGAGTATAATATTATCTGTGTAACAAATGGTGTTGTACAGGTGATTCTGATTTTCTGAAGTCATTTCTGGCAATCCATGAATCATGTAAAATATACGGAGCAACACCTAGCAGGTATATGACATTCCTTCGTGTATACAGTACCATCAATAACAGTAAAAGAAGAGAGCTAATAAAAAGGCAGAACCACTTGCAGGTATGTGTTTGAAACACTTTTAACATATAGCTTTTCAAAATACTCCCATATTTGGAAATGTCTTGTGTATTAATGGGCTGTAGCTGCTAACATGGTTGTGTGATGTGTCCTCTATTGGCATATGCTCACACTCTGGTTTCAGAAGAGAAATATCATGAATCCTAATGCACTTGTCTGTTGAAATGCCTGAAAGGGAGAAAAGTGTTTTTCTTGTTTTGGTAATAGTTTTCCTCAAGAATGTATGAGACTGGGTATGTTTTGTGGCAGAGTAAAAAGTACTTGAAAGCACTGTAAACTTTTTCACCCATGTATATTGGAATTGTGTTGCTAAAAACCCATCATCTTTCCATCAATTTAAGTCCTGCCTCTCCTTATATAAATGTTCTCTGTGTAGCTCCATATTCCATCCCTTTCTTTATATCTTGAGAATAAGTTCCTGCTTTGTAGGATTTTCACGTCCTAGTTTGACAGACTTATCTTTAACCGCATGGTGTTCTTGTCTAGCTTTGACCAAGATTCCTTTTGTTGTGATTGTCTTTCCTTTTGTGTTTTGGAATGATTTTGAATTCCTTTGGCACACATCAGACCTGTGGACAGTTCTGGACCAAATGCATAGGTGTCACTTTACTCCTCTTTTGTATGCATAACATCCTTATTTTTGAAACCCATTTGTTATCTTTCCAATCCTATTTAGTTCCCTTCCCCCAGTATATTTCTGGAAAGATCTGTGTCCTCCTTTAGGACTTTTGTCTTTGCCTTTCTCCTGTCCCTTTCAGCTCCTTTTCTCAGTCACCTGTGCTGATATTCTGAAACCACACTTGCAAATCTGTATTTTTTTCTTAAAGCATCTGTCAAAAGCAAATTACTTCCTTGCCTTGTATTCTACTCTATTTTTACTCTGTCTGCCAATATTTTTCCATCACTGTAGTATGCAATTTAAGAAGATTTAAATTTGTAGTAATAGAAATTGCTTTTTTTTGGGTATATTTAGAATGTAACTGGTTTGTTTGTGACAAGCACTCATTTACTTGTTAAATGCTCCGTTTAAATAAAAGTAATAATTTTCATGAAAATTAGAGATATGTATCCTCAGTCAATACATATTTTTTTTTCAAATATGTCTTGAAATAATTCTATTATATAATTAATATAAAATAAATAAGATAGAAAGTGTGATTAAAGAAAATAGTTAATCTTAAGCATAATAGAGACTTCGTTTAATGTACATCCATGTTCTTTAGAGTGTACAAATATATAGAAGTAAGCTAATCTATTTCTTTTCAATTTGTTGAATTTTTATAGATTTGTTTTTAAGGGAGATATAATTACGATGAGTTAATATCAGTTAACTTAAATTCTATTGAATTATTGAGAAATAGATTATGTACTAGTTACTGTTTTGTTAAAAGTTTGTTAGTTTGAGAATTTTCTTATCTTTTTGATGTAGTAATACATCTTACAGTGACACATCTTAAAGTGTCAGATCTCATTCTTAGGTTAAATAATACCAACAAAATGTAGATAATATCAAGAGAATGTGGAACAATAATTAAAAAAAAATAGAATACTAGTCTACATCACTCTTAATTTGTCCATCCTTTTTGTAACAAGCCTTCATTTAAATCTGCTAAAAATTCACTGCTAAATATCTGCTTGTTTACAACTTTTATAGGCAGGTGTTTCAAAGCTGAATGAAGCTAAAGCCCTGGTTGATGAACTGAACAGAAAAGCTGGAGAGCAAAGCATTTTACTCAAAACGAAGCAGGATGAAGCTGATTCTGCTCTTCAAGAAATTACAGTATCTATGCAGGTGGTATATACAATCACATCAAAAGTAGAAAAAAAAACCAAAAAACAAAACAATTCTTTTCTGTTTTTGGTCTCCATAACCGCCTGTGTTTTGTAATCTTTTCAAGTGTTACAAAATGTCATGCTTTTGCAAGAATTTGCCTAAGGGAAGACATGAGCCCTGAGGCTTAAATAAGGTTGCAACAGGACAGAGGATTCTATAACTTAAATCATATTTGAACTGATCGAATAGGAAGAGATCAGTGCAAGTTTTGCACCTGAGTAGTGTTTACTGCTGTAGTTTAGTCTGTCTGAAAGTTTTCCTAGAACTTCATAAATTCAAGCTGATGCGTTTTATGTTTATCACAGATAGGAACTTTCAATAAAATATGTACAAGTAGCACTATTTTAGGTAACAAATACCAGGAATTAAATCTGTGAACTCTTAGAAAGTGTGTATTTCATGAGGTCTGGTCCTCAGAATTTAACCTCAGAGAAGATTAAATAATACCTCCATGTTCATCATTCCTTGAATTTTTATTCTTCAGCTGAGAGGTAGACCTTTTTTTCAATATTCTGTACTTTCTTTAGTAATATTTTCTCAGTCATGTAAAATAATTGCACAGACAATAGGTTTTCACATTGATACTTCCTGGAATCATAATTGTAGGTTAAGATGTAATGAATCTGCTGTCACTGCACTGGGTTTTTTTTGTTGCTGACTTAGTCTGATTGGTCGGAACATCAATACCAAAGACATTCTGTGTATGCAGTAAAGTAAATGCCTGGTCTTTCAAATCATTTGGTTCACAGTGCTGTGAAAGTGCATTGCTTCCATTTTTATGTATCTTTTGCTGTTGGCAGTTTTTAGTACTTTTAAGCTCTATCTGCCTACTTTACATGAATTTGAATAATGATGATTACCTTGGTGCGTTCACTGATGTCAGTTTTGAATCTGTGTCGGTTGTTATCTAGAAGAGTTACAGGTTATGTGGATAGCACATATTACATTGTAGGACATAATCAAAGAATAGGTCAAAAGCAATGAAACATGATGGGCCTACTGACATCAGAAAAATTACAGTAGAATTTTGATTATTTAGATTAGCATGAAGTATAGGTACCCTCTAACATTTTAATGTCACTTCAAATGTTCTAGTTTATGTAAGAGATAGTGTTTTAATACATAGAGACTCTTTTAATCTCCTTTCAGAGCAAGGCTTTTGACCTACAACTGAATTTTAAGGTTTTCTTATTCAGAGCAATCATTCAGTACATGTTCATTTGCATGAAATGTCTAATCTAGTTTCATGTAGCTAATGTTTTATGTATTTGAATGTAATCTTCAATAACATGCTGATCTACAGCTTGGGTTAAGTGCTCAGAGAATTATTATTATCTTAAGGTTTTCTCTGCTTATATGCATCCATTACCTTCTTCTGCAACTCAGCTTGACAATTACTGGTGATAATAATGTATTATATATCAGAAAAACATAAACTCTGGGCTTTTTTGACTTTTATTTTTTAAGTACTGAGTTTCGAATGTTAGTGTTTTATGCATTTTATACATTTATCCTCAATGATAAAAGACATGTAAGGTCCTATTTATTAATATAGTAGGTATTAATTATTGTACTGAAGTTTTTAGGATTGGCTTAGGATTGAAGATGGCTAATAGCTACTGTCTGCTGTGTGGTAGGCACAGTACAAATCCAGAAAACAAAAAAGATGTAAACCCAAGCAACTTAAAATATGCATGTAGGACATACGTATACCTTACAGATTGGTAAAAATTTTAAGTAAAGAAACCATTCTATGATTAGTACTTTTAGACTAATAGGCTGTAATTCCAACACAACTGCTGCTTTAATGAATATGATAGAAAAATAGAGTTTTAATGGTGTTGTGAAAGAAATTGAAATAGATACGGGAGCAGCTGCAAAGACAGTGACAACACGGCAGTACTTTCAAATGTAGTAAGAATGTTACGGAGGCTGTCACTCATCCTTTTAGAGGAAGACTGACATGTTGATAAGGAATGGAAAATCAGAGGCAAAGAGAAAAAAGATCATAATGAGCCTCTCAAAAATAGAGGTACAGATTCTGGTCTGTGGTAAAGAAAGGTGACACAGTAAAAGCAAATGATACTTATTCTATAAAGTTTACTTACCTAGTCTGCCCATCTAGTATCAAGTAGACTCAGATATTTTACTGTAATTGGTATTGTGCAAATTATTATAATGAAGACTAAAAGAAATGGGACATAAGGAAATAAAATCTGTGTAAATTTGCAAGCTAAAGGTATTTTTTTTACAGAGTGCTAGTGAGCAAAAAGCAGAAATGGAAAAAATTAAACAACGAATAGCAGAAGAGGCTGCAGAAATAGAAGAAAGAAAAAGAAAAATTGAAGATGAACTAAAAGAGGTTCAGGTAAGAGCAGATAAGAAAAAGTAATATTTTGCAGTCTGATTTTATCTGAGTTACTCAAGTCCTGCTGTGCACAATGGTTTTGCAAAATTTATCCTTGCAATTCTTAAATTTTGCTCTAAATTATTTTGATATTAAAAATTCTTGCATTAGGAAACAGTATTCTATTTGCCAAATTTATGTTGTCATTTTGGCATTTGTGTTCTCTTAGATATTAATTACAGAAAGAGTTTTCAAGCCAAATCTTACCAACCACTTGATATTTCTATGCTGCTATGGTCTACAGCTGAGTTCTGCTGATTTTATTGAATATTTTTTAATTACTCATGTCTTATATAGACCAACCACATTACTTTGCCTTGATCAAACTGGTAATATCATAGGGCTTGGTAGTCTCATCTGAATGGAAATAATTTAATGAGAGATAATTTCCAGTTATTACTAAATTCTGAAAATTATATATCCTAATGGCACTACAACAAACTGCTTGTTCAAGAGACCTTACAGATAGTTGAGTGCTGGAACAGGCTCCTCAGGGAAGTGGTCACAGCCCTAAGCCTGGCAGAAGCATTTGGATGATATTCTCAGGCACATGGTGTGGCTCTTGGGGATGGTCCTGCACAGGGTCAGGAGTTGGACTTGATGATCTTTGTGGGTCCCTTGCAACTCAGTGTATTGTGATTCTATGTTAAGCATCAGATTTCTTGTGTGTTATGTGTGTACAGTCATTGCTTTTAGTCTCTATTTTTCATCCCATCCATTTTAAGTTTATACTAAAGCATAAGGGAAAACTACAGCAACTTTTTGTTTTTCCTTTTAAATATTATAGTTGCTAAGGAATTATATCCTTGTATTGAAAGTGACATAGAACTGCAGGACTACACCCATTTTGTGGCCTTTGATAAATATGAAAGATCTGTAAGGTGTGCACAGTTTTTAAATAATAATCTTTAACTTCTCTTATCATTCTATTTGTTGATAAGGGCAAAGGCTGTCTGGATTTGTTTAGCTACTGGAAATAGAAAGCTTTTGTGACCTGTAGTTCTGTGTGTGTTTACACAGAGATCCTCACTTATGCCTATAAATAGTAATTAGCATAATTATTAAAAGATACCTGTATCACAATGAACTTCTAAGCAATGAAAGAGCAAACATGATTGACACTAATATCTATGTAACGTTTATGAATTACAGTGCTGAATGAAAAGCTAGGGTATGTCAGGATTATAATATGCTGTTTCATGGGAAAATATATTTATTATCACTTAGTAAACGTGACAATTTTTTAGTAACTTGTAAACATGAATATGCATCAGTAGTAGTTGGTTAGGTAATAAAATATTTAAAAAGAACAAGAAATTGTATGCAAACTGAAATGGCAAATATTCTTTTTTTTGTATCCCCATCCCTCTTTATAATGTGTTTTTATGTTTCAAGCCACTGGTTAGTGAAGCTAAATTAGCTGTTGGAAATATAAAGCCAGAGTCTTTGTTAGAAATCCGGTCACTACGGATGCCCCCTGACATAATCAGAGACATACTAGAGGGAGTTCTGCGGCTGATGGGGATTTTTGATACATCATGGGTGAGCATGAAGAGGTGAGGATTTTATTTAAACTTTAAACTTTTTAAGATGAACTACTTTCATTTATATTCAGGAATAATGCATGTTCAGAATTATTTGGTTTCATACAGAAATAATCTTTTTAATATTTGTTTCTTCTTTACTTAGTTATTTAATTCTTTTTACAGTTTCTTGGCCAAAAGAAGTGTAAGGGAGGACATAGAATCCTTTGATGCCCGTAATATTCCAAGAGAAATACGAGAGAGTGTTGAAGAACTTCTTTCTAAAAACAGAGCATCTTTTGATCCAAAGGTAATTCCTGATTGCATTACCTAAAATGAAAAAGACCAAAAAAAACCCCAGAAGAATAAAAAGGACGTGGTTGTCTGATTTGCCAACATAATTTTTAGAATGAGCTTAAATTAGAGAAAAATTGATGAATTCTGCTTGCAGATTTTGTTAGAGATAAAGGTGTAGCAGAGATTACTCTGTTGCGTGCTGCCTCTAACCATGAGAATTGGTTGGTGAGTGGGGAGCTGTGGGATGAGAAGACATTATGGAATCAAATCCTCAGAGATTTTTGTCACTGGTATAAATTAGAACTCAACCAAGCAATAGTAACTGGCTTCTTCTGGCCTCCTTGTAACAGTAAGAGTCTAATAAATCATGCATTAATTTAAAACTTGTTAATTTCAGTGAAGCTACGTAGTTCTAAAGATACCCACTGTGGTTTTTTTATGCAAGATTACTGGCCTACAATATAATCTCTTAGTAACAATTTAAAAGATTAGTTCAGTAGAAGAACAGGCTAATTGGCATATTTAAGTTGGTAACTAGTAAATCTGTTGCAGTATTTATCTTTTCTGCATTATACTTCAAGGACTTTCTTCTACATGTTACTGAATTTTTCAGAATGCTAAACGAGCCAGTGCTGCAGCTGCTCCATTAGCAGCTTGGGTGAATGCCAACATCCAGTATTCCCATGTCCTAGAACGAATTCAGCCTTTGGAAAAAGAGAAGGCTGGCTTGGAAGCGTAAGTTAGACCCTATTACAAAACAAGTACTTTTAATTCCAATGGTGGTGGGCAAAACTAAAACCTCCAAGAAGGAATCTGAATATGAGGAATAACTTCTTAGAGGGTGACAGAGCACTGGAACAGGCTGCCCAGAAAGGTTGTGAAATCTCCTCTGAAGATATTCAAAACATGCCTGGACACGATACTGTGCAACCTGCTCTGGGTGAACCAGCTTTAGCAGGGGTTTGGATTAGATGATCTCCAGAGTTGCTTTCCAACACCAACCATTCTGTGATTCTGTGTGGATTGAAATTTATTTAAAAAAAAGATAAAAGAAATTATACCTCATGTGTAGGTAATAAAATGTTCCTGCTGATACAGAAAAGTAAGTGCGTAATATTTTCTTTTTCCTGGAAGCTATACCTTGGTTGTTTTTTGTACAATCATGAGTTACCTGTCCAGCTGAATAGTGTCAGGGAGAAATGAGCATCACAGATATGCTTAAAATGCAGTCTTTCAGTAAAACCCATGCTATTTTATGAGATGTATAGTTCCTCTATTTTCAGTCACGTACCAAGCATAATCAGGTTCTCCTTGGGATCAAAAGGATAAGACATGGTCTTATGACCACCCATAACCTTAGGAATCTGTACTGATTGTTTTGCCAGGTTTTAAAATTCTGTATTGGAAGAACTTGTTCTGATCTTTTAAGAATAGGGTGTTTGGTTTCCATTTTTGAAGCTAAGTGATGAGAAATACTCAAAGCTTTTTTGCATGAAAATATATATTTTTAATGTAAAACAAAAGGAAGAGCTGTCTCTGAACTACCTCTATGTAAATTACTTTCCTGTTTTATTTGCTCTTTTTTTTCCCTTTTGGGTCCATAGTCTTAAAATAAATGTTACCTTTTTGTAGTAGTCTTAAAATAAATGTTACCTTTTTGTAGTAATCTCAAAAAAACTGAAGACAGAGAAAAGAAGTTAGAGGATCTTCTGAACTCTGTTGGTCAAAAAGTATTGGAACTGAAAGACAAGTAAGTTGGGTTTGTTTATTTCAAGATATAAATACAAACATAGATGATTTTACATTATGAATAATGACATTTATCTAACCAAATGTAGCTTCCTGTTCTGCAAGATATTTACGTCCCAATTAGTGACGCTTAGATAGATAGTCTAAGCGTCTATCTATACACTCAGTGGAGATAAATACTGTTAGAATACAGCTCATCTTCTCAATCAGATGAAAGAAATGCTCCTTAAAAGTACCCGCTTCTCACTACTGATGGTGTTGGTAGCCTTTATTGTAGCCATTGAAGTCAACGGTAAGCAGTATTGTTTCTAACCTTTTAAATCACAAAAGACTTCAATGACTCCTTAGAATTTTGGGAATATGCCTGTACAAAACTTCTACTGATCACAGCTTGAATAAAGGCAGTTTTATTTCTTTTAGGCTGTCCTAGTTTTTTGACAACTAGTTAACTATCTCCTTTTTTCTTAGCATCTCATCAAGTACATGACTCACAGGGGTATAAAAATAGGTCTGGTGAACTTTTATACTTTCTGCAAATTCAGTTTAATCTAAGTTTTTTAGTTTGATGGTTTTAGTATGTACTTAGTATAGGAGATACTTTATAATCTGACGTATGTACATATTACTAAAAGTCGTTTTGTACTCTGCAAAAAAAAAAAGGGAGAATTCTTGTTATTCAGCTATACAGTGATTTCTTAAATTGGTTATATACTAGAGATTACAGTTAAATATATTGCTTTAAACTGGTCGATTATTAAATGCATTAATTATTTTAAATATTAATGAATGTAATTAGATATTGAGCATTACAAAATAATACCTAATCCTTACCTGTTTTTTTAGGTCATGTTCTTACTATGTATTAGTTTACAAAATAGACTACTGTGCGTTGAACTGGAGTTATTCTTGTGAATTAGCAATATTCTTTTTTAACGATTTCAAATATCAGATTTACCAAGTAGTTACAAATGTACAGTATGGCATTGAGCCTGCTATTTTCCTTACTAGGTGCCAAACAAAACTTTACACAATCACTAAAATCAAGTCAAGATGTTTAAGTAAAAGAAGGAATGATTTTAGACATTATGATCTGTATTTGAAATGTATTTTTAAGTCTCACCTGTGTATCTATCTAAATTTTTTTGGTTAAAAGTCTAAGAAGTTCCTCTGCCAATTAAAAGCAGAAGGTACGAAAAAGAACTGTAGTTGTGTTCTTCATTAACAATAATGGAGAAATTCATTACAAATTCAGTCAATTAAACTGCCTTGAAAGTAACTGTTCATAAGTTTAGTAGTTCATGATAGTAATTACAAAGAGTATTTGTTTTACAGGTTCCAGAGTAGAACAACAGAAGCAGCAAAACTTGAAGCAGAACTAAGTAAAGCTCAGAAAACATTAAAAGCTGCAGAGGAACTAATAAATCAACTCGATAGGGAACACAAAAGATGGAGCACTCAGGTTAGTGAAAATTTTCCTAAATATATCTTATAGCTGATAATTTGAAAATACAATTTTTGCACTGTTTGTAGAATGTGAGTTATTGCCATTCTGCATGTCTCCCAGTGTACATTTATTTGATTTCTCATTAGAAATTAAAGCTTTTCTTCCTTCTGAAACTTATTTTTATTTCACCATACAAGTTATATCACCTTGCCACAGAATGTGTAAAAAATCCCTCAGTATTTAATACAGAACATACAACATTTTGCGATGGTTTTCAATCACAATAATGTAATTGTCGGCAGTTGGACCCTCCAAGCTGAGATACAATCAAAAGGGACAGTTTTTTGGAAAACATTAAACAATCACAGTCTTAAAACATGTATTCTTTTATGGCATTGATGCTGGAAATGCAAATGTAGATCTACCCAAAATATTTTGTTGCTTTTTAAGTCTTCACTTAAATGTTTTAGGCTTTTCTCAGTAGGGAAAGTAAGCATATTTTATTTGCTCAGATGAAATATTTGAGAGAAACTGGCAAGTCTTTGGACACACAGGCTCTTCTTTGGTCTGAAGCAAAAAGGAAAATCTCGAGATATATACAAGCTGAAAATAGCTGTCACCTCCAGAAAGCAATCTCTAGTTTTCTTGTGTATCTTAAAGTGGAGAAAATCTCCATGCAGAGATACATGGTCCTGTCTCTCCACTGATACTGAAAAAAGCCTAAACAGGTAGACTAAATACCTGCATTTTGAAGAACCAAAGTTAAGGTTAGATGAATCCTTTTTGTAGGTTGACCACTATAATGGAAAAAAATAGAAGATTTTCCTTTGAAAGTAGCTTTACAGCTGTTTCAGCTCCTATAGTAAGGATTGGATGTATTTGAACCCCAGAGTCTAAATGCTTCTAAAAGTGATTCCTCCAGTTTTTCACCCTGATACATTACCCTCATCATTAGAAAGTTCAGACTATCTGTTAATGATATACTGTAGACTAGACTGACAGATAGATTAGTCAAGAAGTATCCCATATTGCGGACAGTGAAAAGGCAGTATTTGTCTCCCTTTAAAGTAAAGAGGAAGCAATGAAAAGTTGCTTTTTTTGTTTGTGTATCAGCTTTTTTCTGATGTCAGTTTGATTATAGCAAAAAAAAGACAATACTTTGAAACCAATTCTGGCAGTCATATAGTATTTTGATATGCTGTATTTTTCTCCAAAATACTGGAACATTTCAAAACAGAGGTGCTGTAGTGCAGCTAAATTATTTGAAGATATATGATAAATGTATTTTATCATGTAAGTGTGCAGCGAATAACAGTAAATGTAATAGTTACATATAGTAACATAGTATTTAGTATCTGTATACATATTGTATACATACTTACTACCTGACTGTGACTGGGATCACATATTTCTTATTTTTCTTACTATGATACTTTTTATTCATTTGCTTATAAATTGAACTGAAATTCATAGATTTTTAGCAGCTACATTCTCAGAAATATCTGTCCATACCCTAACCAAAGGCTAAAAAGAATTTTTCCCATAATTTCTTGTCTGTGTTGATGTGGGTTAGCTAGGTATAGATACCTAAAATGCAAGTAGAGAGATTGTCTCAACTATATTCCCAATGGCAGGCAAATTTAATTATGACTTTTTAATAGCTGATGAGGCATATTAACATAGCTTTTGTTTGCAAAACACCTATACAGTCTTCACTTTTTTTTTTTTTTAAGGTGTCAGAGATAACAGATGAACTGGCTACATTGCCTAAAAGAGCTCAGTTAGCAGCTGCATTTATTACATACCTTTCTGCTGCTCCTGAGGATCAGAGGAAAAACAGCTTGGATGAATGGACCAAATCAGCAGGCCTTGAAAGTAATTTCTTGTGTGTGTCTGTCAGTGTCTGCGTGTAAGTAATTAAGCTTGATTGAGGAAGTGAGAAATGCCAGTGAGTTCTAATGAACAGTTTCAATTGTCTTCATGTTTCCAAATGAAAAGTGATGATGTTTTCTTACTCAATAAATACTTGTTTATACAGATAGACTATTTCTTAGGCTTATTCTATTAAATTATTAAGATTATAAAAACTTATAAATAATTTTATTTTTGTAGAATTTGCTTAAAAAGAAAAATTTACAAAAATGAATGTATTCACATGAACTATTGTAAATTTACCAATGCGTTTTGAATGCATCTGCTTTTTCAGCAAACATTTTTATTTCTGCATTAATAATATAATTAAATATTATTATGACATCAGCTAGTTATTAGTAATAAGTTCAAGCAATAAAATAATAGATTAAAGGGAAATCTACAGACCTGCACTCTGTTAGACAGAGTCTCTACTGTATACACAGTGGTAAATGCTTTATAATTATGCAGACTATAAATGCTGACACAAAGTTGCACTCTTTCATTTATCAGAGTTTGATTTACGGCGGTTCCTATGTACAGAAAGTGAGGAATTAGTTTGGAAAAGTGAAGGTTTGCCTTCAGATGATCTTTCAATAGAAAATGCTCTTGTCATCTTGCAGGTAAATTTGCTTTTTTTATCTTGTCTTGGAAGTATTTGAATTTTTACAAATTTCAGTAACATGACATCTGCCTGGAATTTTGAATTACTTCATTTGTGTTATTTGTTGGCATCACAGAACACACACACACAGAGAAATAAATACTTATGTACACTGGGTATTCTGTAGTACAAAGAAAAAAACAGTTAAAGAAAACACGTTTTCCTTTTTGCTTTTACAGTTTTCTTCCATATCAGTCTATTCCAGCTTAAAGTGCTAGAATCAGTGGAAGATTATGTCCCATGTATGTTGACTTTGACATATAATTTCTAATACTTTTTTCTCAGAAAAAGGAAAGGCTATATACAGATACCTTTCGAAACCTATATATATATTGCTAATAATACTTGAGAAAAGAAGTGGGAAAAGATTCAGTTTTATCATATAATTATGTATAGATATATAATACATAATATTGCATGATTATGTACATGATATTGTAGTCATTTATTAGATCTCCTAACAAGTAAGTATTTAATGGCATGAGGAGAATCTCCATTTACTACAGGTGATTTACTTAGATGATTGATGATTCTCTCAAATCAGTTGCAACCTTTTTTCAATTTAAATTTATCTTGCTTTATCACCTTGGTGGTAGATCGATAGTAGATCCTTTCTCAGTTTGATTAAAAAGGTTTCCAATAAATACTGTCTTGTACCCTTAAAGCTACTTATGTATTATAATAAGATCTTATTTTCATTATTTTCCTTAGTTGAATAGATTGAACTCTTAAAAATCTCAGTGTATAAAGAGCTTTATGAAGTACTCCCTTAGCTCAAATAATTTTCTTTGTGTACAGTTTTTTTCAACATCCTTATAAAGCTGAAATTGGACGTGATATTTTACCAAGGTGGTCTACAGTATAGTTCACAAGCTTTTATACTCATCATCTTTCGATTCTTGAATATTGTTTCTCTGTCTTTCAGTTTGAGATCTGTGCAATTACTCAGTTTGGAATACTGGAACTCTAAAAAAAGCCCCACAACTTGGAAGCATTTGTCTGTCAGACTTAACTAGAGAATTGTTGAAAATATCTGTTTAAACCTTCAGCAAGTTTGCTGACACAAACCTGGGAGATATGGCTGATATACCAAGATAATCAGAGGGCTGGCGCTCCTCTGCTATAAAGACAGGCTGACAGAGCTGGCATTGTTCAGCCTGGGGAAGAGAAGGCTCTGGAGGGACCTCATTGCAGCCTTTCAATACTTTAAAGGGACTTATAAAAACGAGGGAGAACAAGTCTTTATATGGGCAGATAGGACAAGCGAGAATGGTTATAAACTAAAAGATGAGAGATTTAGATTAGCTTTACTTAGAGAGTAGTGAGGCACTGGAACAGGTTGCTCAGAGAAGCTGTGGAAGCCCCATCCCTGGAAGTGCTCAAGGCCAGATTGGATGGGGCCCTGGGAACCTGTTCTAGTGGGTGGCATCCCTGCCTGTGGCAGGGGCTTGGAACTAGGTGATATTTAAGAGCTTTCCAACCCAGCCATTCTGTGATTGAGTCTGTGATACAGCAGAGGGTGAAGCTGCTGCCCAGAGGTCCTTGATGGACTGGAGAAATGGGCTGACCGGAACTTCATGAAGTTCAACAAAGGGAATTGCACAGTCCTGCTCCTGGAGAATAACAACCCCATGTACCAACATGTGCTGGGAACCACCCAGCTGCAAAGCAGATTTGCAAAAAAAGGCCCTGGGAGTCCTGGTGGACACCAGGTTGTACATGAGCCAGTAATGACTCCCTTCCAAGAAGACGGACAATCGTATCCTGGACAGCTTTAAGCAAAGTATTGGGTGCAGGTCAAAGGAGGTGATCTCAGCACTAGGAAGGCTACACCTGGAATCCTATAGCAATTGTATGATCTTCAGCACAAGAGACATATGAATGTACTGGAGAATGTTCATTGTAGCTTTATGCCTGCAAAATACTTGTGTTCATGATTTTTTCTAAAATGTATTGAGGTCCAAAACAAGAAGTACTGTACCTTTGCCCTCTAGAGAAAGAAGAAGGAAAACTAATACCTCTTCTTCTAAGTTTAAAAGCAGTTGTGAATAACAAAAGCTGTAGATTATAGTCATTAAATAGACTCCTGTTTATAGAGAAGGTGAAGAATGGCCTAACTTCAGCAGGACGAACACCTGAGAATTTTGGATTGCATGCTTTTTTTTTTTAAGAAACAAAATAAAAGACATAAAATTCCTACTCTATTTCTCTAAGCAGTTGGTTAATGAAAAAAAGATTTTAAAATATTTATGCTGTACATTTGGTAAAATAATAAAGGACTCCCATTTTATTCTTAAACAAAATAGATTTTAGTAAATATACATGTATATTTCTTTCACCCTAGAGTAAAGTTTGCCCGTTTTTGATAGACCCTTCTTTCCGGGCTACTGAATGGTTGAAGACACATTTGAAGGAATCACGTTTGGAAGTTATTAACCAACAGGTGCAGTATCTACTCTTGGTCTTACAATTCTGTTCTGCTTGAGCTTTCTCTATTCCAGACTTTAGAGAGCAGTTTTTAAAGGGGTGTGATAGTGAACACCAAAAATGAGGTTGTATTCTATGAAGCCTATAACTTCTCATGAAAATTTGTTTACTCAAGGAGGAGATCAAAGTACTGAAAATTAGAGGGTCAACATCTGGTATTACTTCTACAAAGTTTACCTCTTTGTGCCACCCTCTCCAAGAATATCATATTTTCTGTTGAGGTCTTTTGTATTCTTCACAGTTCACTAGATTTCAGGAGTATGTGTACACTTACTCCCTATGATTTTTGTGTTGTGTTATCTACATTGGAAAGAGTAAGTTTGATTTCAGTTTGAGACTAAGATACCAAAAATTAATTGTCTACCTGTAACTATTTTCGTGGGTGGTGACGTGTGGCTCGGTTGTACACACATAGGCAGGCATCTAGTGCTGTTCAGAAGTCCCTTATTGAACCCCACCTGACCTCAAGTTATTGCTTCAGCAGAATGTAGGTGTTGCACATAACCCTTCTGCTCTGTGCAGGCCTTGAAGATTGTCTCTGATGATAGTATCTTTGAGTAATTGATTGTTTCTCCTGCCGGCTGATTAGCCTGATTACCTTTTAGACTCTGTTGTCTGCATTGACTAATGTAATCTTAAACACCACAAGCATATTTAAACACCTACAGCAAAAGACTGCATTTAGACTTCTTAATACCAATGTGAATCCTGTCTGTAGATCTTGATTCAGTTTTCAGATGTAACTACATACTAACATTCGAAATGTGTTAACTGGCCAGGACTTCTAGGTACACCTGAGAGAAATGATGGTAGACCTGCTCTTTTCTGGTGCAGCACTTGAAGATCTAGGCGTATTAAATAGGTTTTCTGTATGTCAGTATCTGAGTAGATCAAATTTATTTGAACTAAACACTTGTGGCTAAACCTGAAATATCATTTGATACCTGTAATAGAATTTTTCAGCTGTACTACGGATTTTTAGATTTAGACTACTTGGTATAATTCCTTCCTACTCATTCGGAGGTCTTTATGTTTTTCAAAAAAAAAAAAGATTCAAAGGAATTTATATTTATTTACCCAGGACACCAACTTCGTAACTGCTCTGGAGCTGGCAGTGAGATTTGGGAAAACACTTATTATACAGGAAATGGATGGAGTGGAGCCTGTACTTTACCCATTGCTAAGAAAAGATCTCATTGCTCAAGGTAAATGACCATGATCTTTACAAATGCTTCCTCAAAGCTTTTGTAGTTTACATCTATATGGAATGTAAAACTTGATTTTTCTGAAAACTTGAGTATTGTGCAATTTTTTTACCTCTTTAGTATTAACCTGTTGCTAACATTTCAGTGCAAAAAATATGTTGGAAATATGTTCTTGTTTAGTAAGTGGAAAAATACTGAAATGTATTTAGAGAGTTTTTAACTGGATTTAGAAGAAAGTGTTTTTATCAACCCTTCAGAATTTAAAGTTAATTTCTAGTGATAATTTCAAATGCATAGTTTTACTTAGGAACTTGGGCCTTAAATAGACCAGAAGTTACACAGCTGGCTGTGCAATTAGAAATCAGAGTTTTAGAATATTGGTGTTTCTGTTTCTTTTTCAGTTGTCTGAAACTAAAGAAGGCACACAGGTCTGTCCCTGATGTGCCTTTGGAATGAGGAGGGTTGTAGATATCAGCAAAATGGTGGAATTTGGTGAAAGGTGTCCCTTCACTGATGCAATGAAAGGGAAAACCCCCAGCATTTGTTATGCAGTATCTCTGCTTTGGACAGATAATGTACTCTATATAACTCTATATAAAACTTCTTTGGATTTAGTTGCTTTAATAACGACTGATATGAAAATTTGTGATGAGAGTTTAGCAAAAATAAATAGCAATTATATAAGTATCTTAGCATGAATTTTGTTGAATTATGTTACATGTTTTCAAATTATATCACAAGAACTGGGTGGATTAAAAAATACAGCAATATCTGTTTTAAATACTGTCTAAGTTACTGTAATTATAATAGTTTTACATTATCCTTTGTAATTATATTTCTGCCTCAAGTTGTAATTCCTCAACATGTACCACAGCTCATGCATGTAATTTACAGTATGAGCTTTGGCTACTGAAAAAAACTTAAGACTTTTTTTGTTGTTGTTTCATCAACTATTGAGATCTAATAATGCATGAGGTAAGTCATGCTTTAAATGTAAGTACATTTAATGTACTTATTATTAATTAAAGCAAATGTCATAGGATTCTTATATACATTTATCTCCAATATCAGAAAGGTCTGTTTAGTGAAAAGAAAGTTACTTTAAATCGTTCTTCCGTTACAGATGTACCTGCTTGTTTATTCTCAGTAAAAGAGTACCAGCAAAGTGGTGACTTCAGGGTTCTGTGGGGCGTTAGGTAGAACATCATTACAAATTTTTTTTGCCCCTCCAGTTTCTACTGAATTTTGGAAAGGAGAGATACAGTATTGCAGGCATCTTAATTGATTTTATTCAGGAAATCAAATTGAGAGATGAATATGTCTGCTAAACTGTGAAGAAAGTAGATTAAATTCAAATATACTCATTTATTCAGGGAAATTGCTTATAACACTCAGACATCCTCTTTTACTTGTTAATGATCTATGTTAATGTTAGGTCTGTGCAGGTCCAGTCTAGGGAGCTGTTATTTGAAAGGACAACGGGTCACTATTTGAATCTTTTCTGTCACTTTGCAAGCAAGAACACACTCCTCTTTGTCAAAATGTGGAGGTGGGAGCCTATCTGCATTATTTTGCTTGTGATGACTGTACATCTCTTCATTACTTTGAATGAAACATTAAGAAAAATGTGAATATATATACTGCAATAAATTCGTCTTTGTACAGCTTCCATTTTCTGTTTGACATTTTTACAACACAGTCCTGAAATTTATTGTGATCCTTGGCATAGAAACAAAATTGATATGTGATTTTCATCTCTACCAGTGTTTTAGCAAGAGATTTATATTTCTCATCTGCAATCAGTGCTAAAAATAGAGAAGCACCTAACTATACCATCTTGGAAATTTTTCTGGAATGGAAATTTTCACTTATTAACTTTTCATCTTATAATTCTGTTCTTATTTCTTTTTCAGTATCAGGAGGCAAAGTCTTATTCTAATCATATGATTGTTTGAGTCTATTCTTTTCTAACCCTGCTAGAATGGAAACCTGGGGTTGGAGGGGAATGGTGAGGGACCATACATATAATTTTATTTTGTGACAGGTATATTGAAAAATATTAGGAGTATAAACAGATTGAAACTATGACATCAATTATTTAATAAATTGTTTCTTTCATATTATGATTAAATTAAATGTGCTTATAATAAGACAAATTTATGGGACATTTCTTGATGTCATATTTTTCTTTCAATCTAATATCTAGATATCCCAACATGTTTAGTTTCATGGACTTACTCTATAACAATTATCATAGAAAGTAACATTTTAATAGAATTATGATTATACAGCAACACCAACCTTCTACAAATAAATGTAACAGATCCAAAGATGAAATCTAATGGGCTTGGATCACATTCAGAAAATGTTGAACCATTTTAATTAGCAAATATATAATTATGACTAGTATGTTTTGCTAGTGTGGTATACAGCTGTGGAAATGTAAGTGAATATGTTTAAATTATGACAGGTTTCTTACATGTAAGGGGGATTCTCCAGTGCATCCTCTGTGGGTTTTTTTCTCCTATTCATGGTTTGAAGATTTCAAAGATTCATTAATATTACTTTTACTTCAATTGCATTTTTTACCATTTAGTCTTGGTGTGATGGGTAAAGATCATTAAACTACTCAGGTGTATTAAATATTCTCACTATTTAGCTGTCCTATACTAGTGCTATCTTATTCCTTTTTTCCTCTAACAACGCAGGTTAGGATATGTTCCTTGAATTTTTTAAATTTGTATTTCTTTCCAAAAAGTTTATAAATAAGTCTTCTAAAATTCATTTACATCTCCTCATCCTAAAGTATTACACAAATACCATTATTTTACAATGATATTTCTTGATGATGATTTTACAATGTTCCAGTCAGAGTGCATATAACGTCTGCTTATTATTTACAGGACCCCGTTATGCTGTACAAATAGGTGAAAAAACGATAGATTATAATGAAGAGTTCCGTCTTTTTCTGTCAACAAGAAACCCCAATCCCTTCATTCCTCCTGATGCTTCTTCTGTTGTTACAGAAGTAAACTTTACCACAACAGCAAGTGGCCTAAGAGGACAGGTAGGCATTTAGAATAAAAAATAGTGTATATGTATAGTGCACATGCATAGATGCATCCAGTGTCTGGAAGAAGCCCTATGGTGCAGCTTGTGTTAATGACCGTGGAGGTATTTTTTTAGCTCATGAATATAAATAGTAAAATCAAAGCTAAAACTGAATTTAAATTTTAAAATCTTGGTTTTATGCACTTTGGAACCAAGTAGTGAGTTCAGTAGAGAAAATTAAAATTGTCTCATGGACTTCAGTTGCAACAGATTAATTTCTAAGCCTCTACTTTCTGTTCAAGATACATTTATGGTACCGTGGAAACATTTCTGTTGCAGCTCTCTAGTGTCCTAGTTACAGAATAATGCTAGTACCATCAAAATTTTGTGTACAGGAAAAACTTAGTGAAATCAAAACACTGTATATTTTACTTCCTCCAAAATGCTAGTAGCTTTCGAGGTTTTCTCTATAAAGTTTAGGAAGCAAAATGTAACAATTAAGGGAAATAAACCCCCTCTTTATTTGGTATGAAACAAGTTTTTCCACACTAATGAGGCTTAGAATAGGATGTAGGTAAGATGTTGATAAGATGCAATTCAAAATGTGAAGCACAGATATCTGTATCGATTTCCTCCTTCCACTGGAGGTAGGGAATTAACATCATGCAATGTAACCATGAAAATTGACCCCCTTTTGAAGTGGAAATGCAGAAAAACTAACTTTGTTTTCTCTCTTTGTTAGCAGGAGAGAGGTTTGATTGGTAGGCATGCTGGAAAGAAATTTGCTGCCGTTCTTTCCAGTTTGTGCTTTCCTACATCACCTGTAGGAAATATATATCTGATAACAATACATGCAGAAGTGAAGACTGCCAATCATTTAAACATGTATGTAATTCAGATTGAGGTGCAAAGGTTTAGGTCTAAGCATGAAATGTTGTGAATGAGTGTCCTCAATAAAGTCATCCAGAGCCTCTTGAGATGCTCTGGAGTATCTCACCTGGCTTGCATTTGCTGTTATACTCAAGGCATGATTCACAGTAGTTCCTGGATTATCCTGGCCATTACAGGATATGCTGGATATGTACATAGATTTAAAGCTATTCGATGTCTACTGGAACTGAGTAAACCCTCAGAAATCTACTTTCAAAAACATAGCAGTATATATTCTATATGATGAATGAGTATATATTGTACTATATAACTAATGAATACATATTTTGAAATATTAGAGTGTTTCTTATCCTGCTAGATAATCTCCTTTGTTTTTAGCTTTTGGCTTTAACTATTCAGCATGAAAAACCTGATTTGGAAGAGCAGAAGACGAAACTGTTACAACAGGAAGAAGATAAGAAGATACAACTAGCTAAGCTTGAGGATTCTCTTTTGGAGGTAAAATAAATTTGCGTCTTTTATATCTGTTATACCAATAAATAGTGTTCATATCGTTATGTATTTGAATGAAACTATACTGTTTCTTTTTCAAATTCAGTTTTAACTGAAGCCACATTTTTAGGCTTGTGAATCATGTCAAATGATACTTTCAAGTTGAGAAATGATCCTGTGTAGTGAAAGGAAAAAAAAATTCCAGTACAAAATGGAAGGATTGTTGAGAGACATTTAAAATTTTAAACCTCCACAATTATTTCTAATTATCAATGAACTGTAATTTACAGTTAACATTTTCCTGTATTGCATTTAAAATTAATATTCTCAATTTTCAGTTCACCATTGCTCAGAAGCAATTGTTCGCCTCCATATAAAAGAGTAGCTTCCAAGGAGGGACTGTTTTCTTCTTCTGTTTCTATCTTGTCATGGATTCCACATAAACTGTACATCATGCTTCTAGTAGGAATGGATCCTCAAATCCTCCATCCTTCTAAAAGGTCATAGATGCAAAGAGATTGACCTGGTGCCATAAAACCCTCTGTCAGTAGCTAAGTCATAGAACTTTGTTGTATTGAGTGCAATGGACTAGCATAAGCTGTTAGTTTTCACAGATTAGACTGGCCATTTATTGGTCTGGCCTACAAGAGAGCTGGAGAGGGACATATTACAAGGGGGAATGGCTTCCAACTAAAAGAGGGTACTTTTAGATTAGGTATTAGGAAGAAATTCTTTATTGTGAGGGTGATGAGGCACTGGAACTCGTTGCCCAGAGAACTTGTGTGCCTCATCCCTGTTCAAGTGTTCAAGGCCAGATTGGATGGGGCTTTGAGCAGACTGGTGTGGTAGAAGATGTTGCTGCTCATAGCAGGGGATTTGGAAGGTTCCTTCCAGCCCCAACTGTTTTATGATTCTATGATTGATAGCTCTGTTTTAGAATTTTGTGCATGATTATCTAATGTGATTTGAATTTCAACATTTACTGTCCCTCTTAAACTCCTTATTAATTCTCAAATACTAAGCTCAGCCCTTTCTTAAAACTGTGATAGGGCAGATTTCTCTTATAGGAAAAGGGAAACTTGCTCTCTAAAAAAATTCCATGTCCAAATTTGATCATTTTTAGCATCTTATTTTCTACCAGAAACTGGGACTTCAGAGATACCACTATTTGACCTTTTAGAACAGACTTTTTTTATTATCTTGGAACTCCAAGATTTTTTACATTTGTCCGATCTGAGCTACCAAGTACAAAACTTAAGATAGCTGATACCTAAGATATTTGCAACAAAAGTGGCCAAGTATTAACACTGAGTTGGTTTCAACTTTGGAATTCTTGTTAGCACTGGAATCAGAATACTTTTTGACCCCAAAGATAGAAAGCTAAGGCTCAGTGGAAACTGGCAGGTGCTACATGGACTTTGTCAACAAAGAAATCAGTGCTGAAGGTGGTCTAGCTAAATTCAAGTTAAACTTAAAGCGACATTACCATTCCATCTGAAGTACTGTACTGGTTTTCTTCTGAAAGCCTTGGAGTAAAGACATAGGTGCTGTGGTGATGTCATAGCTTACAGTGTGATTCCTCGTAGCAAAACTGGATTCCTTGAATGCTGTCCTACAGGTGGTTGTTCAGAACTGACCTGACTGACAAGAAGCCAATTTTCTGTTGCTGTCTAACTAAAAAAAAAATATATTGAAGTATATTTACTGAGGGTTAGTAAAACACATGTATTATTAGGGAATCATTCAAGCTTTTGCCACTTCTTGGAAGTGAAATTAATTGCACGGGAGAACTCAGGGAAAATGTGAGGCAATCTCAAGGATTTTGAGGTAATCTCTGATTACAAAACTGAAATTGTTGTGATGTAAATATTTGTCTCAGTTGAAAATGAGAACTAGATTGTATAGGGGATAGTGGAATGTTTTTGAAGGAAAATGAATTTTTGAATGACTGGGTACAGGAAGTTGTTACGAGTAGCTTCAGGTTAAACTGGAAGTTAAATGGAAATTTACCATGAAGATTTTAGTACCTAAGACCCTGATCATAGAAAGCATTCTGAAAAGCTTGCTGATGACTTATGTTTCAGAACGTGGCAATCTGGATTTTTGGAGTACCTTCTTGAGTTTTATTTTCCATGCTTCTTTAAAACATCATCCGAGCTTTTGGAATAACCATCTGTTCAGAAATATGTACAGGTCAGAAAGAAGGACAGCTTCCAAAATAGTTACTTTACAGAATTGTTTGGTTTTTTTTTTTTAATGTAACATAAATTACTTTTTTTTCCCAGACACTTGCCACATCACAAGGCAATATACTAGAAAATAAGGATCTGATAGAGTCTCTGAATCAAACTAAAGCAAGTAGTGCAGTCATCCAAGAATCACTGGCTGAATCTCACAGACTTCAGACTTTCCTTGATAAGGTAGAAGAATATTTTAATCTTTTATTACTGTTTTTTTCCTGCTAAAAATAGTGATCTTCTATATACAGAAGACACATACATCCACAGGAATATAAGATAAGTAACATATTAAATTAACTTTTCTGAGTAAATGATATTCAGGATAAGCAAGCACAGATAGTATTTTTGTTAATTAAATTACTTTGTTTTACACATGCTGAATAATTACACAATTTAAAGTCCACCAGTTTGAGTTAAAGGGTTTTTGGCAGGTAACAAGGTTTGACTTCATTTTACCATCCTCTGTTGCAAACATTCTGGATCATATTGATGTTTTCACTTAATATATCCCTTTCTGTTGGAAAAGTTTAGTTTAAAATTTTCCATTGAATTTTGGGATATGTTCTGTTGTGGGAAGAGACCTCAGTGCCCTAGGGATTTATTTCCATCATATTCTTCATTTTAAAAATGTTTCCAATTTGGAAATCAAAAAGCGTTGAAGTCTTGAGTTCTGGTCCCTCAATCTGGAGAATTGGAAAGGATTTGGTTTCCTGAAACAGTGGGAATCATCCACGTTTTTTTGATGGGATGAGTAATAGTTTATGCAACAGGCAGTAGGTGGCAGTAATGCACCGGGTTTTTATGTGTATGTTGTTTTTCTCTGCAGGAGAGGGACTCCTATCTCCCTTTGGCCGAGAGTGCCAGCAAGATGTACTTCATTATCTCTGACTTGTCCAAAATTAATAATATGTACCGCTTTAGTTTGGCGGCTTTCCTGCGACTTTTCCAAAGGGCTCTGCAAAGCAAGCAGGTATTTTCTCTTCTGAAGCTGTTAATGCTGCAGAAGAATCAATCTGCTTTGATCCTTAGAATTTATTAGCTTCTCTGGACATTTTAAAAAAAAAGTTATAATAAATGTCGATGAAATGTATAATAAGTAGTTATGCTGAACTGTTGTGCTTTAGATATTCAGAATCCATGCACATGGAATTTTAAATTATTTTACGTTGCATATAAATCAGGGTATTGCTGTGCTATCTGAAAGCAGAATAACTCCTATTTGTTGATTTCAGGCTTCCTCTTTGTCTAAGATGAACTAGGAAAACAAAGGTTGATTATAACTTTACTGAAGGCTTTATTTAAATAAATTAATGATCTAATCTGCTAATAATGCTAATTTTATCAACAAAGGGTAGAATAAGAAAATACCTATATATCTACAGGGCTCAGTTACGCAAAGGAAGATCAAAATTTTGTCTGCTTTTATGCAGTTTGTAAACAAGCCTTATTGAAAATGTAATTTTTATTTTTCTGTATTGTGATGACCTGTATATCCTTATTAAAGCACAGAATTAATTTATTCCTTGACCCCAAACTCTTTAGATCTAAATACCCACACTGAATAATGATGTGTTTTCTCTTTATTGAGTGTCTCCAAAATTCATCGTATTTCTCTTTGTTTTTACTTTAAAAAGGCATTCACCAACCTTTCATCATGTCTTCTTTGGATTCCCCTTTATGGTGACATCCACGATTTACAGCTTTCCTTCAACTTCAGTCATTATCAGGAACACAGTTCTAACTATGTGAACTTGCCCTCTTTAAAGTTCTTATTTCTTCTTTTTGACAACATGAGGTTTTAACTTCTTTTTTTCTTACTTTCACACTTCTTCATAATTTCTTTTTTTCCTGCCTATTATATTACCAATTTAAAGCTCAACTTCTGTTTTTGCCTTCATTGCCTTCTTTCTTTTTCCTCTATCTAATTCTTAATTTTTGAATCATTTAGGTATGGGAAAGGTATTAGTCAAATCAATTGTGTCCAATTGCCCTCCTTAAACTCATCTTTTCAAATTCCAGCATGGTAGAAAGGAACTTACACTGTTACACATTCCATACCTCCCAACCCCTTTCTTCTTTTGTCCTGTCTTTTTTTCACTTTTTTCATGTTAGAATTAGTTTTTCAGTCTTGACCTTTGAAGGACAGGGTACACTTACTATTTTCTACAATGTTCATTTCATTTGGACCAGATTTGACCAGAAGTTTAGTAACTACATTTAGCATCAACATACCTGTTTAGTAGTATTTAATGTAGTAATTCAATGCCTAAGCAATTTTTTACCTAGTGAAAACTATGAGATTTCAAAAATATTAATGTTAGGAGAAGAAACTGTTCTCTCATTCTTTGTATATTTACCTTATACAAAGTTGTATAATGTTCATAATCAAAATATTCAGGCCCAAAATATTTATTTCTTAATACGTCAGCATGAATTTCTCATTTAATCATCTACTGATTGATAGGTGCAGCTGACTTTAATAATATGTTTTTAGAACTGGTGTCACATAGCATCCAGATTATTTGTGTAATTTTTCTGAAATTTACAAAGCACATAAAAATTTTTTTACTTCCACATGAATTTTTGAAACCCAAAATTTCTTTTTTAGGATTCAAGTAACACTGAGGAAAGAATCAAGTTGCTTATTGGCTCATTGAAACATGCAGTGTATGAATATGTTTGTCGTTGTTTGTTTAAGGTAAGATTGTATTTTTTCTGACTTAAGACAGTGCACTGGGTTTGAAAGTATTCTTTCAGCAGCCAACACTTGATCTACTTCAAATAAGCAGTACTGTGTAATAGATACAAAAAATTACACTAGCAATATTTAACATGCAAAATGAGGAGGACTAACAGTTAGGATATGACAAAATTAATATTGCTTATGGACATTTTTCCACAGAGCTCCTCATTTTGGCTTCATAGCCAGTCCTAGGCTTTGCCGTCTCCTGAGCACTTTTTTTTTCCTGTTTGCTCTTACTTCTTGCATTCCTTAGTATGACTGTTTGACCTAACTGTCATGATAAGGTTTTGTGTGATTATTTGGGGTTTTTTGTAGGTTTTTTTTTTTAAAGGAAACAAAAGTGATTGTGGTAGATTGACAGTTGGACTTGAAAATCTTAAAGGTCTCTTCCAACCTTGATGATTCTATGATTCTAAAAAACCCCCACATTGTGATATTCTCCTTTCTCTTTTCTCATCCTGTCCCAAATCTCTACCTGCTACCTTGTTTGTTTCCATCTGTTCCCTTGTTCCTCCATGTGATGTTCCTAATGTGTTTCTTCTTTATGTCAGTCAGGTGTCTTTTCTCTTCTTGCTTTCTTATTGAAAACCTAGGATAGATATGCCTTTCATTTTCTGGTTTAAGTTTTACTTTCACATGGAACTATCATGACAAGAGGTATTTGTCTCATAATACCAGCCTGAAGAATGCACAGTAGGTCTGCATAGATGGTTTGAGTAGTAGTACAAATTACACAAGTCTGGAGTTTGATCAGTGAGAATGGAGAGATCTTGAAAATTTTACACCAACTCCTCCCCTCTACCCCAGTCTAGCAACGTTTTATTTAAGGTACAGAGGTAGCAGATATTTCTTAGAAATTTTGTTTATCAAAGTCCAAGGGGATTCTCATGGAATGTTCTCATCATATTTAATGTCTGCATTTGAAGTCATGAGTATGTGAAGCCTTCCACTAAGTCATTACATCTTGTGAATATTGGAAGGCAGCAATTTTTGCACATAAGAAAAGAGATTTCAAGTGTAGGGCACAGAGGGAAGATTTCTAGTAGGAAGGATTTTAACTGTGAGCAATCATATTGGAGTTTAGAAAATACTGAAAGTCTGTTACTGTGCAGCTTCAGACTAATGGTCCATCCAGCTTAATATTGTGTTCTAATAGTTGAGAGAAAAAATAAACTCCTCACACCGTCAACAATTCACTACTTTTTCCGCCTTTTATCCATGAAAATTTTTAAAGACTGCTGTGACACTGAGGCTTTACTCGTGTCTTCATAAAAGGTATAGCTGATACAGGTTTATATGTTTTTAACCATGTTAGGATTGGGAAGGATGGTTTTTTCTGTCTGTGGTTAATATCTATGTTTGTATGTACCTAGGCTTCATGTATGCTACTAAATGAAGTTGTGCCCAGAAATTTTCCTGAGCACTGGAATTCACCCACCTGTACTGTTAATTTGTCAAAATAGTTTCTGTTACAGTTAATATTCTTCCAAACAATTTTCATTCAAATTTTGGATACTGAATCATCCGGGGACTATCCTAAGAGGCAGTTTGGATTTGAATTTGCTTGCAGACCTTGTCTGAGAAGATGAGAGTTGAGTGGTGTAGTTTGTTCTCAGCGTCATGTAATGTTCATGGACATATTTTATTTATCAATAAAATGAGACCTCCAGTACCTTACAGAGTTTGACACTAATGCCTAGTAGGGATCTATTTGTCACCCACTCCACTGACCACTTTGGGTTAGTCTTTCCTTCTCAGTTGCAAAGGTACATAGCAATTTTGCGTTAAGGTACATGTCATTAAGTCATTACTATGGAATTAGAGATCACTTATGTTGCTAATATTGCTTATAAAAAAAAGCAGGTGACTTTTGGTGAGCATATAAATACATTTTTATTGCTTTTATTTCAGGCTGATCAGCTAATGTTTGCTCTACATTTTGTACGAGGAATGCATCCTGAACTTTTTCAAGAAAATGTAAGTGCTAGGGAAGAAAATCCCCAAGTATTTTGCTTAAACGTAATATGAACAGTAAATAAATAGATAAAAAGTTTTTGTCAGTAAGTATAGGACTTACTTATATTTGTTTATAGTGTAGTTGAATTACTTCTGTAAAGTCTGACTACAGTGAAACAATATGCATAATTGACAATACATTTGCTTAAATGTGGCTGATTAGCCTGAGTCAAGACATATTTAATTTTCTAAAATATCTACATGGAATGGAGAGACAAAACTATGGCTTTCTGTACTAGAAGCTGGAGACCAGAAGGAGTCGATGTAGTAGATGTCAGTTCAGTAGAGGAGAGTCCATTATAGGGTAAAAGGTAAAAATCAGACAATACCTTTGAAGGATGTAATGGAATTTAATTATATGAAGCATATGAGCTCAAGGTACAAGATTTAAGAAAGGTTGGTTGAAACCTCTCGATGTTATGAGTGCAATGTAGTTTTAATGCAGACATATGGATTGACAAAGTAAAACCCCACTCTTTCAGCAATGATAAAAATAAATTAATCTAGTTGGTAGAAGCATATCCTGGTTACTCTTCATTATTAGAAGTTCCCTATTTCATCTTCATTATTTCTTTTGGGCTTCTGAAAATATCTTACTTTGTCTTTCTTAAGTTTCTAAAGTCATGATGGCAGCAACTTGCAAATAGTTTTCTGACTGATTTAAAGCTTGGCTTCTTAAGTGTTTGTAAGTACAGCCTTATGTGTTGGTTTCTATTGTTTAGCATGCATTTCCATCAACTATTACAGCTCTTAGAGAGCTTAATCTAGTTTATATATAATGCCCATTTCTACACTGAGTACTCAAGGATGAAACCAGGCAAATAGTATCAGTAATTTCTTACTTCTCTGAAAGGTAGAAGTTACTTTAATTAAATTGTTAAGAGAAGAGTGCTTGTGCAAAATATTTAGTGAGGAAAATGAAGCTGAAGTGGTTATTCTTTTAAAGTTATTTCTTTTAAAACTTTTAATGTGATGAGACTAGAATTTGATTATTATGCTGCTAGAGAATTTAGTATTCTAAGTCCCTCTCCCAAAAGAGTTCAACCTTCTGCAGTTGTGAATTTTTTGCATAGTGACGAGAATTTTATAGTACAACTAAAGCAGTATATTATAGAATGCCTTGGGTTTTAGTAGAGACATTCTCTTTCTCAATCAATACATATAGATTTTTCTGAGGTAGTTTATATGCCTCTACAGATTATACTTTTGCTTTTCTTCATAAAAATATTACATAATTTTTGATCTTAAAAGTACTTCATGTGTTTTTCTGTGCACATGCATTTTCTTTGTCATTGGGAGAGGAACATCAGTTTGTAACTGAAAGAGAGAGAGCTGTTTCAAGACTCAGCTAGATGGGTGTAAAAAACTATTCTGTGATTTGTATCAGTAGTACTACTACTAGTCAAAAACCTTTGTCATAGAATTATAGATTCTGATTATACAAAAATTTCGATACTTATGAAAAAATTTTAGTATATTTCTTGCCACCTCCAAATAGAGCATTATGTATTTTGTGGTGTTTTTAAATAATTATCTAATCTGTCTTAAAATGATTAAAAGCTGCCGTCCTGGATACATATACCAATTCTAAAAGATTTAATCATATATAAATTTAACTTAACGTTTCTCTTTTTAGTGCAACCAAAGTATTTGTAATGTCATTCTATTATATTAAGTATGCCCCCTGTTCTTAAACCTGCCATCTGCTGGATACTGTAACATGAAACACTGTCAAATCATGGATTCTGTAGCTATGTGTTGTATGTGGGCTGCTGATGCCCTGTCGGGCCCTGTCCTTACCAGGAACATTTGTTACTACTTGGTAGTTGATAGTCTATAGGGTGGGAGCTCTGGTTGCTTAGAAGGTATAGGACTTCCCCTCTGCTTCTTTTTCTTGTAAAGCACTGCAGTCACTTAGCCTGGATTCTGCAAAGGGAATTAGCATTTTTAAAATGTCTTAGAACTCTTTCAGAATCTAGGATTTAATTTGTTTATCATCCTGGTCTGCCTACATGCATTACATATCAATCTTTATTCTTAAAGATATCTTGTGACTGATCTATTATTTATTCCCCTAGGAATGGGAGACTTTTACAGGTGTGATCATTGGAGATACCATAAGAAAATCAGTAAGCTACATTTATTTGCATATTTGAAATAAGAAACATTTACTTTAATCCTAAAAAATTAAACTTGTATTTTTACTATATTGTTTAATTAATTGTATTCATACATTAAAGAAACAAGTAGCTTCTCACATAGTAGTATAAAAATATAAATTTTTAAACACCTTTTTGTACATGGCAACTAATTTTCTAATTTACATAACTTTTTGCCTTTTTTGCTTTTCTTATTTTCTTTTTCTTTTACCAGGATTACAGTTTGTAACTGTATGTTTGAGGAGGTTTTCAGCCCTCTTCTGTGACTAAAATCAGCATTTCTGAATCCGTCTTTCTCTTGGAGTCATATGAGTTGTTTTTGCATGAATTAATGGAATTGTCCACACACTTTGCTAACTTTGACTGACTTTTTCCTTAGTCTTGAGTTCTACATCTGGAGATGTATTTATATGTTTTCCTAGGTGACTGAGCAAGGTTAAGAAACTTTCTTTGCATGCCTGATCGAGCATGCTGTAGTTTACTAAGCGTCTCTCAATTCTGTACACTTTTAACATAACAGTCCAGTAGAAAAGAGTAGAGAAAAAAGCTAAGGTTTCTATAATCTTACCCATTATAACTCTTCTTTGAGCAAAATATTTTGGCAAAGGTTTTGAAAAGTGTTTTTAGGAAACATGAGCACAATCAGCAATCATGAGCCCAGTCTTCGCCTCCTGTTTTACTTTTCTCCACTTTTCCTTCATTCATAGTCAGGCTAGCTCATTCCATGAGGCTCAGCTCACAATTCATCGTTCACAATTACTCTTAACCTATAACCTTGTTTAAATACTTATCAGGGTATCTTGTATGTTAAATGGTACAAGACGATGACCAGAGTGAGTACCTTGATTTTAGACACTCATGACAGTAGGTGTGTTCACATGTGTGGTGGTAAAAGTGGCAAGTCACTTAAAACACAATGTATTACTCAGGTTTTCTCAGGCAGCTGATTCCTGAAATGATCCTTAAAGTCCATTTTCTCTAGCCATTAGATAACTCTACTACAAGTTTTGCATTTCAGTGTGATTGCAGAAGTTCCCCTTCATCTCTGTGGAGTCTTTGTAATTCAATTAAATGTCAGTGAACTGGGTGATTGTCAGGTATTTTCTTGTGTAGGTAATTTTCAAACTATGTCAGATCTGATTGTATAATGGAATTTAATACCAGTCTTACCTCTACCCACCTAACACACAACCCATAGATTTTGGAAAGACTGTGCATATGCATCCATCACCCCAATTATAACTGGAATGTATGTTGCAGACCCATCTCAAGTTTGTTCCTACAGTTGCTTCTGAGTTTTCTGGTTTTGTTCTTTCTCAGACTTGATGACTCAGGGCCAAGGTATCCTTTCACAAGAAACCTTCTATTTTTTTCTGCTGAACATTTAAGATTACTTTTGAAATTGCTCAGTGGTTGAGAAATCCAAATACATTTCCACGCAGAGACTGTCAGACTGGTTAATGAGTATTGTAAGATTTGTTAATAAAAAATGGTATAATGAATATACTGGAGCTTAAGCTGTGTAGTTCATCCTTAGATTTTTATCCAACCCAAAAACCTAGAGAGCAGAAAAACAGAGCTGTGGCCAAAATTTATCAGTGCAGAGATGTTCAGAAGTGATATTTTGCCTAGTGAATTACCCCAAAATTGCTCTTTGTGTGAAGAACTGTCTTCTTCATGGCTGCAAATATGTGCAATGGAGTTGTTTCTTGAAGTCAGTTGCTCAGAGTGCATATACAGATAGGCAATCATTTCTGTCAATTGTTTTTAATGAAAAACTACTTAGAATTGAGTGCATCATAAGGATACTCTAAATAATAAAGTATTTTCAGACTCAAGTAGCTAAGCAAATGTTACTGTGAATAGTATGTCTCATATTTAAATCTTTGGTAGCTTTTATTTTGTTATGCTGTTTACGAACTTCGCAAAATCCCACAGAAAGATTGCTGTTGTGAATGGTATTTTTATTAAAAACATGAGTTTCATCTTCTTATTACTGAGTATAGTGTTTCCCAAAAATTTATATAACTTACATGTGTAACATAACTTGCTTCAATAAGGATTCACAAAGAAGTGTTCGTGACCAGATTCCCTCTTGGATAGAACACGACCGAGCCTGGGCAGTAGCATCTTTGAAGGTATACATTGTATGGTGGGTTGAATTTAATTTAAAGGACTTTGGTTTTGACAAATAGGAATTTGGACTTGAATACTCAAATATGTATTTGTCAGATGGAAATATTTTACTATTTTAAGGTGCTTATTCTATTAGAAACCATGGCTTAATACATACCCACTTGAAAAAAAATAAAGTATTTTAAACTCATTTTTCTGACCCTTTTTCTTGAACATTTCTACCCCATCTAACAATTTCAATTTTTTTAAATGAACCTGTCATCTTACTGAGATTAGAAAATGCTCTAAGTCTACCCAGAGTGCTTCAATTTTTTTAGATAGAAAAATATACATAGGAAAAATTGCAAAGAATATTTGAGTTCCACTTTTGTAATGATCTTCACAAAACCATCTAATATTGTATTAAAAGCTGTTAATTGAGAAAATAGTCTTCTCATCAGATTTCCCTGTACATCTTTGCAGGTGATTCAGAGTTTATGATTGCTCAGATTGAGTAATAATCACACTAAACCAAAAATGATTGTGTTCCTCCTACCACAGTCAATGTTGAAGGGAACTAAAAGAAAGTACTGGTGCTTGAAATTCCATCTTAGGCTCTTCTCCTGCATGTAGCTGAGCAGCAAGAAGGAACTGGTCTTTGGCAAGGAGTGTTGTTGCTAAACCCAGAGTCCATAATTTAATTTCTTTTCAACCAGAGATCAGGAACAATCACAATAATGATGTGGCAGGCATGATAGTTAGAGGTTTAAACAAACAAACAAACAAACAGAAAATGAGTAACTGAGTGAATCAGTAGCACGTAGTGATAGAAAAAGAACCTGATCGTGATTAAAGCAAAAGACTTAAAGGTAGAGCCCAAAATTTAAAACCAAAGAACCTTTAAGTTTAATATAAAAAATACAATGCAAATACAAACTTAGCATTTCCAGGGAATAGTAATAGTAAATAAATAGTTAATTTTAAAATGTACTCTTCTTTAACTCCAAGGATAAAATTGAATTTTGTGATGTGCGCAAGTAGTGGTCATAACTGGTATTTGGAAATTATTTAAAATATACAATGTCCAAATGGCTATTCTTATTATAGTTAATTATACGTTATTTGTTTTGTAGATTTCTCTCCCAGGTCTTTATCAGATACTGTGCTTTGAAGATGAAAGTCTGTGGCACACTTTTTCTCAGAGTTCTGTGTGTGAACAAGACTTTCCATCTACTCTTGTAAAAAGAATTTCCTTATTTCAGCAGGTAATCTTTTCATTTATTATATTAATTATAAGTTCAGCATTAAAAGCAAATTTTACATCCAGGCCTGCTTGAATTATAAGCAGTGACAGTATCTACACTGTCTTACAGTTTAACTAGTTTTTTTAGTCTACGGATTATGTATTTTCTTTCACCATAATGCATATTTAGTTCTCTGTTATCTGAGTCTTTTTTTGTGTTGGTGTATTGCCTGCAACTGAGTATACCCTGTAAGGTATAGTAATATTCAGAATTAATTTAAATAATAGGTATTAAAATTCTTTCATGGTTGCTTTGTTACTGTTGGATGTGTCAGCTTGTTGAATGTCTTTAGTTTAGTTCATCATTTAATGTACAAACTCACACATCTGACTGAAAACCTCAAAACACAGTAGCAGCCTCTTCTTTTTTAGAATAGTAGTCATGAAATATGACTGTTCTTGAAAGCCTGATAATGAAGAACTCACCAAGCATATTGGAGGAGAAAATCCCTTCCTCTACCTGAGGATCCTTTTCCACTGGAAGGGGAAAATGTAATCCCTTTTGTGTTTATGGAAGAAGGCATGTCATTACTTAATTTCAAATGATGCTGTGATTTTTCATTTGAAGACACTCCACATAAAAAAACCAAGGCCCGTTCCAAAGAAAGGATGAGGTAGTTTCCAGTAGTTTCATGCTGATTGGCTCTTAGCAACTCTCTATTTGGAGTTTCTGATGGAAGAGGTAAATTTCTAAAATAGCATGCATGGAATTAAGGAACAAACCATTTTGGAAAGGAATTTTTCTGAGTCATATTTGATTCTATGAAATGCAGAAGAGCACTTCTTATATGTGCAATGTATTGTCAGAAAAATTCTGCATTTATAGGAAAGTAAATCTGGAATGATCAGTATATCTAGTTCCTTGTACAGAAAGTATTAAGAATATTTCTCTTGATGAAATATAATGAAACTCTGTGGTGAGATTGATGCACCACTCATAAATTAATTTGCACTGAAATCAGAAACATTAGTATTTCAGTTAGGACATTACTGCCTGTATATGTGCACAGAATTTAGATTACTAGTATAAAGCTAAGTTTGCTTTCTAGCTACCCACATAGCTACCTTTTTTCTAAAACATTGTAGGAAAGGTTGTAGCTTACAAATAGACATTAGGTATAGATCTATTCTCTGATTCTGTTAATAGAAAAGCTACTTACAAAAGAACAATTACAATAGGTTATCTTGGAAAGGAATGATCAGATAGCTTTATATATTCAGGGAAGATAACTTTGTTCTTAAGAAAAGTTTAAAGAATTCAGCTGTCTTAGAGGAGTCTTGCATTTTAAATTGTCACTATATACTTTTATAGACTCTTCTCCCCCGAATATATTTTATTTTAAGGTACTTGTGGTCCAGGCTGTCCGACCAGACAGACTACAGAGTGCCATGGCTCTTTTTGCATGTAAAACCCTAGGTAAGTTAATTTTTCACCAGAGTATTTCTGCATAACAATTAAGTATCTTTTTTGTCCTTTGTTTTGCTTTTATTTTATAGTTGTTATGGAATCCCTAAGTTTCAGGATTTGAAAATATGTTTTAAATGGACCTGCTGGTTTTATTCTTGTAAAGTATTGTTAAAAAGTGCTTTTAAAATTGTTCAGTTTATGCTGTATAGTGGTTGAAAATACTGTAAAAGATCTGTCAGGTTCTTTTAATGAATTCTTGAACACTGGAATTAATTAAGAAAAGAAGATAACTGGTTTTCTTAAAGTTTTACACTGCAGCACTTTCCTTAAGACACAAATTTTCCAAAAAAATATTACTTCATTTAATGTCATTAGGTTTGAGATTTTGTAGATGAGTCTCAAAAAGATTATTTAATAATTTCAGTAATTTTTGTCTGTCTCTTGGTGTATAATACTTTTTACTGTCTGTGTAAAAATATACATGGTTTAGAGTGATTCAATACTATGGTTGTCTATTTGTTCTAGTTAGTCTATTTCCCCTCTGAAGTCTATTGTACCCACAGTTTGAAATGTGTATGCCAAATAATCTTAATATTGCAGTATAGCACACCAAAGCCTTCCCTCAGTTTTTAGCAGTTAATGGGTATATGGAAGATGAATTATTAGTGTCTCATCGAGGCGGACACTGTAAGTTTTAAAAGTCACTTTATTTTACTCTTTTATGCTCCCTGTCTGTGGGCATTATTTGTTGATCAAAATTGGCTCCATATCTGCAACCAAGACTGATATTTTCGGGATTAAGGGATAGCTTCTCTGTCAAACATTATTAGTAGATAGAGAGGATACTTTGTTGATGGTGAGTATAAAAGGCCCATGCTGACAATGTCCCTGCCTGTTGGAATCAAATGACAAATGTGATCTGCAGCGCCATGTGGCTCAAAGCCCAGCAGAGACCTGAATGCAGAGTGAGTTTGCCTGCTTACTGTCTTCCAAATCTTAATAAATTACATAAATTGCTTATTTTTATTCCACTTCCTTGGAAGAATGCTGCACGAGGGGATGGTTTTAGGGTGAATGAAGCTGCAGCCTCACCAAGGAAAGCAGAATACCATTATTTTCATTTGGAGTTTCAAACCCAGCAAATCATCCACAAATCATCCACAGATTTTTCATGCATATCAGTGAGATTTTATTTTGAGATCATGTCATAAATCATGACTAGCACTTTCTAACTGATAAAAGATGTCACACTTGTATGAATATTTTTTCATAGTTTTTCTACTGGGTCTTTTTCAGGATGCTTGCCCTGAAACTACTTAAACTTTCATTTAGTTTGAAAAGGAGCTGTTAAGTTTCCAATCTACTTTGGCTGCTTTCCTGTAAGAAAAATAAGTTCCAAAAGAACTCTAATAGCCTACAAGAAAGCCTTTCACTTCTGTTTTATCCAGATATGGGGGGTTTTTCTTCATCTTTTACATATATGTTTAAATTTATGGATGAAGAGGGATTAAAATAATTTCTTTTGAAGATAAGGTTCATAAGAACTTTCTAGGAATGTATTTTGTGGACACCCAAAGCATGCTTATTTCTTTATCTTACATGCTATACCGAAATGCACCGTATTAACTGGAGCCTCGCTCCTATGAAGTGAGAGTTGGGATTGTTCAACCTGGGAAGAGAAGGCTCTAGAGAGACCTTAAAGCAGCCTTTCAGTACCTAAAGGTGTCCCACAAGAGAGCTGGTGAAGGACTTATTACAAGGGCATGTAGTGATAGGACAAGGGCTACTGAAAGAGAGTAGGCTTGGATTAGATATCTGGAAGAAATTCTTTACTGTGAGAGTGGTGAGATTCTGGAACAGGTTGCCCAGTGAAATTGTGAATGCCCCATCCCTGGAAGTGTTCAAGATCAAGCTGGGTGGGCTTTGAGCAAGCTAGTCTAGTGGAAGGTGTCCCTGCCTATGGCGGGAACCAGAAGATCTTTAAGGTCCCAACCCAAATAATTCTCTGATTCTGTGGTACAAATTATGTACTGTATTATGTATTGTTCTACAGGGAACATATAATAGCTCAAGTCTGAAAGCAGACCATGCCCTCAAGGAGGTGTGTATGGCATCATTTAGTAGTTGTGGCATAGTTGTCACTGATTTGGGTTATTCTGCCTTGCTTTATGTTGTGATTTCCCATTGCACCTAAAGCTTCATTACTTAAGGACCAATCTAAAGATACATGAAAATACATGGCTAGCACAATTTATTATACACATAGCTTTGGACTAATGTATAAATACCTTGCTTTTACTAGGTCAACACTTTAACTTTTTAAGTTGTATATTAAAATAAATAATAGACAGAAGTAATCATAGTACCAAGAACCGTGTAAGTCTAATAATTAAGACTCTTAGGACAATAAGGAGAGGTGTTGTACAGGCAGACATACACACTGCAATGAGTTTCAGCAAATAGCATAACTTCTTATTCCACTCCTCTCTTTTTGTATGTTTCCTTGAAGACTACACTCTAAATAAAGACTACAGTTTATGTTTGTCAAGCTGGAAATCCAAGCACCATGCTTGTTTATTTTTCTTATCAGTATAGGATGTCTTATACCTGCATATTGTAAGGATTTTGTTCTCATTTTGTCTGGTTTTCTGGTCTCCATTGAACAGAACTCTGACTGCCAGATGACCTCTAAACTGGTTGAAGCACTCCATCATGGAGAGTCACTTAATTTCCATAATAATTCTAATTCTAACTATAGGCATAAAGGAATTATCTCCATCACCTCTGAATATGAAACGTCTGTATAAAGAGACTATGGAAATTGAGCCCATCTTGATAATAATTTCTCCTGGTGCTGATCCTTCTCAAGAGTTGCAGGAACTTGCCAGTGTTGAAAGAAGTACTGAGTGCTACCATCAGGTCAGTCTTAGATAAGCATAATGATTAAAAAAATGCAATGTGTAAAATTTTACTGTAGTAATATCTGTTTTACCTTATTTTGCAAGGAAGTTAATATGTAAAAACATAGTTTAGTTTCTATGTGTTTGTTCTTACCTGTCTTGACATTAACTTCTCATTCCATTTGCAAAATTGGTTGGAGAAGAGAGACACAATTTGTCATCCTCACAGAAGCAGAATCCACATGATAGGCGTTCCTCCAACTTGGAGAAGGAAAAAATGAGAAGATAGATGGAAGAGAACAAAAGAGGCTGAGAATTGTTATACATGCTACAACATTATCTTTTTTTAGTGTGGAGTAATTGAAATATAAACGCACTAGACTAGACTTCATAATTTCCTCTGCTTATAGGACTTGCTTTTTTTTTTTCTTCAACTGAACAAGTAAATCAGATGTTCAGTGTTTGTGAATACTTCAGTATTTTGTGAAATTCTGTAAAATATTTTGAGAAATTTAACATCCTTGAAGGTTCCCAGTAACCCACTGGAAAAAGCCCTCAGCTCCTCGTCTGATCTTTCATAACTGGCCCTACTTTGAGCAGGAGATTGGACTAGACACCTTCCGGGATCCGTTCAAATCAAATTATTCTATGATAAAAGTAGTTTCCTAATATTCCCATTACACAGTAACAATATGCTTTATACCTTTCTATAAAAAATTGTTTCCTTCTGTCATTTGAAATATCTGGGGGGGGAAGTTGTTATCTAGACAATCACTGGTTAACACAGAAATGGAAAACGTCAAGTTTAATGTTGCTTTTAAATAGTCCTTGAAATTGTTCCTTTCCTAGAATATACACTGATGTGATATATTTTTCCCATCAAACTGTAAATATTAAGAACCTACTGCCAGCTTATCTAGCTGTGAACATTGCAGAATGCCTATTTCTTACTCTACCACGTGGATTTTTGTGTTTATCTGTAAATATTCTTTACATGTTGGACTTTTAAAATGTAGCACGGTATGGTATTCAATTAAGGAGTGGGACTCAAAGCTAAATAATCTGAAACGTGTCCTACTAATGAGAATATTGTGGGGTTTTCCTGCACTTTCTCATGTAATTTGAATAGAACATAAAAGATCAGATTTTTCTTCTCTCTTGAATTACTTCTCATATAGGATGAAGAACAGAGTGCTAAATTTGTCTACTACCTTATTGCTGATGATTTTCAATTATCTTCTTTTGGCTATTTTAAATTATTTCAAGATATATTAAGTTTTATTTAGGTAGAGGATAATAATGCCAAGACAAGGCTTTTCAGATTGGCTAAGACCACTTTATTTTCAACTTGTTTGGTTCAGGGTTTTTGTTATGTATAACTTCCGAATAGATTCTAAGGTAGAACTAATATGGTGCTATAAAACATGAAGAAAGGACTGTCTGTTAAACTATTCATATTTCCCAGTTGGAAAGAGACTAGCCTTAGTTTTTCACTCATCTCAATATAACTGAATGTTTCTCTTCAAAGGAAATACTCTTAACTTCCAGTCAGAAAAAACTTTGTTCTCATTTATCTCTTGTTTTTATTGTATCAGCAATTCTGCAGTAGTACAGTTTAGTCACTGATATTTAAATTACTTTTTGACTTCCCAGGGAATACCATTACTGTCACCAAAGGATGCATGTTTTTTGCCATAGAAAGACTAGGTAATGTTTTTTTTTAACAAACTCTGATTAGAGAAATTGCGAAGGAAAATTGTTTTCCTTAATCTTTTCTCTACTTTAGTAGCCTATCATGTTAGAGAAAATTCTACTTATCTTTAGCACTCCTTTTTTACATATGTACCCTAAATTGAAAACATGATTTTGTATTTAGCTGTTAAATGAGGTATGATAAGTTCTTGTTGCAACTGTGTCTGTCATTTCAGATTGCAATGGGCCAGGGCCAAGCTGACCTGGCTATTCAAACTCTAAAAGAATGTGCACGCAATGGAGAATGGCTCTGTTTAAAAAACCTGCATCTCGTTACATCTTGGCTTCCTGTGTTGGAAAAGGTGAGGGCAAATAGAGAAGAAGATATTGGAAACCAGACAAAATTCGTATGCAAAATTTCTGAAGCATTTTAGACATTTCCATGGTGATGTTTAAAAATACATCTTTGCAGTTTAAAAATACACCTTTGCGGTTTTCTCAGTCATGAATAAGGTAAACTGCTGCAGATCTAAGCAGCTCCTTTCTTTGTGTGAACATTTTCATACAGTGTACAGTATTTCTACCATGATGATTGGGAAAATGTTCCAGTTAGGACTTCTAGTACTTTATGTGATACTGACCATGTTTGCTGAACTATGAATCTATGTTTGCTTGAATTTAATTTCTTTTTCCCTTAGTTCTAGGACTTAATTTTTAGCAGTTCTTGTTTTTGTGAAGTATAGCTTGTGCCTGAGTTACTAAGAGGTTTTTGCTAATTTGAGATTAAAATGTCTATCTAATATTTTCTAGAAACACACTCTTCGTTATAGCATGTTAGATCATTAACTTGCTGGCCAGAAGTGATTTTATATGACACACTTTTCATGTATATCACTGTGAAATCCTCAAAAGAAATTAACCTTGCTGATTACAAAATTTCAGATCTTATAAGTATTAAAATATGGATATGTGTCAAGAGGTTCTTATTCTTTCCAAAAGAATGTAATACTGAATGTGTTAAACTTTCTGCTGAGCTTAATATAGACTGAGATTTGCTGATGGTTGACTCTACACATTCCCTTGTCTATTTTACATATCATTAACAAGTGTGAGGCTATGTAATTCCTATGCTTGAACATCATCTTAAGGGACTTCTGCATATTTATAATTCAGCTCCATCCAGGTACATAAATTTAGTTCTCACAATCTTTCAATTTAAGAAGATGAAATATATCTTCTGGTCAATGTGAACTTTATCAATAAGAAAATGATACCTTCACAGTTTACAGCTTCCCCCCATTAGCTGTCTTGTAGCCAAGCACAGAGTATCAGAGGATGCATACTGCAGATAATGATGCTTGAGCCAGCATGCGAATTCTCTTGTTTTCTTTTTCTAAAACTCCTGCTTCCAAGGCAGTGGATCATTATCAAATCTTGGTTTGGTTCCCATAACATCCTCATAGACAAGCTGATGAAATATGGACCCCAGTGTACCACAGTGAGGTAGATTGAAAACTGGCCTAGTTGTGTTACTTGAAGGGTTGTTGTCAACATCAAAAAATCCAGTCAGAGGCCAGTCATCAGTGTTGTGCTCTAGGCATTGGTACTGTGGCCAACATGGTTTAACATGTTAATTAATGGTATGAGTAATGGGACAAAGTGTATCCTCAGCAAGTAGAGATGATAAAGATTGGAGCAAACTATTGATGTAAGAGATGAGTGTGATTTCATCCAAAAGGACCTTAGTAGACTGGTGAAGTAGGCTAAGGAGATACCTCATGAAGTTCAGCAAAGGGAAATGCTAAGTGCTTCCTGTCAGAAGGAGTAGCTCCGGCCACCCAGTCAATCTGGGGACTAACTGGCTGAAAAGCAGTTTGGCAGAAAAGACCTGGGAGTCCTAGTGGGTAAGAAGGTGACATGAGCCAGCAAAGTGACCTTGCAGCAAAGAAGGTGACTGGCCTCCTGGGCTGTTATAGACAGAGCGTTGCCAGGGTCAAGGGAAGTGATCGTTCCCCTTTACTCGACACTGGTGAGATACATCTGGAGTTCTGTGTCCAGTGCTCAGCTACCCAGTACAAGAGAGACATGGGCATACTGGAGCCAGTTCAGTACAGGGTTAGGGTGATAAAGGAACTGGAGCATGTATCGTACAGGTGGAAACTGGGAGAGCTGGGACTGTTCAGCCTGGGAAAGAGAAGCCTCAGGAGAATCTTATTTAGTGTGTATTGGCTGATTGGAAAGAGTAAAGGAGACAGACGCAGACTCTTCTCAGTGGTGTCCCATTGCAAGACAAGAGGCTATGGACACAAATGAAAATACAGGAAATGCCATTTAAATAGATGATAAAACTTATTTTAATGTGAAGATGGTCAAACACAAACAGGTTGCCCAGGGAGGCTGCAGAGTCTTCATCCTTGGAGATACTGAAAACCTGACTGCATACAGGTCTGGACAACTTGTTGAATCTGGCTCTGCTTTGAGCAGAGAGTTGGACTAGGCAGGCTCCAGCAGTTCCCTCCAAGCTTCATGATTCCATTACTCTAGGTACCAATTATAGTTGTCATTTTGCAAAATATCTTGACAAGTAATGACTTTTCAGAATTTTTTTCTTTACTAAAAACACCAAAACCAAAATGATAACGATTATGCTTTAGAGATTATGAGAATGAATGGATTATGAAAAAATCTGTTGAGTTTTTTTGACCTATGTTTCTCCCAACACATGTACACAAAACTGTTGACATTGTTCTGAAGTCAATTGTCAGACAACTTTGATGTCTTCAATGGAAAATATGTCTGTTTCAGTGGCACCTAAAGCACCAGCAGTGTGTGTCTATATTCAGTAATTACATATTTTTGTGAAGCCTTTATATTTGAAATAACTTTTGACAATATTTCTCTCAGAACTCATTTTTCCTAATCTCAGTTTTCCATGAATCATGATAACATGAAGGGTTCATACAACAAACACTTGAAGAGAAAAAAATTAATATAGCTATACAGTTGTTGAAAGTCATTGAGATTTTTTGATATGCAGCCCACATTGCAAGCCTTCATCTTTTGAGATGCAGCCTTCTGGTGTTTTTGTACTTAAAAGAAGTAAAGAACTGCTATGTATTTTTATGCCCCTAATTTAGTATCGGGGGAAAGGTGCAAATATTTTGACACAGCTAGGATGAACTTCAAGTTTGAGCACAGCGATGACATAGAATGTGTGGAGACAACACATCTTGAACTGTAGTCTTTTGAATAACCTTGTATGTAAAAGCGACTGTAGATATTTTTAGATAAGCCTAACTTTCTAATCCAGGGTATTATAATTTTGTAAATACTGTTCTATATTATAAAAAAACCACCTCAAAACCTTTTTCAATATTTATCATCTTTTTAATAGGAACTGAATACATTACAGCCTCAACCAAACTTTCGTCTGTGGCTTACTACCGAAGTTCATCCAAAATTTACTCCGATTTTGCTTCAGTCAAGTCTGAAAATAACTTATGAAGTAAGATTTGTTTGGAAAGTTTTTATTAGATTTTTACATGAAACTAATCTAGATGTATAGTAAACTATATATTTAAATATAATAAGTGACTTTACCTTATATTTCAAAAAATGCTATGAATTTACCTTGAGAGATGAATTTTTTCCTAGATACTTTTTCCAATTGAAAGTTTGAACTGAAAATAAGTTTAAATAGTAGTTGTTCTGTCTTGTGCTCCAAATTCTTTTGTGCATTTAATCAGTGTTTCTTAAAAGCAACAACCTACACAGATGATATTACATGGATGGCAAACAAGGAATTTCTCCTTCTTGATGAACGTCCTCATCTGAAGATCACAGAATCTCACTTTCTTATTTTCCTTTTTGGCCCCATAGCTTTATATTTACTGGACCCTTTCAACAAAAATGGCTTTCCTGCTGTACAGCAGAACATACAGTTAAAGGCCTTTACTCAAAAGCAAAATTGAGACCTTTGCTTTTGAAATGGTTCAGTTTAAGGAATAACTGGGACCGTGTTCCTCCAACTGATTGGAAAGTAGTCTAATCATGAATGCACTGAAGCAGTAGTGTCCGTTATGGAAATAATTGATAGGAGTGCTACTAAATCTTCCATTCATTATGGAGTGTGGAGATTTTGCCTACAGCTAAACTGAGAAACTCTGACCTTTAGAGTCCAATGTTGCTGACTTTCAGCAATCCAAAACTGTTATAGTTTTATATTGACTACAGGTATTTTTAAGTTTCTGGAGTACCTTCTTGCTTATATTGAGCCCTTCAGTGGTACAGAAATTGCAAGACTGTGTAGGATCATCACATTTCTTTTCATCTAACTTCTGGAAGTTACTCATCCCACTATCTTTGGAATAATTGGAACTTTGAACAAATGCAATATTCTAAATCCTTTTGTTTTCTTTTCATTTTTAGTAAATATTTTGTTATCATGAAAGGACAATGATAGACAATGACTTGGTGAATGATATTTGATTATTATGTGGTTGTAGTATGTCCCTTAACTGTTACCGATCAAGATGCAGATATAAAAGAAAAAGTCAATTTACTACAGTATTTTGCTATTATTTTTCAGAAGTGTACATAAGCAGCATATGGAACTATGTTAATCTTATGGAAACGGAAACATTAACAACCATTTTTCAAAAAAAAGAACAAAGAACATTCTTAGAAATACAAAAGTGTAATTTAAATCTCTTTAAAATTTATGTTTGCCTTCACACTTGGAAATAATTTGAAAATGGCTGAGTATCCAGTAGTTTTTACTTTTAAGCACTGTAATTTCTGTTATTATATACACTTTAAATGGAGTTATTTCTAGTGGTTGTGAACGTTACCTACAACTTAATCAGAGAACCAGCATTTTATCATACATCTATACCATATCTGTATGCTAGTTAACAGAGTGAGGTGATGGCAAAAGGCAATTTGACACTCATCACAGAATTAATTGGTAGTTGAACTTTAAAATCAGAAGAAAAGTTGTATTTTTGAAAACAGTTTAATTTAGTTTATGCTTACATATTTTGATAGAGCGTTATTCTTTCGCTAAGTTCTTTTAGTGTGGTACAGTCCTGTCAGTTGGTCCTGGTTACAATTTCTTTCAGTATGCTGAAGTTATTTTCTGTATAGAATCATTCTATTATTAGGCCATTTCTTACAAACAAATATTTTTCTTGTTAAATTTTATTCTATTAAACACTCTTTGTCATTTCTCTAAGTTACAAATTTTAGGTTAGAATTTAAGAAAATAGCACATAAAAATACCAGGTTTTCTGTCTAGAACAGTGTCTTTCCTTCCGATGCAGGCACCTCCAGGCCTCAAAAAGAACCTCTTGCGAACGTATGAATCTTGGACACCAGAGCAAATTAATAAAAAGGGAAATTTGTCTCGAGCACAGTCTCTCTTTTGTTTAGCATGGTTTCACGCTGTATGTCAAGAAAGAAGAAACTTTATCCCTCAGGTAATATTTTATTTGCTACTTTTTAAAAAATTTACCCCATTTATTAGCTTCTGTACTTGGAAGTATTTTTCCTGTTGGGTCATGTTCAGAAATGAGAAAAATTTGGACACTTCTGGTGCCTACCTTCATTGTCTCTGAATTCATTGCAAAATAAGATCTTGGTAACCTCAATTCCTGTCTGTCTGAAAATTGTTCCTTCCTGCATGGGGTTATTTTGTGATTTGTGTACTAACTGATACTGATGAAGAAGTGAAGTCACATGGAAAAGATTCTGTGAATCCTGTTTGCTTGGGACAGGAAAAAGTATTATGGAAACACAGAATTGAATGGGAGATGAGAAAAGAGACACTTTGGTAGGAAGGAGGAGGTGACATTATCTACTCTTGCTATACACAAACCCTTCTCAGGGAGAAGGAAGAACAAGGGAAGGTATTAATTTCTTGTGAGGATTATAATGGTTTTCAGAGACTGTGATTTTTTTTCCTTAGACAAATTATTGTTTAAAGTAAACATTTATTCTGCAGATGCTTAAATTAAACTGACAGAAAAGCCTTAACCAGCAAACTGCTGTATGTTTTGTTTATTTAATTCTATTTAAACTAGGGATGAAATTACCCTGTCATCTGAAGGATTTGGTCTGGCATAGCCTGGAACATTAGAGAGTTTTTTGCTACTTTTGAGTTTGTGATTTGTAAGGTTGTTTGCCTGTTGCAGTAGAAGGCTTTTGAATATGGTGTTAAAGAGTACAATAGGTAAAAATATTTAAAGTACTAAACTGACACATGAATTTTCCTTTGTCTTTGTTCAAATTCATGTTCATTTAGCACCAATTTTTCAAGTAACACAAGATAGGATTACTGCTTTCTCTTTAATTCTTCTGTAATTACACTTGTCTCATGTGCAAACAGTGATGGTTTTTCTAACATTGATGGACTGCAGTTAATCTCAGGTAGAAGCTTTTGTATTTTGTAATGAATTTTTGGGATCTGTAAAAAAAACTCCAATATGAACACTGTTGAGCAGTGACCTTCTGGATGACTGGCTGATAGTTATTTAGGATCTGTGGAGCAGCCACAATCTTGACCTGAGACTTTATCCACCTCACTGAATGTGTAAGTTGTCTGACACGTTTGTGCACTTCACGTCATTAGTCATATGCACATGTTGCTATGATACGATCCATATGCAAAGGTACAACCATAAGGAGATACAACAATAGGACATACCTTTGAGATCTGTATTTCCTAAATTCTGTATCATGTATCAATATTTATTCATACTTATCCATTTATAATGAAAGCTTTTTATGACAATTACATACACACTACACATTACTGGTACATAAAGAGTAGTGCCACCAAGAACAGAAAGGAGGTACAAACTGCAAATGATTAAAATATGCGTATGACAGCCAGCATTTTCACTGTAATAGTAGCAGTAATTGCTTTTCTCATAATTTTTTTAGTCAGAAATGAAGTGACGTGAATTAAGGAATAAGACGATGAATGTATAGTAAAGACTCTGAAGAATCAGTCCTATTTATGAAAATCCTTTCTATATCCTGAAATACTGAAAGACCCTCAGAAATAAAATCATAATTCAATGAAGGATCTAGTCACAGAAACTTTTAGTTGAAGTAAATAATGTTAGGAAATAAAATAAAAAGTTTACATTCTTCATACTCGATGGATTCTGTTTTGTGTAAGTATGTAAAACTAAATGCAGTGGTAGAACTAATGTTTAAAAATGAATGTTTCAAAAATTGCACTTTAGAGGGCACAGATTGTTTCCTTTTCATTCAGTATTTAGTATTATACAGCATTCAGTAATCACATAATACTGGTATTTTACTTCATGATTATCATTGTGTGACTAATTAAATTATTTGGGTTTCTTTTAATGATAGGGTTGGACCAAGTTTTATGAATTTTCTTTATCTGATCTCCGTGCTGGTTTTGACATTATTGACACACTTTTTGAGGGTAAGTCACGTCTTAGAGAAAGTCCCATTAGTAGGGGTGTTGCATGGAGAGTTTTATCTTTCTACAATGTTCAGATAAGAGTGGAGATGCTGCAGAGCTCATCAAAAGTGAGCAAAGCTAGAAACATCACAAATCCATTTCTCGGTAAACCAATAGTTTCTTGGTGCCCAAGAAGTATTCTGCTCAACTTCTTGAGTGCAGAGGAACAAACAGGAAATACAAAGCTGCCTGTAAGATGGAATCTTGCGTCTCCATTCGTTCCCGGTATGAACTCCCTGTATATTGAATAAATGAATTGAAAATGAATTGAATATGAATGAATTCTTCATATTGAAACTCAATATTAGATGGAGCCCACTTTATTGTTCTATTAAGTAGTGTAGGAATTTCTTAATATTAGTTATTTTGGTAAAGGTAATTTTTTTTAAAATCTTTGATTTTGTTAATTTCAAAGTAAAGGTAGGAACTGATGTTTAGAGCTAATTTATGATCATTGACTTAAATGGGATATATGGATTATTAGTACTTCAGAAGTTAGAGCTCAGTTACACAGACTTGAAACATACAGTGGTGTAAAGAGATTGAATCATTAACTAATCAATAATCATTAATCTAATCATCATTATTGCATTTCTTATGAAAGAATGATTGAAGTATTAGGAGACAACAGTTACCACCAATAAACCCCCTCTTCAAGTAATTGCCACTTCCTTTTTTCAAGGGACTTTAGTAAGTACCTTTCTAATCAAGCTTTTACCTGCATATGAAAGCAATGGGATATAAGTAGATCATTGTCCCATGTAGTTATTTTGGAGAACTGTGACAGAATGGAGGAAAAATAAGATATTTTGAATTTGTGGGTTATAGCTAAGCCAGAATAATCTATTGCAACATCAATCTGGCCAGGAAATTACTAGTAACATGCTTAACTTTATGTGTTATGTTGTGTGATTTATAATGGTTTGCAAAGTATCTAGCCTGGACCGTTTTTTGTTTGAAAGATGACATTTCGAGTAATCTTACCTATTTTGAGCATGGTCTGCTTTTGATTTAATCAGTTAGTTTATTTTATGAGATCAGATGGTACCATCATACAAAACGGTGTATAAATTTTTATGACAAAGTAGCACGTAATTAAAGTTTTAATAGCATAATTTCTGAAATGCTTGTAACTAATGAATATAACCAATTGATTCAAAAAGCACTTCAAGACTTAGGTTATATTTCTAATAATTCATTTTGAAATACAGTAAGTGTTCATTTTATCAATGACAGGTATTTACAAACTCATCCAACTTTCTGCAACTTTTACTATTTTATAATATAGAAAAAAAATTTGAAATTAATTATTTGATGTGTTCATGTCTCTTATTTTGCTAAAGAACTGCGGTGACAAGAAGAAATGCTTATAATGCAATGCTATCCAGTGCTATAAAACTAATAATAATTAATTAATTGATAGGTTTCAAAGATTTCCAGTGGGAATTTGTTCATGGCTTGTTTGAAAATGCAATTTATGGAGGCCGTGTAGATAATTACTTCGATATGAGGATTCTTCGGTCCTACTTGAAGCAACTTTTCAATTCACGAGTCATTGGCAGTTTAAATGCTAGAGGCAAGAAGATGACTAGTTTCCCATGTTCGATCTCTCTACCGAATTCCTGCAGTATTTTGGTAGGTAGGCATCTTCTCTCACCTAGTAAATAATTTATTTTCAGGAATTATTTTTGAAATACTTCCACAAAGGCAACCAGAGTTACAATCCAAAGGATACCTCTATTTCTTCAGGTCTTCTTTTGTGTGGAGCACTAACCCTTAAGTGCTCATTCACTGTTCTTTTTTATGGTTTGTGATTGGACCGTGGTGCAGAGCAGCATAGCTATGAAGAATTGAGTATAAAAGAAATTGGGTCCATTTATGAAAAAGAAGGATATAATTACATTTTTATTTAATTAGTATAATAACAGTAGTTTTGTAAAGACTGCCAAACATTCCTACAACTTCTGGATGAAATAGGAAAATCTAAATATATCTTCATATTTCCAAAATATATCAATATTCTGACATAATCTGCTGACATGCCGTGGAGGGTGTATGACATTTTATTTGGTGATAAATATGGATTCTGATTCTTCTTTAGTATTCCTTTAGCATAAATGAGAGGGAATTCCTCAGTCTAAAGAACTGAACTCTCCCTATGCTTTCATATACTATTATTGTTACTACTATGATTAAGATTCATTTGCATTTTAATTTAGGACTCAATCATAGACCTCTAATATGAGTTGATGTAAACAAAATTATCCCAGTTAAAGTAAATTGCTGTCATTGACATTCTCTACCTGGCTTCTGACTGTTTGGGTTTGGGGTTTGGTTTTTGGCTTTTTGTTTCGTTTTTTGGTTGGTTGGTTGGTTTTTTTGTTTGTTTTCTTTTTTTTTACTCTAATATGACCGAAGCTGATCTCTCTTCTTGTAGATAACATGGTCAAGTAGATGAATCTTTTTTCTACCTTACACTGCATTTAATATCTCTTGATTTCTTATATGATTATTTATGTAAGAATTTATAGTTCTGTATCTTCAGTACTTTTCTGCAAGAAGTTTTGATTAGTAGGATGTAACTAAAAAAAAAAGCTAAGTTTGTTTCCTTAAATTATTTGCAATGATATATCTTACTAAGTTAGTGTTCCCTCAGTGTTTGGTTTAGAGGTCTGCTCCTGTTGTTACTTCTGAAGTGAGATTCCATGTTAAACTAGCACATGCTCCTGCAAGCAAAGACAAAATGCACATGGCAAAACGCAAGAGGATGCAGCCAGACTTTCAAATAGTAAATATTTTTGCCCTTAAATCACAATAAGAGAGATGTCCAGCACTATTAGTCTACCTTAGGCTGAAAAGCCTCTTTCTCTTTTGTGCAAGAGGGCATCTCTAGTGACTCTTAGATTATAATCACTATTGATGCTATTCTGCATCTCCATATTATGCAAGCCTATTTTTATGGAAATTATTTTACTTTCTTTGAGTGATAATATCTTCATAGATTTAAATAGAAGTGAGTGCTCTTAATTTTATAAATATGTATTATACTTTTCTTAGAATTCCAGATGGGGATTTTTTTTTTTTTTTAATTTTGTCATTAATCTTACTTTTAAGTTTTCAATAGAAGTATTGTAACTACTTTTCAAGGACTGTCTTGGCATATTTTTCTTTTCAGTTAATACCATCACTGTAATCAGAACTGCTTTTTGCTCTTTTAGAGTGGAAATGCTGTATAAAAGAAGATAGTTTTTGATAAATAAAATGAAGAAATCTGTAAATAAGATTACCAACATATCTCGTGTCTTGTATACTTATTTTAATCTTCGTGTTATGCAGTGCACCTAATGAAATTCTTTTCAGCATACACTGTTAGTTTTCATGAGCTGAATAAAAAGTTCCCCTAGTTATGTCTATTCTTTTCTTCTAATGCAGGATTATCGCAATATTATTGAAAGCCTTCCAGAAGATGATAAACCTGACTTTTTTGGCTTGCCAGCTAATATTGCTCGTTCATCACAGCGCATGATCAGTTCCCAGGTAAAATTAGCATTTTTCATTGGTCTCTAAATATTTTCTGCAGCTAGTATAAGCTCGAGAACCCAACCACCTGTTCGTAAATGTGCTTCCGTAAGAAAGTTGGAGTAAATGGATGGGATTTTTTTGATATATTGACATTTATCTGTAGAATATTTTAATATAGTAACAGTTAATCTTTAGTTACAAGAATCTAGAACTTAAATAAACAAATAGTTATTGAGAAAGTTTCCAATAATACGATTCAGTTCACAATGAAGAGTGACGCGATAGTTTTACACATTAAATAGGGGTAATATTTATGCTTTTTCTGAAAGAGAAATTCTGAAGAATTCTTTCAGTAGTCAAAAAATTCCATCTTTACAATTAGGAATATGATTTTCTTAAAAAAAGTTGTTCTCACTGGAGAATAGCTACTTAGGCATGTCATAAGGAAATTCTCAACATAATGAAAAGGAAGTTTGAAGGTGTTTGATGGTAATAATTTAAAAATTCACTGATATTAAATATTTCCATTATTGATTTAACTGTCACATGTGGCAGATGGCTATATCATAGTAAAGAGTTCTCAGCTGTCATTTAATTTCAGTCTAGTCCAGATTTGAGTATATATTTAGTACATGAGAATGCACTAATCTTAGTGCTGGAATAATGGGCAATGGTTAAAGATTTTTCACCTCTTTATTTTAGAGTTCTATGTAGAAACTGCATCTTGGGTGAGTGACATGGATCAACATTATCCTGGGTACTGTTAAGGAAACAACTGGGGCAGTTTTCCTTCTCACCCTTTGGGAAGCCCAAAAATACTGACTGTCCCTTGTTCTTGTCATAATTTCTGTTTTGTCAGTCTAAGAAAGAAAAAGATGGAGTGATCTGAATTCCATATGTCTTTATCGTCAGTATAGTTTTTGATTTGTTGGACAAAACTTTTCATTGCTAGTATTGCATCACTTCTCTTAGGTGTCAATGCAGTTGCCTAAAGATTGGTATCTCATATAGTCTGGATATGCTCTAGTGTATTTAAGACATTTACAAGGAACTGCCAAATACAACACAGGATCCAAGTGAATACATGTTCTACTGGTCCAGTGACTGGAACTCAGGACAAAATGGCACTAGAAGCCAGTATTCAAGCAACTTGATTCCCACTGCTTGTGCACTCAGATCCAGTAAAGTATGGATCTGGAGATCCTTAAATTCTTTGTTCTATATTTTTCTTTCATTGCTTCAGTGAAGTCTAGATGAGAGCACATGATTACTGTATTAGTAAAGTACCAGTCTTTTAATTATTCATTAGCATAGTTTGTTTGACTGGTAATAAATTAGTTTTGTCAGCTAACATGAAATTTGATTGAATTGAGATTCTTACATCAGAGCTGTGAAGTGAACTGGTCTGTAATTCGTGGCTCTCTTTAATTTTCTGTACAGCCCTAGCATCCTGTCTTAAGTAAGGATAAGTTATAGGGGGGAAAATTAAATCATAAAATACCAGGTTGGAAGAGATCTCAAGGATCATCTGGTCCAACCTTTCTTGGCAAAATCAGTTGGAATTTCCCTATAATTGGAATTTCCTATAATTTCAAGACTTAGAATAACAATTTTTTAAAAAAGTATCAAATTGTTTGCTCACACTCGCCTAAAAAAGGGCTCCAAGCAGAAATTTCTTATTAGTATAAGACCTTTGATCTTTTAAAAAAAAAATAAAATTGCCTTTGAGTATTGCATTTGTTGACTATCAAATACAGTACTGATAAATTTGTTTAAATATATTTGTTTACTTAAATTCATAGCTGTATTGTCAAACTATTTTTTTAGGACATGAAACAATAAAGCTAAAATCAGTAGGATGAGGGTGCATAGGGTAATAGACTGAACTCAGAAATGTATCTTTTACAAAGCTAAAAATGCACTAAGATTCAACATAGGTGTATTTGGTGTTGCCATAAAGTCATTTATATAAACGTCAATTTAAATGCTTTTGTTTCTGTCAGTTACACTGTACACTGCTGATTATTTTATTTATTTCAGCTGTGCTTACTTGTTAAAAGTTGCAGGTGTTAAAAAATGTTAGTATTTGAAAATAAATCCATAGTTAACCTCCACAAAATCAGAACAGATTCAGAGTTCCTGTGTGAAAGGAAATAGGTAAGGAGCATATGTACATGGAAACTCACACTCTACTGGTCTGTCACAGCATTAATTTTAACGTATAAATTATGGATTATAATCTTCAAAAAGTGAGACTGTTGTAGTTACAATCTTATGAGATGATATTTTTGTCATGTGAGAGATTTTGTCATCCTTCCAATAATAGTTTGTGGTACTTCTTTAGGTCTTAGGCAATGTAAGTAACAGAAACGTGAGATTTCCTTTAAATTGTGCTTCTACCTAACTGTGAATCCTACTCCCATTACATTTCTGACAGTTTGGCAGCTGTCTTAGATCCACAGGTGATCCCATGGTTCACAATGTGAAATCGAATGATTGCTTTCTAACAGGAGTGTTTATCAGAAATCCATTACAAAGCTAAAGCAGAGAAAAGGTGAATGAGTAAGGTGGTGAGAAATGAATTGCTAGCAGCTCAACTGTCATGTCTCTAGCACCAGAAAGGTGAAATCTAATACTGGTCCACTACGTCACTGATTTTGTAGACATTCAGGTAAACCTAAAACAGCAATGAAAAGACAGGGACTTTTTTCAGAAATTTTTCAAATATTGATGAAATTAGCAGCTTCTTACCAGCAGAGAACTTCTCTAATTGAAGAGCTGAATATCGCTAGCAATTTTATTTTAATACTGCTAATTACTAATTGAATTGTGTAGAAATTATGTCTTACAATGTTCTGTAGTGTAATTCAGAGAGTATTAATATTTAATCTGTACTCGTGAAAGCCATTTTGTTGTTAAGAAAATATTTTACGTAAAAAACCATGATCTTTTCAGAAACATGACTTACATTTTTTTCTGAAGTTTGTCCTTAGTTGCTCTATGTAGTTAGAGCTAAGTACATTTTTAAAACCTGGATTTCTAGAGTTCACTGTGTCTCTTTGGTTAGACCTCACCTAATGTTACAACCAAGCTTTGATACAAAATCTCTTAGATTGAGTATGGTCTTGAATAATCTCCCATCTCTTGCTATGTTCTCTTTGCAAAACAGTATGACCTGCATTCAGGTGGTTTGATCTCCCAGTCTAAGCTATAACCAATGATTAGAGCAATCAGAGTATGTGGAGCTTTGCTTTATAGTTCCTGTGCAGCGAGAAGTCTCTTCTAATTTAGATATCTCTCCAGTCACCTTCTTGCAAAACGGGCTTTTGGTGCCAGTGTACTTGTTTCTTATTCTTGGATCCATGGTTCTGTTCTTTTATGAATTCCTATGAACCAACTTAATCCTTTATTATAATTTTAATAGAACCATACAAAAGGTGTCTTCATCAAAATAAAATTTATCATATGTGATAAATGGAATTTATACAGACTGAAACAGGCTTGCATATGTATTTTTACACCTTAGAAAAGCAATAAGAACTATCCTGTTCTGTGAAGGATTTACCATACCTAATACAACTGATATGACTTATTGCCAGTAACCACCCTAGGAAGATGAAATGAAAATGCAGAGCCACTGTTTTGTCTCCCTCCCTTCTTTGCACAGCAGACGTAGTCATTGCAGGCACTCTTTAGGTATTGTAACATTTAAAGCCTTTAAAAAGGCTTTAAATGTTACAACAAATCCTGCTGAATAGCTGTGTCTGCGAGTGACTGCTGTAAGTAGTCACTAGGTATGGTCAGTTGACTGGTTAATCTAGACATTCTCCAATAATATGGTAAATAATTTTGAGAAAAAAAGGCATTCAGTAACTGGCAAGTTATGCAAGACTCTTCAAATATGACTGCCAATGATAATGACTATGGCTAGCACTTAGTTTGCTTAATGCTAATTTCTATATAGAATATTGTGTTTAATAATATCAATAATATCTTGTCTCAGGAATTCAGCATTCTTTTACACATACAGAGAATATCACAGAGAATATCATGAGAGAGGTGAGTCTCAGTAAGGTTGAAGAATAGGTTGGTTTTGATATTTTTATAGATGAATGAGTACGCTCTCTGACACAGGGGAAGAGGAGGAAGGAGGGGCAGAGATAGCGTGTGATGAACTGACCAGAGTCCCTATTCCCGGTTCCCCTGCACCACTTGGGTTGGAGGATGTAGAGATTCTGGAGTGAAGTTGAGCCCAGGAAGAAATGATGGATGGTGGGAAGGTGTTTTAAGATTTGTTTTTATTTCTCATTATCCTATGCTGATTTGATTAGCAATAAATTAAATTCATTTCCCGAGGTCAGGTCTGTTTTGCCCATGACAGTAAATGGTGAGTGATTTCTCCCTGTCTTAGCTCGATCCACAAGCCTTTCCTTATATTTTCTCTCCCGTATTCAGCTGAGAAGGGACGTGATAGAGCAGCTTTGATAGGCACCTGACAGCCAGCCAAGACCAACCCAGTACATTCTCAAAGTGCTTAAGGACATAAAAAAATGTAAAATAATCCTTTGAGCCTCAGATTGTTGAAGAGTTCACAGATGGTAGCTTCTTACCAATTTTTCAATGAAATACTATGAAATTATTTAATTGTAGATTTTATGTACAAATTAAAAATGTTGAGCTCCAAGTACTTATAAGTTCAAATAAGTGGGTTCCAGTTCACTTCAACTGAAGTTGCTGGAAGTACTTCTCCTCCTATATTTTGTTCTTTGAAATTTTATTTGCTTTTCAGCCATGGCAGTGATACTCTGCAGCTTAGGCAATTCAGATTTTGCAACAAAATAACTGTTTTTAAGAACCTATTTCATACTAATTTTATCATCTCAAATAGAATCCAAATCTGACTAGCATTTTCTGTGACAGGGTAAAGGATATAAGGTAATTTAATTTTCCCCGATACGTTTCTCTGAAACCCAGCTGCATGCTTGTCTTTGCCTGTTTTGTCTCAGATGAGTGAT